CAGTCCTACAACATCCAGAGACTTTAGATAATCAGGGCGGATCTCATCCACACCCGGAGCCTTGCCACCATGGAGGCTACCAACCACCTTGGTGACCTCAGCCAGGGAGATGGATGTATCCGCCCCAACATCCTCAGCCTCTGCCTCTGTAACAGAGGACGTGACGGGGGGATTGAGGAGAACCTCAAAGTATTCCTTCCACCGCCCGACAATATCCCCAGTCGAGGTCAGCAGCTCTCCACCCGCACCGTACATGGTGTTGGCAAAGAACTGCTTCCCCCTCCTGAGGCGCCGGATGGTTTGCCAGAATCTCTTCGAGGCCGACCGATAGTCATGCTCCCTGGACTGTCCGAAGTCCTCCCAGTCCCGGGTTTTTGCCTCTGCAACAGCCCGGGCCGCGGCACGCTTGGCCTGCCGGTACTGGACAGCTGCCTCAGGAGTCCCCCGAACCATCATGGCTCGATAGGACTCCTTCTTCAGCCTGACAGCATCCCTTACTGCCGGTGTCCACCACCGGGTTCGGGGGTTGCCGCCGGGACCAGCACCAGAGACCTTGCGACCACAGCTACGAGCCGCCGCATCGGCGATTGAGGCAGAGAACATGGTCCACTCGGACTCCATGTCCCCCTCCTCCGCCGGGACCTGGGAGAAACTCTCCCGGAGGTGCGAGTTGAAAGTCCGTCTGACAGGGGGCTCAGCGAGACGTTCCCAGCAGACCCTCACTATACGCTTGGGTCTGCCAGGTCTACGCTTGGGTCTGCCAGGTCTGGCTCTTGAATCAGAAATCTAATTGGAAATAGGTGACTCAAAAATATCCCAAAAATAAATAGATTAAGATAAAGAGATCCTTTAGTTGTACCACAGTGGGGAAATTTCAATTTTGCACTTTAGGTTGCACTGCATGACTTGTGCTTTATACATAAACTTGCTTGATTGATTGATTGACCTAAATTAACATCTGTGGTTTTCCCGTTTAAACCTCATCATTACTTCCTGGTGTAAAACTGTAGCAGATTTACTGGAGTTTCTGCCCCAATAGTAAAAGGAACCCTATCCTAACCAAAATGTCAGTTGTAAGCTAGATGTGGAATAAGTCCATGTAGAATATAGACTAATTGCTAAATAAATACTAATCATGAGCTAATGAACCATACATTATACACTTATTACCACTGAATTAACTGTTTATCATTTAGGGATAAACTAAAGTGTGATCGAAAAGTCATAATTAGTGTAAAAAAGTGAGGTGTGTAAAGAAGAGGCTCCAGACGCAGTGCTGTACATGTTCGTGTTTACTACAATTGTAAAAGACTAAAAAAAGAGTCTGGAGGCAGTCGTTGCAGTCGTTGACAGAAAGGCGGTTTAGTGGTGAATGTTTTTGAGGATGCGTTCACACTGTTAGAAAAGAAACACATTAATTGCATTGAATTAGATTTAAGGAGCTTTTGTTGCTTTGTTTTGCACAATTTATGTTAATGAGAGATTTATATTTGGTCAAATGAGACTCGGTGTGGTCTGAGTTTTCCAAAGAGAACTTTCTCACATTTTTGAGAAAGAAAATGTAAGAAAGCACTCGAAAACTAGAAAGATTAGTATGACTTAAATATATTGATAATCTTGAACCAGTATTTTTCAATTTAAGATGCATAAATGTTCCCCTTCCGTCAGTCTGCCCCAGGACAGCTGTGGCTACAGTAGCTTACCATGTGTTGAGTGATTTAATGATACTCAACATGGTAACGAGTCTTTGTGACAACATAAAGAAACATTACTTACAAAAGAAAAGAATCCAATTTGGATGAATAAACCCAAGAGTAAATTCTCTATTTCAAGCAATTTCTGTTCCATTTATTTTTGTAAAGCCCTAAATCTCAACAGCAGTCGCCTCAGAGGACTTCACAAAGTTATTGATTCGCCAACAACAGATCCGAGAATGAAACCGTTCGAACACCAGAAATACAATAATAACAAACACACAGGAGCCAATCCAGAGGGAGCAGGACGACCACTGTCCATAAATGTTTATAATCGTCCTGGGTCTCTGTCTTTAGCTTCTGCAAGAGCCTGAGGACAGTGAGGAGCAGAAGAAGATTGTTTATTTATATCCATACATTTGATCCAAAGTATGTTTCCATAGATATTTCACTATAACTGTCATACTAAACCTCCATTTTCAGTTCGTCGCACAATACATTTTTACAAAAACTGTAATTGTATTTTGAGTTCGATGGATTTCATTTAGAAACATTCTATTGTTTGTGGTTTGAGAGTTAGGTACCCCAGCTTTAATCTATTTAAGCATACAACCACTTTTCGAACCAGGTACAAGTTTATTTGTCTGTTTTATTGATATATGTCAAAATAAGTACTGTGCTGGGTAAAAAATCCCAATTCTGTTTTTGTCTCCTAGAAATCTCATCATTAAAATAAGATAATTAGTTATTAAACTTTTTCTTGACTAAGGTACCATAGACCGATCCATTGGATTTTAGTGAATAAATCCTCTGTTTGGACATAAAAAAATGAAAATACTACTCCAGATTTACTAAGACCACTGAAAAACCCCACTTCTCCCTCTTCCAACTCTAACGGTGAACGCATCCCCAATCCTCCGACAGATTGAACCAGCAACTTTCACAGTTTTCGTGTGTGTATAAAAATGAGAGGTAGGAGCTTTATGTCAGGTCCTAAAACATACCAGCGTTTGTATATGTGGCATTTTTGGTTTTTACATTCACAAACACCGAAACCAAATGTGTCTAAAATAAAAACATTTGCAGTATGTTTCGATCGGGTAACAATACAATTAAACTTCATACTTTCTGCATAAAACAACATATGTTAGTGACATCACACACACACACAAGTATTACAAACAATTCTGTGTTAGTAAATGGAAAATCCAACAAAAATAACATTCGAAAAGGCACAAATTGAACAAAATCCTGAACTAGACATATTCCGTAATAACAGTATTAGCAATAGATAGATTTACTTCACAACTGTCCATTACACAGAGCAGAGCTAAAATCAGCGTAAAGTGGTATTTGTAAGTTAAATTGTGAGATATTGGGTGCTAAAACCGGTTAGCAATTTTGCGAAACAAGATAAATTCACATATCTATATTTTAATGTAAGGGTAGGAGGTTGCAAATACAGTTAAGGCTCTAAGCAACCACAGAAATGCTTGGTAAATCAAAAATATAATATTGTTTCTGTCTCATACATCAGAATTTTGTCGTATCACAAACATTTTGTTCGGTTAAAGGTGATGTCAGAAACTTCTATTGTATGTTTAAAATAATACATATTTATAATCATATAAATGCTATCAGGTAAATTAACTATTGTTCAGAAGTAACGTAGTTCCAATTGTCTTTCCTCTCAGCAAAACCACGACCAGTAAGATTAGCTGGAGGAGAATAGTTCGACCAATGGCAAGCATTTGAATTAATTCCGTCCAATCAGGAAGCTGTGAGGGTGTCGTGGGCGGGTCTAACTTACCATTGCGCTTGAAATTTCACTAAACAATCCTAAAAAGTTATTGACATCCACTTTACAATGAGTTAAAATTCGTCAATATTGGCTGAGATGTTTGAGTAAATTAGTTGGTGGCAGAAATTTAAAGAAAAATCATAAAACTTTTGAAAAATCTAAAAAATCTTGGTCAATTACAGAAATGTTACAAGCCTTTAAAATCGTGCCATTTGTATGTTTCTAGAGGTTATAAACATATTACAGTGTTATTATATTTGAAGTCCCAGGACACAGGACTACCTCTCTCAGCCTGGGAAGAAAATATATGGATTTTAAAAAAGCAATCAATTAATATGTTCAAATGTTATTTGCTAGCTTAGCCAACTCAAGCTAATTGTAACATTAATATATCGCAAGAATCAATAGGTTTTTTTTTGCAGCTCGATTATTTTAAACTTTAATTTTACCCACACAAGGAACATTAAAATCACTATTGACCAAAGACATTCTTCATGGTTCTTTTAAAAACTGTGTCTAAATCAGTCATATATAAATAAATGTGCGCTTACAACTTTTTACAGTGGCCTTATCATACAACAAAAAACAATACAATATATAATCTATTTTCTCAAAAGAAAAAGAAAAAATGTATTAAATGTAACAGTATTAAATGTAACAGTACATTGGCAGTTTTTGTCAACTAAAACATTATTATTATTATTATTATTGACAACCATTATAGTTTTAGTTACATGACATTAACTATTTTCAACAATAATAGTTATAATAATAATAATACTACATTTGTTATGAGTTTTTTTTGTAGTGTCTGTAATTATAAACTTACAGATCAATGGGAACTCTTTAGAATATTCACTTAATTTAAAGCTGCAATACTCATAGTATTTCAAAACACAACAATAGTAAGTTTGCTTCATTACTTGTGTCTCAATTTCAAATGATTTAAAAAAGTTTTACATTTTTCCCTTTTTGGTATTCTTCCATATTTTAACCTGGAATAATAATAATTCATTTTGATCTGAAAATCCTGGCCTTACGTTACTTTAACACCTAAATAAGAATAGAGATACAACACCTAATAGAGAAAAGATAAAATTTCCAAATATATATAAATGTTTCTTAAAATAGCAGCAATTGACAAACAAAAACACTTTGCTGAAATTAAAAATGAAAGCCAAACAAAAAAATATGTGAATCAATTCAGTAAATCCAGTTAATTCCAGGCTTAAAGGCCGGATTACAAGAGAAAGTAGTTCATTATAATTTTTATATTTTAGTGGCTGTAATGGGATAATATTATTGGGATAAGTATGAGTTTAATATAATTTAGATAACAACAGCATGAAGAAGTGAATGAAATATTCGACTAAAGCAAAGACCTGTAAATATCTTTAATTTTGAGTAATTTTAGAACTGAAATAGAAAAATGAAACGGGGAAAGGCCTCGTCTCTGTCAATATGGACGACTCTACACAGCTCAGTAACAGAAAATGAAGTGATTTTTAGAGGAAGTTGGTGGTGTTTTTGTCGATGCTGAAGGTGGCGGCGCCGTCAGAGGAATGCAGGGCGTCTGAGGTGGACGGAGGGACCGGAGCAGAGGCTGAAGACGGAAAAGTCTGAGGAAACAAACCCTAAATGTTTATGCTTCATAACAAACAAAGGAAGGAAATGTATGCTTCACTGATATGACTGAATGTTAGAAGATACACTTTAGATTAGCCTTCACTAATTAACAGCAAACTATGTACCATACCCCTAATAGTTCCTAACCCTAGTAGTTTGTTAAATGTTGAATATGCCTATGTAGAATGTATTTTTCTCAGGAGAAATGACGCATGACGTGTTTGCAGCCGGTAATTAAAAAAAAAAAAAAAAAAGTCCTAAAAAATATGAATCCATCCATCATCAATCCATTTTCTTCCGCTTCATCTGTTGCCTGGTCGCACTTATATGAAGGAAAAATAAAAACAATCATATTTGAATTCCCAAAATAATGCATATTTCTTTGTTGAAAATCCAAAAACCGTCTCTGCTCATGATTTGTTGTATTGTAATGAGTTTGAAATCAGGCTGTCTGAACAGATGGGCGGAGGGGAACGATTGTGCCAGAACTTCCTGATATCAGCGTTGATGGATCTATGATCTACTCCAGGTCTGATTTTGATAAGGGAAATTAAAAAAGTGTGATAATTCCTAGTAAAACACATGTGTAAAAGTGCAGAGGCTGAGACCTGAGGCGGCTGTGTCAGCAGGGGGTCTGTCGGGGCTGGGGCCATGTTCTCCATCTTGATCTCTTCTTTAGCAGGAGCCTCACTGTACATCACTGGAGCTGGAGTATAACCCTGAACACACACATGAAGAAGAGCTTAAATTATACACTGATAATACACAAGAAACTTTACTTCAATTCAAACAGTTCAGACGCTGATCATTAAGAGATTATTTCATTGAATGTCTCAAGAAAATTGAATAGTTTTTGTTTGTTTTTGTATTTGAATCTGTTGCACTTTAAAGAAATGTAAGGAACAATATAAATGAAATGTATTATTATTATTGACTTTGGATTATTTGTACTCTAGGTGTCTCACAGTTACCCAAAGCTCATGACCATCGGTGAAGGTGGCAACGTAGAATGACCAATAACTCATTCGAAAGGACAAGATGGCGGAGACGAGCTGCGCTCCCTTAAAGGACAGGACGAGGAGCTCTGCCACACCGGAGGAGCTCTGAGTAGAGCCGCCGCTTCTTCACCACGTTAAGAGGAACCAGTTGAGGTGTAATGTACTTATGTTTCCGAAAATGTCTCGATCCTAGACTGGTTCAGAGCGATCTCAGCGTGGAGGAAGTGCTGGTTGCCATGGAGACATTATTTACTTGCAGCAGTTGGTATTTAGTTGTTGCTGTATTTGTTTTACCAGTTTTAGCATGTATTTAAGATAAATTATGATCTACTTTATTACAGACTCTAGTTCAATTGGTCCATATTTACAAAGAAATAAATAGGAATAAAATTAATACTATGATTTAGTATTCAAAAAAAAAAAAAGATTATGGGATTTTTCAGCCTTCCATTAATTTGAATGGGAGCCGTCAAAAAGACTGCTCTTGGAGTACTAGAAGTTTCAGAATATCGGGAGTCCTAGAGTTAAAGATGCTAAAGTGCTAAAGACTAACATTATAAAGCACCTTGGGTGACCTTGGGCTGTAAAAAAGCGCTATAAACAAAGATTACTTTTTTACTTACTACAATCTTTGTTTGTAGTATTTCTCCAGGACTGAGTTTAAAGGACCAGGAAGTATTCATGGTCCAATTAAAATTTTGGAATTAATAATGATAATATTAAAGAGACACATGTAGATAATCTATATTCCCCGACTTCCCCCACACCCGACCCTCCACTTTTGCTCGTTCATGTCCCTCCAACCTCTCGTGTCGTAAAACTATCTTTGTCCCAAAAGGTCAAAACGTGATTCTATGGAAGTGCCCGACATTCCTTTGCGCCACACTTGGAACGTACCATTGGAGCAGTGGGACCAGGGGGGTACGAGGGGTAGGGCCCCGCGGCTGGAGGTGGACCGTTCCACTGAGGCGCTCCAGCAGGCGGGTACCCAGGGTTAGCAGCAGGATACCCAGGGGACGCCGCAGGGTACCCAGGGTTCGCAGCAGGATACCCAGGGGTCGCCGCGGGGTACCCAGGGTTAGCAGCAGGATACCCAGGGTTAGCAGAAGGGTAAGCCGGGTTTGTAGCTGGGTACGCTGGATTCATGCTCTGTAAAAAATTTAGGGAGAAGGTATTAGCAGTACTATTTTATAAACTATTTTCACCTAACTTGGGCAAGCTAACTTTATAACCACATAAAACAAATAGAAAGAAATTAATGCTGTAAAAAAAATACATGTAGTTGGTTCATCGCTCTTAATACAGTTCGGTTATAGACTTATTTTTCATATATACTTTTGGGCTCTGACAAAAACAGGATCAGTCAATCAGCCCAAAAACTCATAGTGACTAACATGGCTCCCTTTTAGTATGAAAAAGATATACAAAGATGAAGACAGCCTGTTGCGGTCTGGTTTTACTTTTACCAGACTTTCTGTGAGAGTTGTACGTGATGTGTCTCTTATCAGCTGTTGTTCCCGGATGTGGTCAGTTTGACAGATCAGACAGATCCGTCACACTGACCACAGCACCATGGCTCACACACGGGACTCGCTTCTCTATTGGACTGGCGAGAAATGAAGCAGTACTAGCCTCTTTACTCTCTTTGTCTTACTAAAATAATAATACGGTCATAATAATAATAAAGTTAAAAAAGAACCTTCTCAGCCTGAAAGTGACTGATACTTGTCTGGTGGCAGCAAGATACGTACAGTATCAATGAGAATTTACCTGAATTTTAAAGTAGCAATATATAACATTTTCATGTCAGGTCATCATTAAAGGGCCCTAATCTGTCAAAAGGCATTAATAAACCATGATCTTTTCGAATACGTATTCATCTGATAACAGTAGTTCAGAGATATTTGAATTTCAAAATTAGTTTTGCAGCCCTTGAATCTTGTTATTGTTATATTTTGATGTTCCGCCCTCTACTATTTTACCCATCAGAAAGTCTGTGATCCGGGTTGCCAGAACTCACAGCATTGAGATAATCTCACAGGTAAAGCAAAATGTTGCCGCAGAACTAAAAAATGTCTGGTTATGATTCTCAAATCATTAACGACAAAACAAACAATAAAACAAGGATTTCTATCTTTGTGAAAAAGGTGTTTGTTATAGATTTGTTGTTGAGAAAATTCTTGTCTATTAAACTATTATGGTCTCAGCTGGATTTGTCTCCACATCTGGCAACCTGAGTCAGGGAGAGTGGGAGAGGTTGCAGTACCACTTTTGGCCATATTTTTACACACTGCTCCTCTGAAATTTTTTGAAAATAATTCTTCAAATAAATGTCCTCAACTATTTTGGATTCAAACATGATTTTGGGTGACTAAAAGGCTATATTTCTAAACCAGAACATTAATCATAAAGAATTTAATCTGACCGGAGACGGAGGAGGACCGTTCCACTGCCCTGGACCTGGGGCAGCAGGAGGAGGGTGGATGGCCGGACCCTGGACATAAAGGCACAGAAATCACAATTAAAGAGTGAAAGTTTCAGTGAAAACTATCCATCCATCTATCCATCCATTTTCCTTCCGCTTCATCCGTTGCCGGGTCGCGGGGGCAGCAGTCTAAGCAGAGACGCCCAGACTTCCCTATCCACACACACTTCCTCCAGCTCGTCCGGGGGGATCCCAAGGCGTTCCCAGGCCAGCTGAGAGACATAGTCCCTCCAGCGTGTCCTAGGTCTTCCCCGGGGCCTCCTCCCGGTGGGACGTGCCCGGAACACCTCCCCAGGGAGGCGTCCAGGAGGCATCCGGAACAGATGCCCGAGCCACCTCAACTGGTTCCTCTCAACGTGAAGAAGCAGCGGCTCTACTCCGAGCTCCTCCCGTGTGACCGAGCTCCTCACCCTATCTCTAAGGGAGCGCCCAGCCACTCTGCGGAGGAAGCTCATTTCGACCGCTTGTATCCGTGATCTTGTTCTTTCGGTCATTACCCAAAGCTCATGACCATAGGTGAGGGAGGGAACGAAGATTGACCGGTAAATTGAGAGCTTCGCCTTCCGGCTCCAGCTGTATCGATCCGCCTGTCAATCTCACGCTCCATCCTTCCCTCACTCGTGAACAAGACCCCGAGATACTTGAACTCCTCCACTTGAGGAAGGACCTCTCCGCCCACCTGGAGAGGGCAAGGCACCTTTTTCCGGTCGAGCACCATGGCCTCAGATTTGGAGGTGCTGATTCTCATCTCAGCCGCTTCACACTCGGCTGCAAACCGTCCCAGTGCATGCTGCAGGTCCTGGTTCGTTGGAGCCAATAGGACAACATCATCTGCAAAAAGCAGGGATGAAATCCTGTGGTCCCTGAACTGGACCCCCTCCGGCCCCTGGCTGCGCCTAGAAATTCTGACCTCAGCCAGAGAGATAGAAGTATCCGCCCCAACATCCTCAGCCTCTGCCTCCGGGACGGAGGACGTGACGGGGGGATTGAGGAGAACCTCGAAGTATTCCTTCCACCGCCCGACAATATCCCCTGTCGAGGTCAGCAGCTCTCCTCCCGCACTGTACACAGTGTTGGCAAAGAACTGCTTCCCCCTCCTGAGGCGCCGGATGGTTTGCCAGAATCTCTTCGAGGCCGACCGATAGTCATGCTCCATGGACTCTCCGAACTCCTCCCAGTCCCGGGTTTTTGCCTCTGCAACAGCCCGGGCCGCGGCACGCTTGGCCTGCCGGTACTGGACAGCTGCTTCAGGAGACCCACGAACCATCATGGCTCCATAGGACTCCTTCTTCAGCCTGACGGCATCCCTTACTGCCGGTGTTCACCACCGGGTTCGGGGGTTGCCGCCGGGACCAGCACCAGAGACCGTGCGACCACAGCTACAAGCTGCCTCATCGGCGATAGAGGAAGAGAACATGGTCCACTCAGACTCAATGTCCCCCTCCTCCGCCGGGACCTGGGAGAAGCTCTACCGGAGGTGTGAGTTGAAAGTCCGTTTGACAGGGGACTCAGCGAGACGTTCCCAACAGACCCTCACTACACGCTTGGGTCTGCCAGGTCTGACCGAGTTCCTCCCCTGCCAGTGGATCCAACTGACGACCAGGTGATGATCGGTTGACAGCTCCGGCCCTCTCTTCACCCGAGTGTCCGAGACACGCGGTCGAAGGTCAGATGATACGACAACAAAGTCGATCATCGACCTTCGGCCTAGGGTGTCCTGGTACCAGGTGCACGGGTGGACACCCTTGTGCTCAAACATGGTGTTCACAGTTTGTCTATCACGAACACAAACATGGTGTTTGTGATGGACAAACTGTGACTAGCACAGAAGTCCAACAACTGAACACCGCTCGGGTTCAGATCAGGGGGGCCGTTCTTCCCGATCACCCCTCTCCAAGTGTCACTGGCATTTCCCACATGGGCGTTGAAGTCCCTGAGGAGAATAACGGAGTCCCCGGGCGGTGCACTGTCCAGTACACCTCCCAAGGACTCCAAGAAGGCTGAGTACTCTGCACTGCTGTTAGGCCCGTAGGCCGTCACAACAGCGAGAGACTTGTCCCCCACCCTCTCATTCACCGGGGAGAACTCCAACACATGGCGGCTGAGATGGGGGGCAATGAGTATGGCCACCCCAGTGGGGGAGGGTCCCAGCTCAAAAGTGGCCAAAATGACGTGCGCTGACATGCTTGCAATACCACCCCGGGCCGATGGGGGTGGACCCAGAAGTAGAATTAGCCAATGCTATATGACCTCTCAAAAACGTCTTTACAGGATGGACCTCGCAGCTCGTTCACTCAAAGGGCAAAAAAACATTGGAGATGAGATTGAATGACATCGTGTGTCAGGCTTGAACTCTCTGACCCGGCTTGGATTTGCCCCTGTGTACGGAGGTTTGAGGGCGCCGCAATTCGGTTTAATTGGATTCAATAGAATATCTGCCTGTTTTTGACTGCTACATTGCATATAATATTGCATATAATAAGCAGCTTCTTACCAAGTCTGTGCCTGGAGCTGGGTAATATCCCTGTTAGAAGAGAGAAATGAAACTCACTCAGAAAAGACCACACATTTTCTTCCACTAAACATTAAATCAATCTAAATAAAAAAAGCTGTTTCTTACTCCTCCCGGCTGCGGCTGGTTGTACGGAGGGCAGGGTCCAGTCGGTCCAACAGGAGAAACCACGATCCCTGGAGAAGCCTGGCCACAAACAAATTATACAATACATTTTTAACTAAGTCCAACAATGAGCCAAATTAACACTTCTTAAAAAATGAACCTAATCTGAATGAGAAATAATAATTTGTTCATATACACGCACAACACAACATCTTGAGGATAAAGTGGACCTTAGATAGATACAAAGATACTCTGTTACATCTTATTCCTGTTCATCTTATTCAAACCAGTTGCATATCTCTGTTTGTGCATCTTGGAATGATGTACATTGTTATGTTAAAAAGTCCTGTAACTCTAAATATGCTTGTGCTAACAGTCTTTGGATCTAAATCAGCTGAGAGAGAGAGACAGTGATTCTGGACATTGTTATTTTTCCTTCAAAAAGTCTCACCCCTAACCACACCAGCCACAGAGACCATGCGGTGTGTAGGGGCCGTAAGTCTCATTTTTACAACAACAGGAATCAGCAAAGTGGTTTCTTTTTAGTAAGTAAACTTTATTTATATACCGACTTTCACAGACCAGAGTCACAAAGCAGTTTACAATTGTATCCTTTCAGATACGCTCAGATACGCTCAGATACGCTCAGATACGCTCAGATACGCTCTCTTTAGGGGGGGGTCTTGATGGACAGTTAGTGTCCAACAGAAAGGATTGGTGATGATCAGGACACTTTAGCATTCTACAACATGTATGGACATTTTTTTTCTGTGTGTGCTTTATATTTTTCATGTGTTTTAACTGTTGATTCTCTGATCTGTGTTGGTGAATTCAATGGTCCTCTGAGATGACTTCTGTTGTGACCTAGGGCTATACAAGAAGAAATTATATTGTATTGTAATTGTATTGTTATTTTTGGGCAATTGTCTCTCACTCCACACAGAGAAGGGAGCGGGGCCAGTACAGGAGGCACATGCCAGATCAATTGTGCATGTTTTTAGTGGTAGGGGAAACTGGAGTACCCGGAAGAAACCTACGCAGACACGGGGAGAACATGCAAACAGTGCTATCCACTCAGCCACTGTGCAAAATTGTTATAGATCAGGGTTTGGCTGAGACAGGTGAGTCCAGTCTGAACCTGAAAACCTGAAAATCTGAGGAAATGGGTGGAGTCTGCTGTGCTCCTGTTTGGTTGGACTTAAACTCTGCAGCCAAACCATACAATAATATAATAATGTGGAACAGATCATCACTAACCTGTGTGTGAGCCGTTGTGGCTTTCTTCTTGAAGATCTTCTTGCGGCAGCAGCAGCAGACTCCGACCGGTATTCCCAGGAGCAGCAGTAGAGCCAGGAGCGGATTCCCATCCACTGTGTCATGTTTATCTGCACCAAAGACATTCAAACATGAACAAAACAAATGATACACAATCCAATGTCAGTGTCAATTACATTATCCTTTCATCAAAGATTTATCTGTAGAGGTATTTAGGGAGGTTTCTACCAATTAAATATGTAACACTAGGAAAAAGACAGGAGAGGACCAGCACAACACTAGGAGAGGAAAAACTGAAGGACTGCCAAAAAGACTAGATTAATAAACATAACTCAAAAATATCAAGATCCAGTAAATAACAGAAATTCAAAATCCAACCACGAATAAGGAATACACAGGTGAAACATGTAACAGGTATTGCATTGTACCAAATATATGTACCATATATTTTTAAGATCGTTGTTAGGCTAGATCTCAGAAGACTGGTGCGACTCGCAGAGAGAGAGGCAGAGGCTGGAGATTTGCTTTTAGATAGCTATGTATTTATATTTGTGTGTGTATACAGTATATGGACAAGACAGACATATAATATGTAGACCAGTGCTAAAAATGAATGGCCATTCAGTGCAAATATACAATAGTAAATCTCCAGGTGTTATATACAGTGTCAACAATAGAAATCAACATTAGACAATAGTTCAAGACACATCTCAACCGCACAGATCGAATGGTTCAGTTCGTAGGGACACAGCCCTTTGATTTTCCCGCAACACGAGAGCACTGCTCAGTCTTTTCGCACAAGCGGCGAGACAAAGTTCATACGGCCCAAAAGTTTTAATATTATCCAGAGGAAGGATGTGGAACAAACGGAATGAACACGATTTGTTGAAGGCCGAAGAGTAAAGTGCGAGTAGTGCAACCAAGTGTGAAGGGTGGCTGCGATAGCCTCCTACCAGCCCGGACAGAGCAGTAGCCCAGAGATAAGTCTTATCTCTGGGCTAGAAGCCTTTTTCTTAGCTCGCCATCATTCAAATGTAGCCGACTCCACTTTCTACACATGCAAAGCTCAATCGGACGACGATCCGTTTGTAACACGGGCTTTTGACACCTGTGTTACAAACACATTATATAAGATAGAGAACGTTTATTCGAACTATCTAATCCTTACAGAAACACAATGAGGAAATGTAGATGTTGCAACGCACGGGACAGTAGTGAGAGCAGGACAGACAAGCAACTGAACAAGCATGAAGTAAAACTCAATAAGAACCAATATTTCAAAATAACAGCAGGTAAAAGTTTCAGTCTGGTTTGGTTTGCTGGTCCCTCACCTGTCAGGTCCATCCTGGTCACGGACACCAGCTGGCCCTTGCGGTCGTAGAGATGGTACTTTCCCACATCGCTGACGTTCACACCGGAAATCTCAATCCGATCATTGCCAAATCGAAGTCTGTCGAAGTAATCTGGTAAATCCTGGGACACACGGGCTCCGTACTGGACCTGGACGGAAAAATACAGAATATTTAGAGACAGATTTTAATTCTGTTTTGGATCTTTTATGAGACTTTTTGTGCAAATATGTAAAAACTGGGCTGGTCATTACAACACATGCCACAGAAGTCAGTACTTTTCCACTTGATGTTTTAGTTTTTTAAGATTAAGAGATGCTTCATTCGACTGATAAATGATGATAATTAATGATAACTCTATACTAAAATAAAATAAAAATCTCTACCTCTAGCAAAAGAATCAGTATAAAATCTCTTTAGCATAATAAGGAAAGAAATCTAAAATCTCCAACTTTTGTCATTTTCTTCACGCTCTACAAATACATGAACAAGAAGACGGCCGTTTATTCATTCATCAAATCCATGCTCCTTTACATTGTGCTTGTGTGGTCTGTCATATGCACTATAAAGAAGAAACCCTATCCACACTGTGATGTCATAGTGGTAGAATGACGTCATCACGCAGGTCTGGCAGTTTATTTGACCAAGGAAATGGCAAACTTGATTTCTCCAATGTTGCTAAAAAAACATATTCCCCAAACGCGTCCATACCATAGCCCTATCTAACCATGTGACCAAATAAAATTAAATAAATACAATTCATAAACAAATTAACTTAGAAAAAAAGAACTGAATTAGATTGTCAAAACAACATTTAAAAAACAGAAAATATTATGTGTAGCTGTAATTTCATGTCTCTTTTAAGTCTTATTCAAATGTTTTTCATCAATAAAAAGAGGAGGAAACACATGCAGTAACTGAGGAGGCAGAATGATGCTGATTCTAAAGTTCTCACCAGTGTAACATTAGCGGACTCCCCGGAGAAGCGGAGCGAGGCGTCTTCCTGTCGGATTCCTTCTAATGACACGTACAGAGTCTCCCCAGGAACACGTTTGATGTAGTTGTTTTTAGCTGCAAAACAAACAACACATTTTTCGCATTGTGAATTTTTATTATTTTACTATTTGACTCAAAGGCCGTTTACACGGAGACAATGTGGCAGTAAAACACTATAGTTGGATGTCGGTTGCTACCAACCGTTCACACGAAGACTGTGTTCCAGGGGGGTGAAAATGAAAGTGTTCAGATCCAGCCTGCAAAGTGGGACAACACTGCTCAGCGGGGCTCTCTTTCACACCCGCGAGAGGGGAAAAGGTGTGAATTCTTTGCCTGCTCTGACCCCCACCTCCCCGCTGCTCCCCGCCATAGACTGTATATTTGGACATGTGCAGTAGCGGAGAACAAACATAAACAACAATGGCGGCGGTCACACTAACTAGCTTTGTGTGCTTCGAGCGCTGCACAGAGGAGGATTGTACTCCTTCGTTCGTCCAAACGAGACCACGTGAAGCTCTAGTTTCAGTTTCCATTTTCACAGCTGCTGTTAAAATGCAGAATGATGTTGGTACTGTCTGAGGGTCTGGCAGAGGAAGTGAGTATACTGCCGGGAAGGCTGGGCATGGGGGTGGGGGTCGCGTGTGTGTGTTGTAAAGTTTCTCTGCCCACTACTCTCCGGGCGCTAGAACTACATCATTTTTCAACCTCGTATGAACGCTGAGAAATTTGCATTAGGAGCCTGGTCGTTTCTGTTAATAACTTGGAAACGTCTGCGCAGCGCCTCTGTATAAACAGGGCCTTACATTGGCTTGCAAAAGTACTAATATATTTAGGTTTTAGTGCATGTATTGGTAGATTTGCAGTGGTGCCATTCTTTTTGTCTTTACATTTTGAATTACATTGGCTAGCAGAAGTACTAAAACATTGTTGTTAGTTTAGGTGGACGTCTGTGTGTTGGTAGATTTGCAGTGGTGCCATAGTTTTCCCAATTCTGAATACAATCGTATTTGAACAGTGCTACATGAGAAGTTTAAAGCTTGAGAGATTTTTGTACAAGCTAACCGTATTTTGGACTTCCTCTTTGGGCGGGTCCTCAGACTCTGTGATGCTGCTTAGTGACCGTTACACAGTAACAGCAAACAGATTATACTAGTGCTCCTCAATTATTTTTTGCCTAGGAAGAAGAAAGCATTTTGCAACCCACCATTATTATTAAGTACAAAAAAAAACAAAATCCTGTATCATTATGCTTTCACTTCATGGTTGTCTGTTACTTTGCTGTGGTCTTTCCAACCAGCAAGTTGTGTGTGCTCAAGGTCCAGTTGTCGTAGTACTTAAACCGAATGCGTGTGTCCATGAACTCACCCAACACAGTGACTTTGAGTGTGGACAATTCTTTGTCCCAGTTGTCCTTCTGGATGTAAGTTCCCTGATCTTCAAATGTCACCTGATTAAAACAACAGCAATAAATGTTGTGTATTAATTGATCTGAGAATACACTGAGGGAGAGAGAGAGAGGATAGAGACCTGAGACCAGAGAGACCTGAGACTTGAGATAGGGGGGGCAGAGACCTGAGACCAGAGAGACCTGAGAGAGACAACAGAGACTTGAGACCAGAGAGAGAGAACAGAGACCTGAGACTAGAGAGAGAGAGAACAGAGAGAGACAACAGACACTTGAGACCAGAGAGAGCAGAGAGAGAGAGACCAGGGAGAGAGTAGAAAGGCCAGAGGAAACGCAGTGGCAGCGGTCAGACCAACACAAACAAAAAGGCTTCTCTGGACTCACCTTATCCAGGTACCAGCGACGATCATGACCAGACCCCGACACCTGCCCCCTCAGCGGCCGACTGCTGCAAGAACACAAGAAAGATTCATATCCAGTTTATTTGCCATATGCAGTAAAACCACATTGGAATACATGTCCAAAATCTAAACAGAGCACAGCTTTCACTGCATCATGTTTAACTTTGTGAAAATAAACATGTGATTGTCATGTCACTTATGTTCTCTGTGGTTTTAGTTTAGTTTGAGGTATAGACCAGTTTAAAACCCCTGGATTAGGTGGACAAACATGTATTGGTAGATTTGCAGTGGTGTCATACTTTTTTTTGTCTTTACATTTTGACTTTGTGGCAAGGCTGCTGGTTCAAAGCCATAGCCGCCAGTGTAATTTAATGGCAAAATACATTGGAATAGGGCAAGAAGACTCAAAATTGGGATTTGGAAGAGATAAATCAACACTTTCTTATTTCTTTTCAATCTTGTATATTCAGCTAGGACACAAATAGAAGAAAATGTCGCTCTCTATTGAGCCATGTAGAAACAAATTAAAGCTGGGGTACCTATGTTTTTGTTTCATTAATAATTGAAGTATGTCCCATCAGAAAGAATGTTGTAGAAGTAAAATGTGCTTCTATCTTTTTCCCTTTTCTCTCTTAAAATGCTGGTACAAAGATGTGACAGAAGCCAAAATACATGTTTGTGAAAACTAGTGATTGAGGAACGAGTCGCATGGATTGTATTAGTTCAACTGTTTGTAGTTTGAAAGTTAGGTGCCCCAGCTTTAAAATGATGTAACTGAGTCTGTAACTGAGTGAGTCTGTAACTCTAAATGAATTACACATTTTAAGAATTGTATTACATTGACCTCCTGGCCTTAAATGTTGATATAAAATAAGTAATTTTATTAATTCTAATATTACAGTTAAGTCCCGCCTTCCCTTCTCTTAGCTATAGCTCAAAATCCACGGTGCCGTCCACGTTAACCAATCGAGACATGCCAAGGGCTGTCAATCATCAGCGCCTATACTCGTACAGTAGCTGCGCATGCTCAGTTGTTTGTTTTCACGGCGCCTCTGAATCAAGCCTCTGGAACTTAATGAAAACTGAACAAAGAATTCTAAACATAATCATTTTTATACTGAACCTATATCCATAATCATTTATATACTGAACCTATATCCATAATAATATATTTACTGAACCTATATCCATAATCATTTATATACTGAACCTATATCCATAATAATTTATATACTGAACCTATATCAATAATCAGATCCTCTGCAGATGTGTCCTATAATGTGCAATTAATGAGAATAACTACTTCCAGGTTTGCCGCGATTGCTTTTTTTGTGCATTAAAACACTATTTTTTTCATGAAAACGTTCACAAATAATTCTGAAAACCTCCGTGCATGTGTATTAATAATGTATGTGTATAATGTGTTCTCTCATTACATTTAAATGTGTTACAGAAACATAGGCGTAGACCAAACAGAAAGGAAGGGGGAGGGAGCTTGCGTAGTTTTTTACAAATCAAGCACCTCTCTCTCTTTCTTTCTGACAAACTGCGGACAATCACTTTAAGTGCGTGAGTGTATATATTTACCTGTGGGAGCGTTTGTCCCAGTAAACCAGTCTCTGCCCCGGGTCGTCCGCTGGGATGAACTCCAGCTTCTCTGTGCTTTTGGGCAAATAAATCTTCAGCTGTCGACCGTGAGACAGACGCTCGTACTGCTCCCGGACGATGTAAGACTCTGTAGAGGAGAGAGAGACACACACATGAAAAATCTACAGACAACTATAGCCTTGTAAAAGCAACCTGAGGGTATTTGTAAGAAAGCTAGTCAATATTTGACACTTTGGGCTGAGTGAGGGTGGTCCTCTCTTTTTCACTTTTCTCACTAAAAAGAAGACCCAAAGATAAGACGGAGGATAAAGCTAAACGTAACCGGTTTTCAGCGATAGGAACAAATGAGATTTTTGAAAATGTATAATTATTTATCAATGAACGTAATGTTTCCCTGTGTATGAATTGTGCAATACAAATAAACTTGCCTTGCCTAAGATGGATTTTTCATTACATTTATTTAATGTATTACATTCTATATATTCTCTCTTTTTTTGTTTTATAATTGCAATCCTCACATTTTTAGATTTTTTTTAGATTTTTTTTTTTTTTTTAAAGAGTGGCCCCTAACACACCCTCCCTCCATAGTCCCCTGCTGGTCCAAAATACAATAATAAACTACTATTTTATTTGAATATATGTCATTAAATAAATATAATAAAATACAAAGAAAATGCACACACACAAATAATTTTAAATAATAATAATAATGGTACACAGATTGAGTGGCTGGACAGTCCAAAATCCTTCAATAGTCAAAACGTTTCATCATTACATTCATTTATCTGTGGTTTGAAACTTAGGTACCCCAGCTTTAAGACAGTTTATATGTTTTCCTTCTCCGTTTCCCCAATCATAGTTTTCTGAAGTTTCAGCAGTGCTCTGACAATTCTTCTTTTCTCAGAGAACCAAAGACATTACAGATCTCATTGATTTGTTAGATTTTCAGATTGTAAAACCAGCTTTAGAGAAGAGTCGGTTCCTTACCCACAGAGAGAGCAGTCACCAGGAGACTCACCACGGCCCACATCATCTGCAACACAAGCAGCCACAAGCCATAGAATTAATGTGGGAGTTGAGGGACGAGACAGGACAAGATTTTACTAAAATGCTTATTATCCTGATTGTTCTGTATGTCAGGTATTATTATGAAAATGTTCAGTGAATGAAGTTTGGAAAAAAAGGCAAGATTTTACTGTATATTATTGTGGACCAGATTCTGTTTTAAATTCATGTGTTTACAATGTCTTATTCCCCTTTAATTCATATTTTTACAGTTACTGATTTTGGCACAGTGGTTAGCTAGAAAGTCCTGGCTTCGACTCCACCTCTGCATATTCTTCCTGTGTCTGCGTACGTTTCCTCCAGGTGCTCCGGTTTCCCCTACCACAAAAAACAAGAACGATAGGCCGCTCGTATATCGACCCCGCTTCCATTACGGTGTGGAGTGAGACGACAAATGCCCGCAACAATTGTAAAGTGCTAAAGTGCTTTGTGACTGTGTCTGTGAAAGGCGCTATATCAATAAATAAATCTCAATTGCTTCTCAAAATCTAGAAACTGAATGTAGAATGTTGAAGCTGCTACTTTTGTGTTCCCATTTCACACATTTGTATAAAACATTTGTTACAATCTACGTTGAAAATTATTTGATCGGTTCGTCATCGTTGTGAAACTTAAAGTGATGGAATTAATAATTAAGCAGCAGCTTGAGTAGATAACCGAATAGTCGAATATTTCTGGTTTCACCGCAGCGGACACGAACGCTGTGGTTTTTAAGAGCCTCCTGAGTCTATAAAGTGGCACCGTTCACATAAACATCCTCCTCTCTCCAACTCCAACTGTGAGGCACGATTAGGACCATTTACCGAAATCAAAACCAGATGAAGAATTGTAGAAATGTAGAGAAAAACCCTCTTTATTTTTCAAAGCAGCAGGACCCTGTGATGAGGCTGGTAAGACATTTTCACCATTACACTGTTATAACTACACATATTTTTTTATTTTATTTATACACACACACACAGTATTCTTTAGTTTCACATAAAGTATCAAAACGTGGCTGAATGTGAGTATGAAGTATTTGCATAAGATTAGAGCTTCCTGAATCCCAAATGTAAACAGTTCTTCATTGATTGGTGACCTGCTGCTGACGGAGGTGAGAGATGAGGCGTAAAATAATCAAACACAGATAAGACTCGCAAATGTTTAGTTTTGGGGTTTTGTCAAAAGTTTAGCTGCAATAAAACATAATAAAACAATTTCACAATATTAAAAAAGATATTTGTATTAAAAGGGCTCAGTTGGTAGAGCATTGGCCTTAAGGCCAGAAGGTCGTGGGTTCAATTCCCACCTCTGCACCTTCTCCACCGACTCCCACTGATGACTGCTGTCGTTGTGTCCTTGGGCAAGACACTTAACCCCACTTTGCCCAAAGCCCCCACTGAAAGATCAAGGCTATGCTCACACTCAGAGAGCAGCCGTCCTCCTGTGGACTCACCACCTGCAGAGGGTCAGTGAGGGGCTGGTGCTATGAGACTTGGGTGGCATCTCTGACTGCCACCCCCCTGACCCAGAAATGGATTAAAGGGTAGAAAATGGATGGATGGATGGATTTGTAAGCTGCACTAACTGACTTTATTTTCGTATTCATTACGAAAATGCAATCCATATCCATGCAGTGCATTGGGATATACGTCCTTTTGAAGAATAAGTAGCGCAGGTTTGTGCTGGCGTGACCATAGACTGTATATATAGCGAACTATCTGAATGACGTCACTAAGACACGCCCCCGCCGCCTGTCAACTCCCGCCCACATGTTTCGGACAAACACTGCCAAAATGAATCAAATACCTCTTGTCACTTTAGACGAAAATGATAAACCAGGGGCAAAATTCCACCACCAAACCATCAGGGATCATAGTGTAGACCAATTAAAACGTTGGCTTGAATGTCGTGGTCTTCCAGTAACTGGTAGAAAGTTTGATTTGATAAAAAGGTAATAGTGAGGATTATGCTAACATTATCTAGTCATTTAAATTGCAATGTTAGCGCCTTCTTTGTTTATTTTGCTCTGATTAACTTCCATTTATCAAGTTGTTTTTTGTACTGTCCATTTCGTAATTAGTTTGATCATTTAGTTAACTACAGTCAGCCGATATTATAATAGATCCATGGGGTCACAACGGGCTACACCACTACTGTCTCTGAGAGAGAGCTAGCCACACTCAGTAAACGCAAACGACAATCAATCAACATATTTAAATGTTAATGCTAGAATATAATATTCATACAACACACGTGCACAGAGGTTTTCAGAATTATCTGTTAAGGTTTTCATGACAAAAATACTTTTTTAATGCGACTAAAGCGATCGCTTTTTTAAAGTAGGTGAACTAAAACCTTTGGGAACTATTTTCTTTGCACTCATTAAATAAACCTTTTGGCATGAATAGTGACAGAAGTTTATTTTGTGTGTTCAGTTGGTACAAAGCCGTATAATAAGCGGACCCCAACGCGCTTCGTCTGTGCTTATTTTCCGATAGTCACGAAGTTGAAAAAATCCCTCTCATCTTTCTTCAGGTGTGAGAATTGTATACATTCTGGATTAGGACAAACAATACTAATATGGATCATGGGGGTAAATGGTATAAAGAGAAAGTTTGTGCTAACTACATTCAGAAGAGCTCAGACGGACCTGATACAGCGGTCCAGGTCCAGTCCCAGCTAAACGTAGCTAGGACTGGATCTGGAGGCTCCACAGTTGGTCCAGCGAAGTGTTTTTAAAAAACATGTCCTTTTTAACATTTTCATGAGAGAAATTCTGCTGACCACAAGCACCCACCTCTTGCACTTGTCCTGGTCTGGTCCTGGTCTGGTCCTGGTCTGGTCCTGGTCTGGTTCGATGGTGTGGTTTAACGAACAGGTTGAATGTTACTGCTTTCATATAGTCCTTTTCAGAGTATCTGAAATCGCTCCCACAAGCACCATAACTGTAGTGTTTTGTTGTCACCATGATTCAATGATTTAGCCCAAATAAATACACACGCTTATGTGGAGAACACAGTAGTACTCAACGGAGTCGGACAGAGTTTGTCCGAAACATGCGCGCATGCGCAGTCATTGGAACTATTTTTAGCACATTTCGGAAACCGGACAGTGCCCTATTAACGGACAGAGTCACGCCTATCTCCGCCGTTCTAACTAATGGACGCCGTTCAAAAATGGCCGCGAGTGGTCCCGCCCACAAGAAAATTGAGAAAAAACGCATCTGCAAATGCGTCAGCCGGCGCAGCTCCATTCATTTGAACGAGAGACTTCAAAAATTCACAGCCACTAAACTAGAGCGGACCAAAAAAATCCACCCCCCTCAGCATTGACACACATGTGGAACGGAGCTTTGGGCCAAGAGCCAACTTTTGGTCCATCCTGTAAAAGACGTTTTTGAGAGGTCTGCCAATGCTATATGTTAGCATTGGCAAATTTTTCTTCTGGGTCCACCCCCATTGGCCCGGGGTGGTATTGCAGCATGTCAGCGCACGTCATTTTGGCCACTTTTGAGCCGGGACCCGCCCCCACTGGGCGTGACATTATATTTTAGATCGAGTTTTGGTGAAACAAGGAAGAGAAAGTGTTTCAGGTCTCAGATTGTGACCAATCACAGCGGACCGCTGGCCCCCGTTTCCGTGAGAAAAGCCACAGGTCTCTGGTTAGTACCATAGTTAGCACATACAACTGAGTTAGCACAACAAGCGGCAGAGGCTAACCTGAAGCTTCCTGTGTCTTCGTTACTGCTTACTCAGCGAAACATCCATCCAAAAGAAAGTCTCGTCCTCTCCGCGCTTGAAAGAGATTCCGGCAAAAAAAATCCTATATTTTATAAAAAGAACGTGTTTTTCATGAATTTAAGTTGTCTATGCTCTAACCTGTGTGTGACGTCATAGCGGGTAACGCCCATGCATTGAAAACCATGGATCTATGCCACAGGACTGCCTTTTCTCTCTTCTCTCCACTGGTGCCCAACACAATACTGCACTCTACAGGTGACAATTGCTCACTACACATAAATTGCCGTTTTGAGTGTGAAAAAGTGTCCGAGGTGGGATTTGAACCCAAGTATCTGGATTGGCAGTCCATCGACACAACTACTGGACTATCTCAGTGACAACGAAATGATACATTCTAGTAGTTATCTCAGACTCGCTGTACACGGCCTTGTCATCTTGAATATCCGCGAAAAAAGAACAAATACCAAAATGTAAACAACTTACAGCATTGAAACGTACCCGTTCTGACGTCACCAAGGGCTGTGAAGTTTTTTCGTTTCTAAGGGCGTTGCTATGGGGTTATTTCGATTTGGGGGGATCAGACAAAAAAAACAACAACTGATTTTGAAACCTTTAGTAGTTCTCTTCTAATATAAAATGGTATTAAAACTGTATTTCTAAATAAATCAAACCCGTCATAAGGTCTTTAATATCAACCCATGTGAAAGCCAAATCCTGCCAGACCTGCTGTCCTGTGACACTAGGCAGGGCAGGGCCTGGTTAGTACTATGATGGGGGACCTCTGGGAACACCAGGTGCCACAGTGGACACCACCCTTATTGGACTCATCTCCAACAAAGATGAGTCCGCCTACAGGAGGGAGGTGGACCGGCTGGTGTCCTGGTGCAGTGGTAACAACCTGGAGCTGAACGCCCAAAAGACAGTGGAGATGATTGTGGACTTCAGGAAGAGCACTGTCCCCCCGCCCCCACCCTCCGTGATGGACTCCCCCATCACCTCTGTGGAGTCCTTCCGTTTCCTGGGCACCACCATCACCCAGGACCTCAAGTGGGAGCCGACCATCAGCTCCCTCATCAAGAAGGCCCAGCAGAGGATGCACTTCCTGCGGCAGCTCAGGAAAGCCAAGCTGCCTGCACAGATGTTGGTGCAGTTCTACACGGCCATCATCGAGTCCATCCTCACCTCCTCCATCACCGTGTGGTTCGCTGGAGCCACAGTCAGGGACAAACAGAGACTACAGCGCATTGTGCGCTCTGCAGAGGAAGTGATCGGCCGCAGCCTTCCATCGCTGCAGGACCTGTACGTCGCCCGAGCTCGAGGCCGGGCTGGTCGTATCACAGCCGACCCCTCTCACCCTGCACATGGACTATTCCAACCACTCCCCTCAGGCAGGAGACTGCGGTCCATCAGGACTAGAACCTCCCGCCACAAGAACAGTTTCTTCCCCTCTGCTGTTGGACTCTTGAACACTTCTTAACCTGTCCCCCCGCCCTTTATAAAGTCACTTTACTTCACTGTACTGCTGTCACCTTACATTGTGTGCACCATGTGCACTTGTATATTGTAAATAGTAACTGTAACTCTATTTTAAATTTAAATGTATTCCTTAGAAGTGTAGAAGTTTTTTATTCTTTATTTTTTATTCTCTCTGATTGTTGCACTGAGCCAAAGCAATTTCCAAGTCTGTGACTTCCTGTTACTTACGTGGCAATAAAAATGATCCTGATTCTGATTCTGAAGACACTTCACCCTCATTGCCTAGAATGAGTCTGGTGTGTGTGGTGGTGGTTGGAGGGGCTGATGGTAATGGTTGCCTCGCTTCTGTCAGTGTGCCCCAGGGCAGCTGTGGCTATGGTAGTAGTTTATCACCACCGTGTATGGCGTGTTTTGAGTGTCCAGAAAAGCGCTTTATGAAACCAATGCATTACTATACACAAAAGCTCCTGCCCATTTTATTCTGAACATTTTTGAGTCTATCCGGAATCTATATTAGAAAAACAATACATTCCTTGTTTAAAAATTTGAACCATGTCTGAAATACGATATTAACATTTGCGTAAGAGCAGCAGGAAACAACAATAAACGGATGTGTTTTTATGAACGACAGAGCTGAGGGCAGGGCAGCTTCCTTCTGCATATTTAACTCTTGTCCTCACGTGGAGTCAGAGTAGGACGCCTGCAGCCTGGAGGACAAACCAGCCCCGAGAACCAACATTCACAACAAAACACATGCATTCAGCTGTTTAACCCTAAAACCGAGTATTTGTGAGATATTTAATTTGACACATGGTGTGTGGTAAATGTCGCTATAGAAAGATCAGTAACTTCAGGAACAGTCTGTTGTGTGGACAAACAAGTGAAAGGAAATATGATGAAGGACGTGCGACTAGCTCACTATTATCATTGAATGAGTGATGCACATTACATCACAGTAAAACAGTTTAAACTCAGATCAATTCAGTTCTTTGTAAATTCTTGTTGTAACAAAATAACACCAAAACACCATTTACATGTGTTTTGGTTTGGCTGGAATTCAATTACGCTAAAAACAACTTGTTATAATTCGTATTTATGTGAATGGAGCACTGCTGCTGTGAGGAATCGACAACTTTGTAAAGTCCTCCGAGACGACTGCTGTTGTAATCATCGAATAGGATCCTGATTCCACGTTAAACAATTCAATAATAAAGGAACTTCAATGTAAGACTATGGAACCTGAAAATAAATGCATTTTGTTATTAGGGTTTCAGCTTTGGATTATTTGATTAATCGAGTAATCTATTAACTGTTTATGCCTTTAACTGCATATTAATTATATATTTGAGAAAGAGTATCATTCAGACTTAAAGCTGCACTAACTGACTTTGAGAAATGTTGGAATGTGAGCGGTGAGCTCGCTCTTTTTGCTCGCCCTCCCCGCACCCACGGAGCTTTCGCCCCCCACTACCCCCCCCCCCCCCCCCTCACCCTCAGCCGCACATGTGCTAAATGTATACGGAGCTCACGTCTCACAATATGAATCGCATATTTGATCGTGGATGGCGTGACCATAGAATGACAGAACCGGGAAACGCGGAGGACGAGACTTTCTTTTGGATGGATGTTTCGCTGTGTAAGCAGAAACCGGTAACGAAGACACGGGAAGTTTCAGGTTAGCCTCCGCCGCTTGTTTACCACAGCTGTCTGTGCTAACAAGAGACCTGTGGCTTTTCTCACGAAAGCGGGGGCCAGTGGTCCGCTGTGATTGGTCACAATCTGGACCCAAACACATTCTCTTCCTTGTTTCACAAAAACTCGATTTAAAATTAAATGACACGCCAGCACAAATCTGCGCCACTTTTTCTTCAAAAGGACGTATATTCCAATGCATTGAAGGGATATGGATTGGATTTTTGTAATGAATAAAAAAATTTATTCAGGTAATGCAGCTTTAAAGTAGTAGTAAACCCCTCTCCCATCTCTGTTTGGAGTGAGAGGTCAAATGCCCACAACTACTGTAAAGCCCTTTGTGACTCTGGTCACAAGCGCGATAAAAATAAAAGTGACTTAGTTACTTACTTAATTAGTACAATATGTGTAGTAACGCCCCGTTTCCACCAGCCCTATTTGGCCCTACTCCACTCTGCTCGGCTCTACCGGTTTGTGTTTCCATTACACTTTACTAACTGGTACCATATCCTAGCAACACCTACCCACAACAAACCAGTGGTAACCATGGCTTCCAGCCGCACTCGGGCCAAGTCAGTTACTTTGCCTTGGTACCAGCTCGGCCTGGATAGAACCAGGGCCATGTAGCAAGTACTAATAAAGTACAAGGTAGAAATAAAACGGAGCTAATAGAATACGCTCCCAATTGGGGCAGAGGAGAGGTGGAAACAGGATTTTAGTGATACACAAACCCATATGTGTAAATTCCGAGGGTCAGTGAACGCACCCCTGGGCCTGGCTGTATTTTGGGCGGAGTGCTGGTCTTGTCCGAGGGTTGTGATGGTATGCGATATTAAGAAACAGCAGAAATTTAAACCATTGCAAAGACAACTACAATCACATTTTACCCCAAACCCTGTGTCTTGCCTTGTAAAAAAACATTCCCAGGTCAAAAACCCACAAGACGCGCACAAACAAAGTAGGGGTGTGGCTGTTTTGGGACGAAACCTTCTCACTAATTAGATTTTCCACTGAGAGGCGCTGTGCACGGTCAAACGCATGGTTAATTAAAGATCAAACACGGAATGTCAAGGCGTTAGCTTAGCATATAGAAAAAACACACCATATTTAGCAAACATCTAGGTTTAGCAGCGAGAATGGAAGCTATAGGCTGTGCAGAAAACATGTGGACGACAACAGGGGGACGCGCGGATCAACAAAACCAGCACCAATCACAGAAATACAAAAGATTTATGCAGAAAAAAACAATATTATAATGTTAAAAGCCTATTCTGGCATTGGCACGTACTCCCTGGTTCTGTTTTGTTCGTTAAAATCTGCAAAACGCATCGCTTTCGACAAGTTTTAGACGCGATCCGCTTGTAGAATGCATATGTAACGCTGCTACTATTGAGCCCTTGAATGTTGCACGGAGAAATGGGTTTGAAAATAGGTTTAAAGGTTGTTTTTGCAATTGTAGGAGGTCGCCATCTTACCTCTGCGTGTTGGTGATTTGTCTTCTGCTGACTGATGTGGGTTACTATGTCAAAAACGCGGTTGTCTATGGGAAAGTGGAGTAGAGACAGCCTGGCGTGGTGCGTTCATGAACAACGGGACAAATCACATCGCGGCTTATGAATGAACCATGTGAAACGTTTGGAGTCATAGCCGCTACTGCTTTTACTGTCACGCATCAATATTGATATGAATTATGAATGAATTATTACAATATAGTTACAATAGGCAAAGCAAGCATTTTTATGGCACAACTCAAGATGGCACAGATCAAGCGAGGAGACGTTCAAAGTAAAATAATCACAAAACCACAAATTTAAAATAATACATTATAAAAGAAGAACAGATACAATCCTTCTGTTGTATGCACAGCTCATAGACTGTATATAGATGGACAATGCTAACCCACGAGGTCAATGAAGAGAAGTGCTCATGGATGAAGTTACAATACATTTGTTGTTGATGTAACACAGTAGTGCAAACTATTACAAAAGTGAATATTGATCATAAATACTCATGTTGCATGCACACAACAGTATTACACAACTACCACAACCAATTCATGAACAGCACTTCTACCTTTTCTACAGGGATCAAAGGCACTTCTAGTATTCTAGTTCTCCCACTCAGCTGCTACTTCTCTGGATAGACTCAGACAGACCGGCAAGTCAAGACAGACATTTAGAAACATGTTTATTGGCAGGCGGTATATGAAATAATGATTCATCAGAGCAACACGGTTTCTCACTTTTCTCCCACTGGGTTTTTAGAGTTTTTCCTCCCAGATGCCAGAAGGTCTGAGGGCAGTGGTGATGATCCAGGACACTCGACATTCAACAATTATGAACATCTGTAAACTTTTAAGAACATTTGTCATCTGCCCCTTATGTTTATTATATAATTGCATTCCCTGTATTCAAACAGTTTGATTCTCTGATCTGCGTTGGCGAATCTACAGCTTTGTAAAGTCCTCTGTGATAACTATACTGATGTGATTTAGGGCTATACAATGCACAGTGTGTCTCGGCTTGTTCGGTGTGTTGCCGCGGTGAAAATAAACAGAGAGAAAAGAGTCCCGGGCCATTGTTTTGTGTGGGATTTGTAGACGTATACGCTCAGATCCTGCTGAACCAGTGGCCTTGCAGACAGAGGAGGAGTGGCACACACAGAGAAATGCCACTGGATTAGATTACAATTTTGACACACAACCGTAAATACTATTGCCCCAAGTACAAATCAAAGGAGAAATACTGTACTGTATGTATGAATATCTTTGGAATGTGTCATAAAAACAGAAATATATTTATCCAGTGTCTAGCTGTAGTATGTATGTTAAAATTCAACTATTCCCACTGTGGCCCAGTATTTTACGACACATGTTGGAATGCCGTATTGACCTGGGGCAACAGTGGGAAAGGTTAGCGTGTTGCTTGGACTTGTATGTCGGCTTTTCGTCAGAGGGAAGACAGGAAATGTAAAGGATTAAATCAAACTTCCAACTTTCAAAATATAGTTAGTCTTATACAGTTGCATTGCACCCAGGACCTTAGGGAATCACATCATAATGGACTACAGCCAGTTTTTACATCCAAATGGAGCAAATACAAAGGTTTTAAAACAATTTTATAAAGAAAATGATAGCCTAAACTCTGACGGTAACAGCCTCATTCACCCAAACACAGCTCCTCGGCTCGTTACACCGCCATTAAGCAGTATAGACAGTAGAACAGTAAGTATTTTCTCCGTTGTAACTTGTGTTTAGTTTTATATCCATCTTCACCTTCATCCACATTTGAGTAACAGGCTATCAAACAGTTTGCATATCTTATTTTTGCGCAGTGGGAATGAGGCTAAATAATGCAATACAATGGTGCAAGATACAGACTGTACATGGAACCCCTCAGGTGAAAAGTTATCTATTCATTCACAGACATTACTGTAAGAAAACCAGGATTAAAACATGGAAAGTAATGTTGCTTTGATTCCTATGCATTTGATGTTGAGAACCGACTGTATCTGAATCTTTGAAAACATATTTTGTTGGTAGAGAAGTTGTTCAAAGCGTGTTGTTGTTCCTCACTCCCACTGATGAGAGGGAAGCACTGAATGTAATTAGGGACTGGAAGAACAAAACCTCACAAGATATAATTGACTGCTCAAAATATTGCAGAAGAAAGTAGTGCAGTTTTTACACGGATCTGTAATCTATCTTTTTGACTTGTAAAAGTTGTAAAATGTATCCTACAGCGCACGACAAAGACTGTTTATCCAGTTATCGACTTGTCTCTCTTCTGCCACAGTTTACCAAAATAATAAATAAATCATACACAAAATAGATTACTTGCTCCAATTGATCTAATTGAAGAAATTACAAAGGATATTTATTTTTTAAACGTTTGTACTTCAACAATTTTAGTTCCATTGATCTTAACAGAACTTTCGATACCAATAACCATATTTCAAACAAAGTGGAAAACTATAGCATAAGGGGATTGGCAAATAAATTGTTGGAGAGTTACTTGAGTGAGACACGACAAATTGTACAGATTGACCAACGCAAATCAAGCTGTAGGGATATCCCCAGTGGGGTCCCACAGGGGTCAATTCTGGGACCAACATTGTTCATAACATGTACATTTTATTTTATTTTTTTTGAACGATTCGCCTGGAAATGGCTGCAACTCGTAAGTAGCTCTAAAACAGTTGTTGTTTTGTGCTTAATCAATTTTTATTTTTATTGCTTTTTTCTGCCTGAGATGTTGCTGCTGTGACCCGTCCTGCTCCACCCAGAGGCTACTCCACCTCTGCTGCTCTGACCCGTCCTGCTCCACCCAGAGGCTACTCCACCTCTGCTGCTCTGACCCGTCCTGCTCCACCCAGAGGCTACTCCACCTCTGCTGCTCTGACCCGTCCTGCTCCACCCAGAGGCTACTCCACCTCTGCTGCTGTGACCCGTCCTGCTCCACCCAGAGGCTACTCCATCTGTGCTGCTGTGACCTAAAGGGCTGTTGCTGATTATTACTATTATTATGTTTTTAGAATGATAATTTTTATTTTTGCTGCTACTGGACACCTGAATTTCTCCTACGGGGATCAATAAAGTATCTATCAATCAATCAATCAATGAAACAAAATTTGCATACATTTGGCTCCACATTTCTGCTCAAATAGCTTGTTTTCGAGAGAGTTTGAGCGAGCTAAAGAGTTAGCTAGCTAGATAGATAGATGGATACTTTAATGATCCCCTGTAGTAGAAATTCAGGTGTCCAGCAGCAGAAAGACATCCATCCAAAACATAACATAACATCCATACATACAAACATAAAAGTCCATAAATTGTAAACGTTTCCTCTAATCAGCTTTTTCCTCATGCCACAACCCCATATAAACACATTGAAACAGGCCCAGGAGATGATTAAGTGGTAATGACATGGTTGAAGGAGAATGGGTTAAACTTGTATCCAGTGCCGCTGTAGAATTTACTCTGGAACTCCACCCTGCACCAAACAAAAATAAACAACACAGTGAGGCTTCAATTTCAGGAGAAAAGCAGAATGAAAAGGTTGAACGCAACACTATGGTGACTACAAGACTTTTCTGTACCAGCAGCCAAAAACATTAAAAACCGTGACATTCCTTCGGCATAGGCCCAGAGACCTTTCCCTCTGTGATAAGAGAGAGTTTATTTATCACACGATATCAAACTTCCGATTCAAGAACAATATGGAGATATGGAGAACTTAGATATTTCAACACTGCAGTTTTAAGCTTTAAAGAAGAACTGTTATGTGTTATATTTGGCCATTAGCAGTGATTATGATAATGTTTTAGAATATGAAAGTACAAAATATATGGTGAAACAAGTAAAACGGTACTAGTCTTTCTGTCTGCAGATCCTAATGCTACCACCAGAGGGAGCAGTGGAATTTTTTATTATTTTTTTTTCTTTTCCTTCCATATATTTATTTTATTTATCTATTTTTGTTCAGGTTTTCTTATGTTTTTCTTGCATTTTCTTTTTTTGAAAAGTGAAAATTACCGGGTGCAAACATAGACATGCGATTGCACAGAACCCAAGACTAATTTATAGGTAACAGAAGCTTTAAGACAGGCGTGGAATTTTCTGATATTAGCATTTGCTGATATTAGCATTTATGGAGCTAAAAACAACTCCAGTTCTGATTTGGATGAGTGAAAAAAGTTGCGACATTGTTAAAAGCAAAAACTAAAAGGAAATTTGCACAATATGTCTCCTTTAAAGTATAAAAATATGTTGGTATGCAGTAGATCCACATTACAGGTTACAAGCAACGACTCAGCACAAAAATGTGACTAGGTGATCATTGCACTAAAACTTACTGCACTGATTACTAAAAACTCATAATTAGTGTCATTTAACATATTTTTTTATAATTAATGTATAGTATGTCTATTATAAAATGAAATTTGAAAAAAAAAAAATACTTCAACTGTCAGAATATTATTGCGTTTTTTTCTGTGTTATTATAAGAACTTCTACCTACTCTTAAAATTACCTATAAGTATTTATCCTCACCAGTGCAGTCTGAGAGCATGTAGGAACGCAGACAGACCCTCCATCACCAGCAGGATGGACACCGTGAGCAAAGCGAAGAGGGAGAAGACCAGAGCCAGGACTACACTTCCCAGCATGCCGCGGGAGGACAGGCTGATCCGCATCACCATCGTCCACAGCACGTCTGACAGCTCTGGTCAGAAGGGCAAATTCCACAAAACCCCTTGTCAACATATTTCAAAACGAAATGAATCTATACAAGCAATTATACTTATCTCTCACATCACCCAAAAGCAAGAAAAAAAAAAACATCACATTGTTTAAAATATTTTCCATTTTAGTTTTTGTTTTTGTACTGTGCTTATTGTAGATCCACTCACTGGTTTTATGTTATCCTTCTGTGGCATGTTTTTGTCTATTTAAGTTTGTTTGTATACACATACTTAAAGATCTGTACCATTCTATTATACTAAAAAAAGCCCTGCTCAAAGAATACTAATGATATTGTAATTGTGATCATTGCCTTTATCTCAGTATTCCATTTCATTTCATAAAAATAAAAAAAATAAAAAATATCTGAATAATTTCATGCTACCCATTCAAATGATGGTGGACAATGTCTTTATGATCCCAAATTTTTCAACCACAAATGTTTTACTCACGAGCGTGTGCCAGACTCAGTGCCCACAGCCGCAGGTAGGAGGCGCTGTTGGACACACAGCCCAGACAGAACTCCAGCGTGTGGATGGTCTGGTGCACGAAGACTTCCACTGCATCAAACTGGACAGGACCAAAATAACTTACATTTATAAACTTAATAGTGTAGATGCAGCTTATGGTAAAGTTTTTATGAATGTGATCTTTCAATAACTCTGTAATTTTGTGTTTGTAATTATTGATTTTAGACAATTCTTGCAAAATATAAATTGAATGAGTACGCACAAACACCACCTGCCTTAATGTCAACAATTTACCTTTTTTATATACATACAGTTTTATTATTATGTATTTTCTGGGTCAAAACACTGTGAAAACCAGATCTCGTCAGAACTTTGGAGCTAAGCAGGGCAGGGTCTGGTTAGTACTGTGATGGGAGACCTCTGGGAAAACCGTGTGACACAGTGGGGTGGCTGTGGCTTTAAAGTGCCAAGCTGTTATAGGCAAGACACTTCATCCACAAGAATAAGTCTGTGTGTGTGTGTGTGTGTGTGTGTGTGTGTGAATGATTGGTGGTGGTTAGAGGGGACTTTGAATTCATTAACACCACTTCACATATATCACAAGCTGAGGCCCAGGTTGCAAAAGTGACTATAGTTGAGGCATTTCAACACGGGTCTGCAGTGTATTAACACCTATAGATTCTCACAATATGTTACAGACAGAAGTTGTATAATGTTATTGAAATGGGACCTGGGTTAAAAACAACCGATCGGTGTGTGCTGTAAAAAAAAATATGCTGATTTTACAAATAATCAATATTCTCACCTGTTCCTGCTCCCTGCCGCCTCCTTCCAGATCGCCCAACAGTGCATTGATGGAAGTGGTGTCGCTCACAGCTGCAGACACTGACTACAATAACATTCATACATTATTTATCACATCTATCTGATTGCTTTTGGGGAATGGGCATGTTTCCAGTTGTACCCTGGACTGTCGATGCTTCCTGTGGCAGTAGAGCAGGTACAGAGGCTTTCCCAGCAACAAAACAGGAACTGAAGTCAACACTAGCACCATCAGAGCCGTCTGCACACACCACTGGAACAAGAGAAGAACTGTTTTAACCTGGATTTAAACATTGTCAGAGAAGGAGCCTGTCTCACATTTTCAGGAAAGACAGATTTTTGCTGAATGAAAAAAAAAAGAGTCCCAGCATGAGGCCAGTCCTTGTGCCACTCAGAGTCCAAGTTGGTTCCTATGGCACCAACTCAGATTTACTTTGGTTTTTTGCGTTTTTTCAAATAAATAAACCGTAAATGGTGCTCTATTGTTGCAACAGTAGAATTACGGAAAAATATCAGGTCAATTTATTTACAATCTGCACTTTTTGTGGATTGGTTAAACTCGCTGTCCGAAGATCCAGCACTGAACAAAAACTGGAAATATTAATCTTTCTATCAACGGCCATGTGACAGGTGACGATGGCTCCTTTAACTAAAACATATAAGCTCCAAATAGTTGTGAATTGACTCAAAATCGTCCCTGGTTTCTCCAAGTTTTTCAAAGTTAGGGCCAAAGTACAATTAACCAATACTTGTGGAATGAAAAGTTGAAATTTGAGTTGCATAAATAGTCATCGTATTCTCCCAAAACCTTTAACGCTACACTTATCGAATTAAAGTTAAAATAATGGGATATAAGAAGAATAAATGTGACCCACTTGTCCTTTATAAAGAGGCAGTGTTTCCTTGTTGTCCATGAACAGAACCATGTTGATGAAATGCAGGAGGAGACTCGGGGCTCGCTCCGACTGCTGCGCGTCCAGAAACAGCCACTTGTAGAAGATCATAAAGACCAGGTATCCGAACAATCCCAGCATGAAAACCAACTCTGGGAGAAGAACCAGCAGCACGTCCGACCACCGACGCCTGTAACTGGAGAAGAATGACAGAAAAGACATTAGAAATTCATTAGTTATAGCCTGTTTGTCTTCCCTCTCAATATGGGTCTCTCTGAAGTCGTTTTTTTGCACTTATTTGTTTGTTTGAGTGATTTTGATCCTTACCGATGCAGGAGGGTCTGAGGACAGTGGTAATCCAGGACATTTAGGGACATTTATTGATATCTATGGACATTGGTCATCCTGCCCCCTATAAAATAATAGTGTTGTTGCTTATGTCATCTTCAGTCCTCGTTCTACAGCCTGAGTCCCTCCTATGAACCAATGGCTTTCTGTGTGTAATTCCTGTGTTTGATTCTCTGATCTGTTGTTGGTGAATTGACTTCTTTGTAAGGACTAATCTTGTGATTTACGGTTACAAAAAACTAATAATAAACCTTCAAATTAAATAAATAGCTGATAAAGTGTGTATTTATTTTTACAAAGTCAGGGATTGAACAACATGGCTAAAACACACACTGTATAAGACCAATATTTGGACATGTAAAGCATTATTTTTGTTTTCGGAAAATTTACTGCCTTTTAAAATGTGGAAATAGTAAAAATGTGTGTAAAAACAAGAAAAGAAATGGTTGAAGAAAGAGAAGTGCTCATGGATAAAGTTTTATTCCGCTTGGTTCCATTAACTTCAATGCGGTTTGATCCTTGCCTATATATTTTGATATTGTCTTCATCCAAATACAGTATGTCCCGGCTGATTAAGGGAAGGGCTTTGAAGTGAAGTCAATGGAACCAAGTGGAACAATACTTTGCCCATGAGCACTTCTCTAAAGGGCTTGATAGAGATGGTGGGCTAACATTATCCAAACAGTCTGGTTGTAATATGGTTTAAAGAAAAAAGATACAAGAACATTTAAACAACTACTTATGACACACAATGAAAAAAGCATATTGTAAGTACATACTTGTGTTATACTTGTGTTACCTGTAGTTGAAGAAGGAAAGGCAGATTCCAAAAGTCATGTGAAAAACCCCGATAATGATGGACATCTTCATCTTGTACGAATTTAAGAACGACAAGCGGTTGTTCGCGAGGTGCCAAATCTGCAACACACGATAGATTAAAGCTGTGGTACCTAATTTACACACTTTGCTTATCGGTAAATGAGAAACATCTGTCTTCATTTTATTAGTAAAGTACATGTTATTATGCATAGTTGTTATCAAGAGCCTTTTGAGTCACTATTAGACGCTGAGAGCTGATTGGCTGACTGAGGGTGGTCCTCTCTTTTTCACTTATCTGTCTGAAAAAGCGGATCTAAAGATGTGACAGAAGCTGAAAATACGTATGTGAAAACTAGTAATATGGATCTTAATATATTCGTTATACATTTACACAATAATCTCCCCAATACTGACACTACTGTAAATAAGGTTGCATATGTTGTTGAAAATGTGCTATACAACTTAAGCAAACATTGACATTGACATTTTTGTGGATCACTTTCATTCAAATGTATAGAAAACAACAACCATAGCTGTATATATGTGTGTGTAAGTGTGAAAATACCTTTGAACCGCTAACCCAATATGCTAAGCCATTTATGAGCCACGCAGCCATTTCTCTGACTGATATTATGGATTTTATTGTTTTGAGGAAGAATTCAACTTGACACTAGAAAAAAACGTTACCGGGTCGATTCCCAGAGGATACGGTCCCAGAAAGACTCCTGTTGTGTTCGGATCCAAACTCAAAATAGGGTTCGTCTTCAGAGTTTTTTCACTGCATAAAAACAATGAAGCAAAAATAAATATAGGTATAACTTAGTACGCAAAATATCTAAATAACATTTGATTTATGGAATTATATTTATATCTATTGTAGTTTTTTAGGAAAAAGCCTGAATATTTGCAACACTCAATTATCCGTTTTAAATATTAAAACGCATATTGATTTCTCAGAAGAAATTTTAATGATCCAATAGTAAGGAAATAGTAATATCCATCCCAACAAAAGACTTAACTATTGATCCAGTTTGTTTTGGCATCTTTGACATTTCGCTGCAATATTTTTCCAACAGAATTCAAGAATATATATAAAATATATATATTAAATTAAAGGTGTTATAAGTGCAGCTGTATTAGTGTCACCTCCAGTTCATGGGCCGCAGGTGCCAGCCCGAGGGGAAAGCGCTGACTCCGCGGCTGAAGCAGTCGTTGTAAATGGCTCCGGTGTAAATGGAGAAAAGTCCCATCAGTAAAATCAGGAACCGACCTCCGAACACCAGCTGCCACAACTTCAGGGAAACACAACAACATTTCAGATATTTAGGCAGTAGACACAATAAAGTCCTCATTCTACAGCCTGAGTCCTGGATCCACAGCCTGAGTCCTGGATCCACAGCCTGAGTCCTGGATCCACAGCCTCAGTCCTGGATCTTCAGCCTCAGTCCTGAATCTACAGCCTGAGTCCTGGATCTACAGCCTCAGTCCTGGATCTACAGCCTGAGTCCTGGATCTACAGCCTGAGTCCTGGATCTACAGCCTGAGTCCTGGATCTACAGCCTGAGTCCTGGATCTACAGCCTGAGTCCTGGATCTACAGCCAGTCCTTCTGTGGGATCTGATCACTCACTTTTTCCCCACTGGGTTTTTTTTAAGAGTCTACGGACAGTGATGATCCGGGACATTCAAGGACATTTATGGACATCGGTCGTCCGCTTTATATGGACCAATGGCTCCTATGTGTTTGTCATACTTGCATATTTACAGTGTTCGCACTTTGTCTGATCTGTTGTAGGCAAATTAACAACTTTGTGGAGCCCTCTGAGACTATACAAAAAATTTAATTTAATTGAATTGAATTAAAAGTCAGATAAAAGATCCACTTACAGACAAGGAACTATTCAAAAACTCAGTGGGAAAAAGTGAAAAAGGGAGGTCCATATAGAGAGAGGGATCCACTCCCATGGACGGAAAAGCTACAGATCTAGGACTCCAGGACTCGAGCTGTGGAACAAGGAGTAAGGTTGTGCAGTGCAGGATTGAAGGGGCTCCCTAGATTTTAAGTCAATTCATTTTAGACCAGTCCTAAATCCCAACAGCAGTCATCTCGACAGGCCTTTACAAAGAACTTTCAAAGACTTTTACCGAGTTCACTTTGGGGAAGTTGCTCCATGAATCTGGGTCAACTTGGTCCAGTGAAGGTGAACCAGACCAACAAGTACCTCATTTTTATTGCGACGGCTGTTGTTTTCCTCCTTGAGCAGAATCATCCACAGAGCGGCTGCAGCCATCAGCAAACCGTGGCCCAGGTCTCCAAACATCACAGCGAACAGGAACGGGAAGGTCACCACAGTGAACACGGCTGCTCAGACACACAACAGTAAATACAGGGTTTTAACCAGTCCTTTTCACTACAGCAACATTGAAAGACTTGAAAATACACAGAGTTAAAACCATGATTTTGTTTGTATTAGTGTCTGAATATCTAGTATTGGTTGTTTAAAATCATCCTTTTAAAATATCCAATAAAAGGCCTACATTATTTGCAAAATCTATTGAAATGCCTTAATGGTATAAAGGAGGATTTCCCAAATTTTAGGAAAGAACCGCCCTCTCCACTTTTTCAACAAAACTCCTTGGTCTTATTTGACCAGAGAGTTGACATTTAGGAGGAAGACTTGTCTTGCTGATCCACCCGGAAGTAGAAAATCCTCCTATTCACCTTTAATATTAGAGCTAGAGAGGTGGAAGAAGGTAAATAATCATGTAAATTGGTGGTGCGAGGGGAACTGGTATGATGAAGGACATGGTCTTTATAGTTTATTTATTTAGCTTAATTTAACCTCATAAGGTCATTTGTCCTCTGCATTTGACCCACTCTGCAATACAAAGCATAGAATTTAGAATGTGTATAACTTGTATGACTGTGAAGTTTTGAGAATTGAGATGAATTGAAGGATGTGGGGTAAAAATGCAGATACCCGATAGACACAGAAAAACAGATGCCACGACACTGGGTAACTTGTTCTTTCTTTCTAATCCCCCCATGAGTCTATTACAATATTATGAGACCTGGGTTGATCTCTTTGTACTGGGCCACTCCGTAAGCGTCGACGAGGCTCTGGAACGCTGCCGTGAAGGCGTTTGTGACGAACAGCGTCGGAGGAAGAGGAGACGAGGAGGAGAGAGGGAGGCGGTTGTAGAAGGAGTCCACCACGCTGCCACTTTTCCTCTGCAGAAGATAATATACTAAATACGTCACAGTACGAGCAGTGCTTTAGAAGGATCACAGTCATCCATTTATTAGACATCAATAATTAATGTTGTATAAAAGTCTATAGTGTTTTCATGTATCACTGACTAATCACAAAGTAACTTATAGTTGTATTAAACACATTAATAATGCATTGGATATATATAGCCATTTTTAGACACATGCCATTAATCTATCACGCCATGCACAGTGGTGATAAACTACTACTGTAGCCACAGCTGTCCTGGGACAGACTGACAGAAGCGAGGCAACCAGTCTGTGCCATTGGCCCCTCCGACCACCACCAACCATTCACACACACACCAGACTCATTCTATAGGCAATGTGGGTGAAGTGTCTTGCCAAGGGACACAGCAACAGTTTGTTACTTTACAGCCACAGCCGCCCCACTGTGGCACATGGTGTTCCTGATTAGCTTCAGAGACTTGACAGTACATGGCTTTCATATGCAGGTTTGGCCACATTAAGGAAAAACTGAAAAACTATACGTAGCTGTTGCCACATTGGTAACTTGCACTTTTGTATCTGTATTTTAATCTGTATGTTTAATGATTGTATTGTCAAGTACTACAGATGGAAAGTAGTGGTGCTAAATCTGGTGCAGCCATCGTTAAAATGTAACAGCACATTAAATTAACTAAACTGAAGGAAATAACAAAATAAAACTGCCAAAAATAATGCACAATATGTATTCTTTAAAGTCAATCACATGCTGCAGAGTTTCTGGTCATAGTTAGTGTATGATTGGTATAACACATGAACACATGATGAACACATAAATGAACACTTGATGAACACTTGATGAACAAATGAAAACATGATGAACACACGAACTCACGGTCCCCTCGATGAGAGCGCTCTGAAGCAGCAGCAGCTTCTTGGTCGGACTCCAGGCCTCCGCGATCAGACACTTCTCTGTGACAGACGGACTGCACAGGTTCAGGACAGAGTGGACCGCCTTGCACTTACGCACTCTCACCTGCAGAGGGCGCACACACCGCTATAGTCAAGTGTTATCTTCATTTGGTTGAGGATAGATATTTTCTACAATTTTAAAAAAAAAAGGCTAATTGTAAGTCAAAGAAAATGTGCAAAAATAAATGTGAAGTGGTTTTAATAAATGTTGTTGGTCTTATAACACAATTTTCCATTGGGAATACATTTCCTCATTTACAGTTTTTCTTCTCCCAATGGTAAATCTTGTTTGTGGAATGTTTTATTACTTAGGTCTAGGGTAATAACGTTGATTAAAAAAGCAGTTTATTATAAAAAATAATCTCGTTTGAATGAAATAATACCAGACCTTCCACACTGGCAGCACAGAGACACACTGAGACAACAGCTGCTGGAGGTAACTCTCAGTCTGGGACAAAACCTGAAAACAAATGTATAAATGCACAAACTCAACAGCAATTGTCTATTTTGAAATTCTGCTGGTAAAATGAACAAAAAGGGGAGGAAAAACCAGCAAAAACTCGACACTAACTTTAGAAATATCTTCAATTCTGTTCTTCAGTCCGTCTAACAGCTCCTCTCTGACGTCTGCGCTCTCTGGGTAGAAGAAAGTGTTCGTGTGGAAGCTGAAAATAGAAACAGAATAAGTCTATATTAAAATTATGTAAGATAAACACATATATGGATACAGAGAAATAAACAAACCAGTCACAGATTTTCTTGATTTTTCGTCCAATAGTTTTCCCCCAATATGAGATGAGAAATATCGTCCATTGTGCCCCTTCCCCCTAGAAACAATAACACATAGAAAAGGCCCGTGGGCTAAATCCATAGACTGTATATACTAAATCCGGCCTGCGAGATCATTTCTAGTGGCCCTGGAAATGATTTTTAACAGCAGCATTGATGGGATACAATGGCATGTTATACTTCATTTTAAAGCTTATTTTCCCAGGAGAGTAACTATATAATTGAATCTGTTCTATAATGTTAAATATCATGTGATTAAAAGTAAATTTATTATAATTCTAATATATTCATTTATTTATTTGATAGGGACACGTTTACACAATCAACATCTGAAACACTACAACATTTATAGCCAAGGCTAATTTTCAAAGTCCGTCCCATAGAAGGACTTAATAAAATACTTAATACTACTTTATATTTATCTATCAATCAATCAATTACATATTTTTCTTATATTTGGCTCAGTTGTGATTGAATCCAAACCTACCATAAAATAATATCCAAGCTCATGTCAAATAAAATTAATATGCCAAAATTAAAAAATATGTAAAAATGAATAAATAAAATAAGGATAATTGCCCCAGCTAGCTCCAATGATTTTTAACTTGGCTCCCAACCAAAATGAGTGTGACAGCCCCTGCTCTAGATTGTGATTCGTGAACATAGGCTAATTTATTCATCTGAAAAAACATGTGGTAATAAACTTGTGTCTCACAGTTTCAGAGTTTTCCGGTTTGTTTTGCATTTCCTGGAAGTGGATAATGAAATAGCCCCTGCAGACTCGCCACAGCAGACGCTCAAAAGCCGCCACTTTCCACGGATGCACCACTCCAGCCACAAAACTGAAATCAAAAACTCAAAATCATGAATATCAGGTAAGACAAGATTTCCTGCCCCCCGTACGCGAGGGAAGTCTGGGGGTCTCTGCTCAGACTGCTGCCCCCGTGACCCGGCCACGGATGAAGCGGAAGAACATGGATGGATCATGACAGACTATAGTATGTTATTATTGATACATTCATTTGTTTTTGTGATTCTAACCTGAGATGATTGTCGCTGTCGTCCAGGGTTGAAAAATCCAGCGAAGCGTGTGGAGGAGGGAGACTCTGTGAAAACAAACTATTATTTACTTTTACTTCTTCAATTGTTTTTGTGTTATATTCTTTTCCCCATACAGTTGACAGTTCTAGATGTGTATTATGTAATGTATTGAATGTAACAATATTAATTATGTCTTTGAAAACTTCTTGTTGTTTCTTTAGTTTGAATTATTAGTTTGTTTGTTTGATTTTTGTCATACATATTTACACTAAAAAAGGTTGTAAATACAAGTTTATATTGTATTCATTGTAGAATAAAATACAAAATAAATGTATGTTTCCCTCTTTTCTCTTTCTTTCTTATGTTTCTTCCTGTTTTTAAGTCTTGTCTTAAAACTCAGTTCTTCTCACTCGTTTTTAATTGATTTTGTATTTTTTGCTGTAAATAGTGTGTTTTTTCCACTGCTTTGTGTTTTCCATTGTATTTTTTGTATGTCTTTTTATGTGCAGCATTTTGGTCAACTTGGTTTTTTTTACTAGTGCTTTTTAAATAAACTGGACTGGACTGGATATTACACATGTACATTCACTTGATGTTGTGCTAAAGTCAGAACTTACACAGTCTGTTACTGAGTATGTTAAGCAGCAGCACACACTTTAAAACCATAGACTGTAAATATGTAAAACCATAGACTGTAAATATGTAAAACCATAGACTGTAAATATTATTATCATTATTATTTGAATTACTGTAAAACCTCTCGTCTCTGACCTGGGAGTGAACAGCATTGTGGGTCTGCAGCAGCACGGCTCTGTACTGACACAGATGGAGCAGCTGTCGCCTCAGACTCTGCCTGTTTGTGGAAACCTGCACAAAACGACGTCATATATAATAAAATCATGACGACAATTACAACATACAGCAACCAGTGACCGGATGGATCAGTGCCAAGAAAGTTAAGGAAGTTGTGTTGAAGCTATAATCATTGTTAGTCCTTGATTCTAAGTTTCCTCTCCACACTGACAATCATTTCAAAGTGTAAATAACTCAAAATATTTACGTAAAAATGTACGTATAGATCCTAAATTACGTTGTTGTGTTGTTTTAAAGGGGAGTTATGCAACCTTTTATGTGGACAAAAGTGAGAGGAGATCTCTCGATACAACTGGTTTGTCGTATGTACTGTATATATTAGCCATATCTATGAATTGTGGTGTTCAAATAGACCTGGTGTGCAGCTCACCTCAGACAGTTGTGTGGCCAGCCTCTCGCTCTGCTCCTCCATCAGCAGCAGGTCTCTGGGCGCAGGGGCCGGGGCGGAGCCGGGGGTTCCCATGACGTCATCCAGAGACCGGGACAACACCGAGGACACCTGCTGCTCCAGGAACTCTGCAAACATCAGGGGGATTATTTAAGCTATTTCATCTATCTATTTCATCTATCTATTTCTCTATCAGTCTGTCTATCTATCTATCTATCTATTTACTGTTGTGTGTATAGACTGCGCTATACAAATAAACTTTCCTTTATGAAGCAAACACAAACAATTCTCACCAAATCTCTTCTCCAGCTCCTCACATCTCCGTATTTCATTCACAAATTTCCTCTGGAACAAGTTCACATCTGGATTTAGCTGCAAATAAAATAAAAAAACAAATGAAAACAATGTGGAGACTGTGTTTGTTTATAGAAAGTTTAGACAACACTTTTAGTTAAAACTGTTTCAGTGGATTTCCAGAAACAGAAAAATGGAGGGACTAAAAAAGGCATTTGTATATAGTCCATCTTGTATATTTTCATTTCTCGATTGTTTCATTAACACAGATTCAGATTCAGATTATTTTGATTTGTCATTTGCAGTAAAACCACATTGGAATACATCCGCAAAAGTCCCCAGTGTGCACCAGACAAACACATTACTAAAACAAGACAATTGCCACTTTGAAGTTGATCAACAAAAACAGTTCCAAGACAAGTGCTAAACATAATCAAGATTGTCACATCTAAAACTCTTGCCCTATCTTACAGAGAAAAAAAATATATCTTGACAGTTTTTCAACGGCTTTTTGTGTTTTTTTAATGCATTTCCTGTGGTTGAACTGTTTGATTCTCTGATCTGTGTTGGCGAATCGACAGCTTTGTGAAGTCCTCTGAGATAATTATGATTTAGGGCTATACAAGAATACATTGAATTGAATTGAATGTATTTATTTATTCAATTATTTAGACTTTATTAAGAACTCACAAGCAGACACATGATCCGTAATAGAATAAAATAAAATAGAATCTGGGAAAAAAAGGATTTGAAGTGATTAAAAGAACTTTGAAAGCACTTACATCTCTAAACTCCAGTATTCCCAGTTCTCCCAGTTCACTGATGCAGTTGTAGGCCGACCCCGACTGGAGGAAGATCTGCACCAGGCACATGTCTTCACTCCGAAACATCGCTCCAACCTCAAATATCGCTTATGATAGTTTTAAAAAGCATCAGATGTGGCTAACAGCTGCTGGAACAGATGTTTAGAGCTGGTTTTAGCTGTGGCTGAAGTGGAAAATGTTGTTTTGGAGGAAGTTTAAATGAAAGTAACTGGGTTCATGTGACCAAAGGCGGGAGTTTGGAATAATCTAATTTACTGAAGAGAGGAGCAGTGTGAACCAGAAGGAAGAGCAGTGTGTGTCTAAAAACAGGGTTAAAAGACTCGACATGTCACATATGTGGAGAATTGTGTTACTTTTTCTTGATTGTGAATTTGCATTTTAAGCAAAAACGAAAAATGGGACCATCAAAACAGGAAGTGGGAAAATAGAACTGGTGCAGTGGTTCTCGGAGAGAGCTAAAAACAATTGTTGTTGGTGAAATATACAGGTTTGACTGTTTTGTGTAGTTAAAAACACATATTCATAAACATGTATGAAGCGAATGTACATTTGTCAAACCGTAAGAGCTCGCCAAAGAAAGACATTGTAAAAAGGTTATATTGTACGTGGAATAATTTGAAAAAAGGACAACAATAACAACAACAACAATATTACTCTGGGAATTTCGACTCATATTAAAGCTGGGGTACCTAAAAACAATCCATCTCATATAGTTCCTGGCACACAAAAAATCATCAGCCACAGCTGCCCTGGGGCACACTGACAGAAGCGAGGCAACCAGTCTCTCCGACCACCACCAAACATTCACACACACACCAGAATCATTCTAGGCAATGTGCGAAAAGTATCTAGCCAAAGGACACAACAACAGTTTGGCACTTTACAGCCGCAGCCGCCCCACTGTGGCACCTGGTGTCTCCCATCACAGTTCTAACCAGGCCCTGCCCTACTTAGCTCCAGAGGTCTTACGGGATCTAGCTTCTATGCAGGTATGATATTTTTCTACATAATTACATTTATTTAGTTTGAAAGTTACAGGAGTTCCACCTTTAAGTTACAGCAACCTTTATAAAATATTCACGTCTAAAACAAAAAAAGTTGCATTATTCTTCATATTGTGGCCCCTGAAAATGATCCTTCAGCACAAACAGGCGATCAGTGGCTCTTTTGATCACGCAGGTTGCACACCCCTCACTACATTTCTCCCACTGCTCCTTTGACGCACGCGCTCTCCGTGTGGTCCATATTACGCGCGGGTGATCAGATGGACTGTGGGGGAGAGAGGTTTATCGTCTTGAACTGGCGCTGCCTAATCCGCGCTTAGAGGCTTATTGAGACGTGGCTACAACACATCTTCACCTTATTACCTCCTACTCCCACTATTCCCCGCATCCAAACCACTTTATTCCCCCAGAAATCCACTCCCACCCTCGTGCGTAAAAGTCGCATCTCTCAAAACCGCTTTGGCAGATGATTCGATTTTCCCATCAAAGCTCAGCATCCAGTACTTGGTTTTACCTGGACAACTTGGGGGCCATTTTATTAGCTCTATGTTAGCGTCGCGTTTTATGTCAGTTTTTTAACGTGTCTGTTTTTGGAAGCGGGAGCGGGAGTCATCATGAAGGACCGTCTGGCGCAGCTGAAAGAGGTAATCATTGGTTTGCATCATTTTGGGAGAGATTGCGCAGAGTATTGCACCTGTTGCGTCCAACTACATTAGCCTACTGTCACACTGACCCTGGATGGCCCTTAATGGTGGCTCCAGATTTTGATAGTATTCAGTTGAGTGTCATATATTTTACACCTTAAGTAACTATATATCATAATTAGAAATTATTTTCTTTCATCTACCTATTTCCCTTTTCAGCTCTGAATAAAATTGTTTATATTTTAGGTCAAGCTGTGTGAAAATATGTGACTGTTTGGTGTTTCTTCTTGAGTTTATTTATGGTTTGAGGCTCCAATATTGAAACCCTAACCCAAGGCAAGTTTATTTGTATCGCACAGTTCATACTCAGGCAACTCAAAGAGCTGAACAAAACTAGCTGCCTCCCCATTTTAGTCCTGACTCTGGGACCAGCAGGAGGCCAGTCCCTGTGCTCCTCAGAGTCCCAGCAGGAGGACAGTCCCTGTGCTCCTCAGAGTTCCAGCAGAAGGCCAGTCCCTGTGCTCCTCAGAGTCCCAGCAGGAGGACAGTCCCTGTGCTCCTCAGAGTCTCAGCAGAAGGCCAGTCCGTGTGCTCCTCAGTGTTCCAGCAGGAGGACAGTCCCTGTGCTCCTCAGAATCACAGGAGGCCAGTCCCTGTGCTCCTCAGAGTCCCAGCAGGAGGCCAGTCCCTGTGCTCCTCTTAGTCCCAGCAGGAGGCCAGTCCCTGTGCTCCTCAGAGTCCCAGCAGGAGGCCAGTCCCTGTGCTCCTCAGAGTTCCAGCAGGAGGCCAGTCCCTGTGCTCCTCAGAGTTCCAGCAGGAGGCCAGTCCCTGTGCTCCTCAGAGTCCCAGCAGGAGGACAGTCCCTGTGCTCCTCAGAGTCTCAGCAGAAGGCCAGTCCCTGTGCTCCTCAGAGTCCCAGCAGGAGGACAGTCCCTGTGCTCCTCAGAATCACAGGAGGCCAGTCCCTGTGCTCCTCAGAGTCCCAGCAGGAGGCCAGTCCCTGTGCTCCTCTTAGTCCCAGCAGGAGGCCAGTACCTGTGCTCCTCAGTCTTGTGCACAAGCAGAGATGCTATTCTCTGAGCTACAGTCATTTTGGTTTATTAAAATATGTACTCACTTAAAATATTGTAATATACTCATAAAAAATGAATGAGTCCAGAAAATGTCAGTTCTCGGTGTATCTCCATGACAACACAAATGACTGACAGGAGCAACAACTGTGTGACATGAACAGATATCAAAAAGAACACTCCACATTATTCTTCAGTTTCTTCATTTCTTTTTAGTTTGACTGTTGTGTTATACATCTTTTCCATACATTTAGTTGTGTGTCAATTACAAATATCTGTTAAAATCTGAAACAAATGTGTGTGATATAAATGTGTGTGCGTAAATACTGACACTATTCCAGATGAAATACATACAATTAGTGATGGGTTTTTTGTCACAGAAAAGTGATGTTGGAGGAGATGATGTGGAAGTTCCAGTGGAAAATGAGGCGTTCATGGACGACTTCTTTACTCAGGTAAAATATTGATTACTACTAATACTTCCTGTATATCAAAGCCAGATCCTGTCAGACCTCTGAAGCTCAGCAGGGCAGGGTCTGGTTAGTACTGTGATGGGAGACCTCTGGGAACACCACAGTGGGGAGTGTATGACTAGTTGGTGGTGGTCTGAGGGGCCGCTGTCACAAATTGGTTGCCTTGCTACTGTCGGTGTGCTTTCCTGTGTCCCCAGGGCAGCTGTGGCTACAGTATTAGTCTATCACTGTGTATGGAGTGAATGAGTAATGCCATGTGAAGCGTCTTTGAGTGTCCAGAAAAGCGCTAGATAAAACTAAACATTATCTTTTTTATTCTACTTTTACTTGTGAATCTTGTTTACATTGCACCACTGCTTTCAACAGCACTGGCACATTTACAATTTGTGTACAACTTGTATATGATTGTTCATTAATGTGTGTTGTCCCGATCAAATAAATAAATAAATAAATAAAAAAGCACCCTTCACATACAGCCCCGTAGCAAGTGCAATTTAAAACTACAAATTCTTTCTACAAAAAAGGACTCAAAGTATTGTGTAGTTTTATGAAAAATCATTTGCTATAATTGTTACTGATATGTCCGAATAAAAAACACAAAGCTTTGTTGGTTTTTAGGCTGAAGACATTCGAATCAGCATCGACAAAATGGAAGAGAGCATCACTGAAATCAAGAAAATATACTCCACCATTTTGTCAGCACCAACTTCAGAGCAGAGTGAGACTTCGTCGAGTTTTTGCAAATACACAGAAAATCGATTCATTCAAAGAAAATCTGTTTACCCTTTTGTTGACTCTCCGCAGAAACACAAGACAATCTGGAATCACTCACGAATGACATCAAGAAAGCAGCGAACAACGCCAGAAACAAACTCAAAAGTATGTGCATTCACGTGAAAGCCTGATCCTAGCAGAACTCAGAAGCTAAGTAGGACAGGGCCTGGTTAGTGCTGTGATGGGAGACCTTTGGGAACTCCACGTGCCACAGTGTAAACTACCAAACTGTCATTGTGTCCTTGAAAAGAAACCAGATGCACATTCACTCTGAGTCTGGTATGTGCGTACAATGATGGTAGCCCTGCCTCTATCAGTCTGTCCCAGGGCAGCTGTGGCTAGTTCCCCACCAATGTGTACAGCGTGAATTCATAACGCCATGTGAAGAACGTCAACCAATGCATTATTTGTATGATGTGTAAATAGTAAGGTAACAGGATAATGCAAAAAGAATTTAAGGTCTAAGCCACTAACGCCAGCTGTCTTTTAACTCGTTCATTGTGCTTTTGTCACAATTATTACACGTGATAATTTAAAAACACAATGCTCTATAATATATATAATATGTTGTTTTCCCTCAGCCATCGAGCAGCAGCTGGCCTCCAACACCGACGAGAGAGCTTCAGCCGACCTCAGGATACGCAAGTCACAGGTTTGACACATCTGCTCTACAAACACACACATACACACTGACACACATGCACACACACAGACAAGCAGATACAGAGAGAAAGAGAGGGATAGACACACACAGAGAGAGACACATACACACACAGATACACACACACGGAGAGAGAGAGAGAGACACATGAACACAAACAGATATAGAGAGAAAGAGAGGGAGAGACACACAGACACACACACAGATATAGAGAGAGAAAGAGAGAGAGAGAGAGACACACACAAACACACACATACACGTTTTTGTTACCTGGTGGGTCCCTTTGACAGGGCCGTTCAGAATGGGACCCATAGACATAATCTTTTTTTACCAAGACTTTAAGTAATACAAAACAGTCAATAGAAACCAAACAACTATTTTAAAGGAATTTTATTTTAGATTTTGTTTTCGAATTGCAGTGATTCTATTTTTGACATAGAATTTAATGCCACTCCATGTCCGATGTCTAAGGTCATCTGGTGAGGCATTAATGCAGGCCAGGCAGTGAGACTTCCCAGGGACCTTTCCAGTCTGTATGAAAGGTGTCATGGTCTTCTCCACAGCCTTCACCTCAGATGCAGACCATGGCTTTCTTACACGTTCTAGGGAGAGAAATAAAAATATATTAGCAATATACACTCCCAGGGTGAGGACCAAGCAGCCTGGCTGTAATCCCCCACCTGGTACACTTACCAGAAGGGGCACTGCCACTACCATGGGGTGCATCTGGATGAATGGTTGAAGGTTCTCCGCTTGAAGTTTCTTTTAGCCCGTCCGTTTGTGAGAGGATCTCTACTGCTCTCCCTGTCGCACAGAAAATAAAAATACAAGTGGCCTTTAGGGGAAAAAAATCATACATATTTTAATAATATCAAGAATTACCTTCAGGCTCAATTTGTATCTGGTCGAGGCTCTTTCCTTCGAATTCCGTCACTCTTCCCTGCTCCATGGCCATCAACACTTTGCTGATTTTGGCCAGCTCCAGTGTCCCCTCTGGTAGTCTGTAATATTGCCTGTGGATGCGAATGTCATGGCCGAGGAAGTTGGCAAGTATGTCCATCTCATTCTCTTTCATATTGAGAACTGTAGACATAGTAGCTATGTGCTTTCTAAGTTTGGTTGAGGATAGCATCTCTGGATGCACCGCACCACATTCTTTGGCTACCTGGCGTAGGGAGTCTGATCCCCTGATGTGGGTGTCTGCGCCCGGGCGGGAAAAGAAGTATGGGTTATGGTCAGAGATGGAACAGGCCCTTCTGTTCTCCACCAGCACCTCCATCGAAGCAATCATTTCAGGAGTCAAAAGAACCGGCACTTTCCGACTTCTTTTCCCTTTAATTTCAATGCGTTGAAAATGCTGACACAGCTTTTTCTCAAGTTGGGACAGTCCCAGAGCAATGTCAGAATGGATCCCAGTCTTACTTCTTAAGGTAAAGGCTGTCAGTGGCATCTTTGAAACCTCACCTTCCCTTCTTCGATTGAAAATGATGACCTCACAAAGAGTCAAAACTGCCAGTTTAGACCAATGCTTAAGACGTTGGCTCACTTATTAGGGTTTGCACATATTCAGGTCGACATACCTCAATATGTGCATGCATGGCTCTAACGTCCTCAGTCAGAGGGAGCAGGTCCGGAGTGTTCCACTTGGCTTGCCGGAGGGTCTGTAGGGCAGCAGAAGAAACACAGACGTCCCACCTCTTCTCAAAAAGCAGCCGGCTTCGTTGGAGGTTTTTAATAAATAGTTCATCAACACAATGCTCCATTTTTGAGTCACATTCAAGAATATCTGCTAGCTTTCTGAGGCTATGGCCGAGTTTGAGGGCCAAGGATGGAGTCTTGTATTGATTTGTTTCCTCATCATATCCAGCCACAGACCTGACTGCATCAATCACATGGTTAAAGTTGGAAGGAATAAAGAAATCCTTAATTGTTTTCAGTTTCCCTGCGGTTTTTGCTTCGTTAATTAACCTACCGACTTCTCTCATTTTCTGCCTAATGTAATCATGCTTTGTCTTATCATGCCCGTGTTTTAAGTACAGGTGCTCTCCGAGTCTCAGAATCCCCTTTTCTGCTTTGACAACACCCGTGACCTCATCCTGATGCATTGCCGAAATTAAAGACCACAGCTTTTTGCTGATGCCCTCCGGTACAGGCTGGGCTAGGGAGCAGAGGGACTGGACCCTACTTCTACCTGGTTTAGCCTGGGCATCTTTCTGTGAAAGCCGGCACCTGGCCACATGCCTCCACAGCGACTTTCGCTTAAGCAATGCCCCACAGTCTATACAGTGCAAAAACTCACTGGATTTAACTGGGGAATTTGGCTGTTTAGCTGGGACTAAAGTTCCAATGCCGGCCTTTAAAACCTCAACATTGTGCTCACGGTTTCCACTATTCCTGATCAAATCAAACTGAAGTTTACGTGCTTTAGATTTCACAGGTAGAGCCAATGCTCTGGCTACGTCACTTTCATTTCCATGTTTTCTAGTCAAATGACGGGACATTTTGTGGCAGGACATTGAACAGTAGAGGCAGAAGTGTCTCTTGCTGTAAACTCGCCCCCCATTTTTCTTCTTTTGCAGCTGCATGATAACAATCTTATTTGCCTTTGGTTCGTCACTTTCCGAGTCTTGAAGAAAAGTGTTTTTGATTTTTCTTTTTCCATACTTTTTTACAGGTTTCTTCTTGACAGTTAAATCGTCAGAATCTGAGTCGACTTCATCAATTAGGGACTCTTGACTAAGCTGCACAAACAACAAATAATTTGTAATCATTCTATATAACAATTTGAAGTCATGACTTGTAGTCAGCACTTACCAGTGGTTTGTAAGCGTGCGCTTCAGTGTGCTCCTCCATGATTTCTTGCAGCCTAATGAACCACACACTTGCACCTTTTTCTAGCCTGACACCTGATTTCCTCTGTTGTGCTGCTCCATGATTGGCTCCAGCCTGCTGGACTGAAATTGCCCCAGTGTGCCCCTCCTTGATATCCCGCAACCCACCACCAGGGTTCCGACACATAACACACTTTTTTCAGGAAAGTAAACCTCCAGGGGTCCTTTCCATATTTTTACAGACACTGCATAAGGACCGTTAGAAAAGCATTACCCATTGATTATTAAGCTTGGACCAGTGGGGTCCGGTGTTCGGGCCCCACCACGTAAAACCAGTCCCCATGACGTGAGTGGAATCTCAGGTTATGGAACCCACCAGGAGTTGAAAACAAGTGCACACAGATGCAGAGAGAGACACACACACACACACAGATACAGAGAGAGACACACACACACAGATACAGAGAGAGACACACACAGACAGGCAAACACACACACACACAAACAGGTAAACACATTAACATTGTCAAAGCAGTCTGAAGCTGAGCAGGAGAGGGCCTGGATAGTACTAATGATGGGAGACCACTCTAACACACTTACATATACACCTGTAGTTTCTTGTACAACACTGGGTAGTTATGAATAAACAATGCACAAAACTGTAATGTATGCAATGTGCTAAATAAGAATAATGAATTAACAGTCTGTAGAAAACTGTCACTGTATAATAATTAAAACGGACACTTGTTTTTGTCTTTGAAGCATGCGATTCTGGCCAAGAGGTTTGTGGAGGTGATGACGAAGTACAACGAGGCGCAGATGGATTTCAGAGACAAGAGCAAAGGGAGGATCGCCCGACAACTCGAGATCAGTAAGAAACTCTTTATCCACATTTATTCACTGTTTCATAACAATAAGATACACATTTATGTTATTGGTCTGAACACGAGATCAAACAAGGAAGGCCTCAAAAGCAGAACTGCAAGAAAAATATATTCAACAGTCATTGGGATTACATTTTTGTTAAAACTCTGTGATTGAAATGGAATTGAAGTTCCAAACATCTTTACACCTGTCACATAATGTAACATTAGTAAAACAAACCAATGCGGTGTTGTTTCAGCGGGTAAAGCCACGACAGACGAGGAGCTGGAGGAGATGCTGGAGGGAGGGAACTCAGCCGTCTTCTCTGCTGGGGTAAGACCTTTGAATATGTCTGTATATGACTATGTTTTATGACCACAGTGTTTACGCAAATCCATTTTAACGGTAAATTTTCTTATTGCGTCGATTACACGCAAGTATGTATTATGACTGAAAACCCCATCACTCACCGCTGTGGAAAACGAAGGCGAATCTCTCAAAAGTGTGCGCTGTGTCAGGGATGTGAGGTACAACAGGCGGGAAAAACAAAAGCAGTCGCACTCTCGGGTGATTATCAGGAATCACAACTATCTTCTTCATCTAACTGACTTGAATGAAAAGATGAACCAAAGAATAGCTTTTACTTCAGGTCATTTCTAAGATGTCCAATATCTCTGTGCACAGTAAAAAGCAATAACAAAAGCAGAGAGTGAGGTGCCTATAGGGATTAGATTAATATAAGCTTCTTGCTTCGTCCAATCCCATTTCAAACAAAATCAAGGGAAGAATATGTGATTAATTGCTATTCATCACGGGTTAACTATGATTTGAATACAATTAATCACAATTAAATATTTGACAGAACTCATATTTTCATACCTGACCAAAGAGAGAACTTAATTATGGATTGGGACAAAGCAGTTGTTAAAAGATGCTCAGAACAAATCAAGGAGGCGATTGAAATACGGAAACATGCCCCCAGGACTATGAACCGGGACGAAGGGGCTTTTTTACTCTCACACTCCTGGGATTCTGTCCTACATATGACACATAATGAACGCGTTTCATAATCAGATTATTGTTTCAGGGTCTATGTGCACGCTAACATTCTAATCCCAATCATGATCAGATTAAAAACATTTTGCTCATGCAGACGTGGCGACTGTCCAAGGCTTAGATGGTTCTTTTTAATAAAGTCTCAAGAAGCAAGTACATGTCTCTTAGGGAGAAGCGAGTCCCATGTGTGAGACAAGGTGAAGGCCCCCTCGTCTCTGTTGATGGTCCACACCCCCCAATTCCTGCCACGCCTCTAAACCTTACACATAAAGACATAATGAACTTTTTACATGTAATAAGGGGCTACTGTCTGTTGGACTTAGTCAGCTGTGAAACTCACATAAATCTCGTCTTCTTTCCTCAGATCACGGAGTCGAAGATAAACCAGCAGGCTCTGAACGAGATCGAGGCTCGACACAAGGACATCGTGCGGCTGGAGAGCTCCATCAAAGAGCTGCACGACATGTTCATGGACATCGCCATGTTGGTGGAGAATCAGGTACCAATCCAACTGAGGACAGACCATGTAAGACGCAGACCCGAGGATATGGACTGACTCTGGACCGGTGCCTGTTTGGGGACCACTACAATAAGCATAACACTGATTTAGGAATCCCCTCCCCCATTTTCTCATTAATCCAAATGTTCTGATCTTATTATACATTTCAAAATATATATTATTTGTATTTTTTTCCAATGTATTATGTAATTTTGTCTTGATCATTTTTGTCAACTTTTTCATACTTTTCCCTGATTTCTTTGATCTTTGGGATACTCCCTAAAGCAAAAATGTACAGTATTTGTCAATTCCCCATAAACACATTGATTCTGAGCCTGGCTGGATAACAAGACAAAACCCATTAGTCAATATTTACTAAAGCTACTTAATTAATGTTAAGTAATTAAAGGGCCAGGGTCACACAATCTGTTTCTTTGCAACTCAGAGTTTGTACTTAGAGTAAATAATTTTGTGTATAGCCATAAATCACAACAAAGTTTTTGATTCACCAACAACAGATCAAGAGACTCAAACAGTTCCAACACAGGAGCCACTGGTTCACGGACCACTGTCAATAAATGTTAATAATATGTTCATAAATGTCCTTAAATGTCCCGGATCATCACTGTCTTTACACTCTCCAACATCGGCGAGGACTGACTCAACAAACAAACAAAATAATAGGAAAAAAATGAGAAACCTTGGCCCTTGGGGAGGCCCTGGACAGACCGGCTCAGACACTCATTCTCCTGTTGTATTTCATTTGAAAGTTGTGATTTTACTTTCTCTCAGGGTGGAATGATCGAGAGGATTGAGAGCAACATGGACCAGTCGGTGGGTTTCGTGGAGAGGGCTGTGGCCGACACCAAAAAGGCAGCAAAGTTTCAGCAGGAGGCTCGCAGGGTAACTATCTGAGAACAGGATCTAAATGTCTCTAGAAAGGACTTTGTAAACTATTCACTGTTTCTTTAACTCTTAGAAACAAATGATGATCGCCTGCTGCTGCGTGATTCTGGCCGTCATCGTCGGCTCCTTCCTCTACAGTTGGATCAAATAGTGAAGAAGTAAAATGGTTTTGATATTGACTTTTTTACTAATTTATAAAGTGTGGATAGCGCTGTTGGTTTGGACGTAGCTTTTCAAATCTGATAATGGAACGACCAATAGTATGATTTGTGTTTTTCTTAGAGACTTTTACTCTGGAACATTTGTTTGTCAAACAAACCTAATCTTTGATAGATAATTTTAAATGTATTTGTAATTTATGTGGGGACTATTCAAAAGAAAGTTGTTTTTGCTAAAAATTCACTGAAAAAGCTATAATGACATTGAAATTCTGTCCATAGGGTGAAAAGCCTGTTACCTGTTTACTTCCTTCAGGTTTACTTGAAATGTATCTGTAGGTATATGTACAGTATACAGTATGTACAGTATTGTGCGGTGGAGTTGTACCTGTAGGTACAGTATATGTACAGTATTGTGCGGTGGACAGACATTGCTTCCCGTTCATTCTTTCAGTCCATGTAAACTTGACTTTGTTCATGATGATTGCGGCCTGACAACAGCCTTCTTCACAACTGTTCATTATACTGAAATGTTTTTTTACAACCTCTCAACAAATAATGGATTAGATCAACCTGACTTGTGTCTTTTATTCTGGGTAACCTCACTATGCAATATACTTGCCTCTTTACTCTGCACAGTGCACACTATAGTAAGGACAATTGTTGAAACATGTGTTGCTATGCAGCTGCCAAGTGCCCGTCCACTTCCTGGTTCCACATTTTTACCATGGAACTATTGGATTTTTACCAAGCCCCAGGGACCCAAGATGTCTGCCCATGAAAATCAATGGTCTGTGCTCATTGGCACATGCTTGCACCGTGGAGGCTTAAATATCAAAGTAAGTAATCTTTATTTTCATAGCCCATTTTTACAGACCAAGTTCAACCAAAGCACTTTACAATGTTCAGAGTTCAGATATTGTTTCATTCTCTCCACACGATGATGATGGAAGCAAGACGCCGAACACAGAGCTTCATCAAAGCCCCAACCAACACCATCAAGTACTCATTACATTCAGACATATTATACTTGTTGTTAGTGGTGGGGGAAACCGGAGGACCCCGGAGAACATGCAAACTCCACCCAGAAAGGCCCTGTTCCGACTGGGATTCTAACCTAGGACTTTCTTGCTGAGAAGCAAGAGTGCTATCCACTCCACCACCGTGCCACCCAAAAGGATGTAAGTTCATCACTAAGGGCAGTACAGTGGCCAAGTGGTCTCAGCAAGAAGGTCCTGGGCTCAAATCCTGGTTGGAACAGGGTTTTCCTGAGAAGAGTTTTCACGTTCTCCCTGTGCCTGCGTAGGTTTCCCCTACCACTGAAAACATGGACAATAACCGCGACTCTCCTGAAAAAGAGATGCTGAAATCTCAGTGGGACGTTCCTGGTTAAATAAATAACTTAAATTTGCGGGTTCCATTTGCTGAGAGTGTCAGTGAATGGAGCCCTGGCGGTTGCCAGGTTGAGTTTCTGGTTGTCCACATTAAGCTTTAAGAATATGCGCATCAGCAGAATGTTCTGGAGTTTGTTCGGCTGTTTGTGCTTCTGGAGCTTTGAGGTGGGCAACACAAACACCTGCAGATGTTGTAGATTCTAGACACAGACTCGTGTTGAGGCCATTTTGTATAAGTTGTTGCATAATTAAAATGTTGTATACTAATGATTTTGAAAATAGGCCCTCTGAAGAATGTGCACGGGGAAAAACCCCAAGGACAAGGATTGCAAACAGGAATAAAGAGGGTCAAATGGAGAAACTACAATCAGTCATAGAGATACCAACTTTCAAAACGGGACAAATTATTAACTCCAGGAATAAACATTCTTGTCTCTCTGGCGAGGCCAAAAGTCCAAAAACACCATCTGGCTAATCTCTCTCAGGCAGACTGGGAGATTCTCCAAAGGCATTCTGACGCCTCCCAGTGGACACGGGACGTCAGCACACCCGGAAACCTCCACCCTTGGACGCATAAGGATGACGTCATCGGAAGTCTCCCTCATGAGCCCGTGTGTGTGTGTTTTTTGAGGTCAGACAGGACAGGGCACGGACAGGGAAAGACCAGGCAGAGAATAGGAGCACTTCTGTTGAACATTCTGTATCTGATTGTAAAGATAATTAAATGCAGATGTTAAACTTGAATATCGTTTGCCTTACTTCTGCATCCATTTTGAAACACGTTAGTCAAAGGGAATTATTGACTACATTTGGTGACCCGAGACGTGATGGTGCAGAAAAAGACAGAGATGAGCTCAAATATAGACTGGGTCCGTGGGCCGGGAGAATTCTCTCTTCTCTTCTCTCTTCTCTTCGAAAGAGGTAAGCGGATCGTTACTTTTGAAAATCTGCACATTGTTTTAAATGGAAGAGAGAGAGAGAATTCGGCTCGACGGACTGCAGCGTGGCCAGACGACCGCCGTGACGGGGCGTTCTATCGGACGCGATAGAACAATAGTCAGGTTTAGACGTTTTAACCTTGGGGGAAGCATGGGTCCCTCCAAAAAAAACAGAACAGATGATGAAAAGAGCCACAGGGGTATAAGTGCAAAAGAGGCACAACTGTTTAGATAAATAGGATTAGAGAGATAGGGATAGTTAGGGTCAGAAGTTATAGGATAATAAAACCTTCTATATCCCCCGGGGGCGGGGAAAAGGGCACAATTAATTTAAACAGAAGAAAAGCCAAGTATTTAAAATGTGGATTCTGATAATAATGATCTGATTAATGAGGAAAAAGAGAGCCTCTTGGCTGTAGTATACGAGTTTCATGTGAAGAAATGATCAGTTATGGAAGTTTTTCTCTTATTCTGATGTAATGTTTAATAGTCACATAGAATCAAAAAAAAAAAAAAAAAAGAGATTCTGCTGGGACTATTACTCATGTAAGCAAATAGTAATGTTTTCCATTACTGACGTATTTAAGGATAAAATGTAAAGTGTCGTTTGACGTGAGAAAAACTTTTACCACTGATTTAGAACCTTGTCACGAGAAAAACGAGGAAAGTATTTGACTCCATGCTTCCTTTGTTCGGGAGGCCCCTCCCCTCCCTCGTTCTGTCCTCTCTCTCTCCCCTCTCTCTCTCTCTCTCTCTCTCTCTCTCTCTCTCTCTCGTGAAGAAAGAATTTTTTGTAGAAAATTACATTTATACACTCGATAATGTTACTGACATGGAGTCATAGGATCACAGAACTTTGAGTTAGATTATAAAGAGGCATTATTTTATTTTTTATCTCCAAGGCGTCTAGACAAGTTTTTTTTCCCTACATTTTGGTGATATAAAAGTTAGAATGATCTTAGAGAGCATTATACTTTTGGAAAAATAGGGCTTAGGATAGCAGTTGAATGCAGATTTGGTTTTCAGAATTTAATGTTTAAAATGTTAATAGTAATTATTTCATAGGTTTATTTTGAATTGTAATTAATCATTGGTTTGGTATGGTAATTAACACACTTGTTTGTGTTTCTTGTTTGTCTGTTTTTTCCGAGAAAACTTCTGTCTGTTTCATTTGGCCAAAAATCGTCTCTGCCACAAACCACCATCAGCGTCTCCCCCAGACCCACAGGGGGCACCAAAGACAGCAGCATCGGCTGCAGCAGCTAACAGGAACTCTCGAAGAAGACTTCTCCTGCCTCCATTCCTGTGAGGAGGCAAAGAAAAGACCGCAGACTTTTTCACAAACTGAGTGTTGTCCCATCCACGAAACAGAAGGTGGCGGTAATGCGAAGAATAGGCCGCCAACCGCCGGAAAACCAAACAAGAAGAAGAAGGACACGACACATTTGGGTGCGTCAGATATGAAAGAAGAAGAAAGACATTATGAGGAAAAGTTATCGGAAGAAGAAAAGTGATTGTTGAAAGAAGAAGAAAGACATTGTGAGAAAGAGTTATCGGAAGAAGAAAGAAAGTGATTGTTGAAAGAAGAAGAAAAAAGACATGGAGACAAAGACATTGGACACTATGAGACAAAAGACATTGAAAGACGCCATGAGTAAAAGAAAGACATTAACGGACATTTGAGACGTGGCTGGCCTAAATGAGACACACAGAAGGTAAATATACAGACAGACAACAAACGCACAGAGACATATTAAGTCATATTTACACATTTAGGTCATTCGTTCATAACACCACATTTAGCTGCATGAAAGAATACAGGACAATCGTTAGAATTAATTAGACTCTTGCTTTAGCATGAGACACAAGGAGATTAGAACAGCAGTATATTTAAGGTAGAGGAGCTCTATTATTGAAACTAGTATTATTTAAAGTTATAGACGTGGAGAAGTTTAGAATTATTGATTTTGACTGCATGATCTTGGTAATACGGATATTTAAAGCAGTGTTTTCAACCTCTGAACCGTGGCTCGTTTCTCATTTAAGAACAATCACATGCACAGTTGAAACTGGTGCTAGAAAGAGAACTGCAGCTTTTAATGGACGCTGCATTTAGTACAAAATGGTTTGTTCGGACAATTAAAGTTTGAAAAATGATTTAAAGCATTTCTGAATTTTGGTGATGTTGGATCATTTCTGATAACACATAGACGCAACACTGTTCATTGGTTGAAAACAAAGATGTAGGGACATTTTTTGAAATCTTTTATGACATGTTTCTCTTCCAAATAGCTAAATTAGAAACAATTAGGACAATTATGTCTTTGATATAACTGTTGGCAGTTTATCTGAGACATGATTGGCGCAAGTACACACACATAAAACAATGGTCTTTTCTCCACATGAACGTGAAACAAAGGTGAAGTATTAAAGTTTGAAACTAATTTACATTTTTAAGGAATCCGAACTGGCTTTAAAAAAAAAAAGGGAAAAACATTTATTGCACGTGCATGAGTTTTTTTTAGTAACAAGAGCTCATTAAAAATATAGGGGACACAGTTTGTGACAAGCCCGAGTAAAGACCACGTGGTTTAAACACTAAAGTTTGAAATGGATCCTTTTAGGAAAAATCTCTCAAAGCTTTGCATGTTCTGCAGGCTCTGAAAGTTGCAACTATAAAATAGCTCATGAGACAATTGTAATTGGACATGGAAAAATATAACAAAGTTAAAATTACAGGCCTCTTGTGTTGTCTATATGTTTGTGTATGTTATATGTTTGTGTATGTTATATGTTTGTGTATGTTATATGTTTGTGCGTCATGTCCAATACACTACGTTGACCTTAACAAACTGGACCAATACTAACGTGGGGTGTTGTGAGTGTGTTGTGAGTGTGTTGGGGAGTGAACGAGGAGTGCTGAACGGAATCATGGAATAACAAAAGTTTTCTGTAATGTTTTAATGTGATCATGGAATAATTATTTTTTGTCAACAGCATACGGTGTAAGTACTAGAGATTCAAAGATGACAAGCTTTATTGAACAGGTGTAAAAGTGAGAGTACTCTGGGATGAGTACTCTGAGAAAAGTACTCTGCGGAAAGTACTCTGAGATGAATACCTTGCTGAAGGTACTGGGAGCCCCCCCTCTGCTGTTTGCCCTGACAGTGATTCGGTCCAACCGCAGTGAGCGGTCATTGGGCGGAGGACAACTTTGGTTTGTAATTCACATTTAGGGGAGTATAAAATTAGAAACATACATATTGTTAAGTCTGTATTTGGCTACAGCCTCTGCCCTGATGCCACACACCGTCTGTCAATGCAGTTATGTTTTGCCCAATTGGATTGATTGACAGGCCGCACCATGCGAAGAGAGGAAAGTGGGCGTTTCTTGTGTTCTAATGTTTGTTTTTCAGATGAAAGATAAACTGCACCTGCTTCAGGGATGACAGTAGTATGAATTAAGGAAATGAGCCTCTACTTTGGCACCAAAGCCCACAATATGAATTGAGGACGATCCGGGAGGAGCAACAGGATTGGAACAGTAATCTACACACACATACAGATGCATGTTTTATACTTTGGACCACGACCAAAAGAGGGGAGTATTGTATTGTCATAGGTGGTCATGGTCCTTAACCTTCTAAATCATTAGAAAGAAGTGTAAAACATATATTTACAAGAACAAATAAATAATAGAAAGGGCAGCCTAAAAAAGCAAAATGGGAAAATTATTAAGTAATTTTCGGAGTATAGGGGGTCATTCTAAATTTAGTGTTGTGCAAATTCAAAAGGAGAAATAATAGCGCTTATAACATCAAACGGATCTACTCTTTAAGATAATAGATCATATAATAATAAGATAATAATAGAATAGAATGAAATAGTCTGGAGCTATAATGTCATTGGATTCGAGGAGCTATAGGTTGAAGTGTCAGAATAAACAATAGTAATAATAGTTAGACTAGTGAATAATCAAAATAGTTCTATTGTGGAAATAAGTATCAATAAGGTCAAATTGTTCTAATAACTAAAGTAAAAAGGAATCAAATGGAGTCAGATTTTAGATGTTTCTGTTTTCCACATCTGTAGGAACTGGTGCAGAGGTGTTTATAGAGAGTAGTATTAAAATGCAGACATAGAACGACAGGCTTTAACACAATTTTAAATCTAAAAATAGCTCAAATATAACATTGCTCTTGACGCAGCCTCTGAGCTGCTCCATTGGAGAACAGGTTAAATGTTATTGTTTATTACAAACAGCTGATGTATTTACACACATTAAGTTTGGGACAACTCTTTAAACAGTTATAAGCAGCGGACAGAAGCCATGAATGTGCTTTTGTTTATTAAATAATTAATTTCATAGCCTTATAATCGTAGAGAACGTTTTAAAATAGTTAAAATCCCTTTCAGGCAACTTGATTTAGATGTATGTCTTTAATATTGGAGAACGACTGTGTTGTTTTTGGAATTGTCTGAAATACAATACATAGAATAATGATTTGCAGAACAAGAACCGGCCAATAAAAAATCGTCTATTGCCAATGCAATTGTTACAATCAGAACTCAAAAATTGGGAATATGCCTTTGCTCAAGCTGCAACCGAGCTTTAGAGTCACAATAGAGTAAAAATAGGAATAGATAAATGCATCAACCATAGATGCTTTCAAAAATAGAGATTATTTTTAGCCAAGGCTAATATCAAACGGTAAAAGGACCATTTCCTTCATATTATGTCTAAAAGTATTTACTTCAAAGGTAGATAAAGTTCATTACAGTTTATGCACAGTTTTATTAGATACTGTCAAATTCACTTGTTTCAAACATGGGTGAATGTTGACAATGCAAAAAGCTAATGAGATAGATTAATGAGATCGATTAGAACCAACACAGATTCAAAAACATTTGAAAGCATTTTAATGTATTTGGGTATAGCACAAAAGTAGATCTTTAGGTAGTTTTGAGAATTTTAAGAGCTGTCGACTTGTCAATATGGATTAGAAAATCGAATACCATGGTAGAGTAACTGACCCCAAAAACCTGCTAAAATAGATTAGCTCCTGTACGGATAATACCAATTTGATTAACGATGTACATTTATCCCAAACGGTCTGAGAGAAGGAAGTGACAGCACTTCCTGGTTCAACAAAATGTGTTTGGAAAAATGAGCAAAGCCCCACAAAATGGCACAGAGCCACTGATAATGACAGCAAACCACCGTATAGATAGATTTATTAGATAAAAACATATGTTTAAGAATAGGGCTCAATAAAAGCAAAATATGCAAACATATTTGTAAAATAGATTAGAATAGTTTAAACTATAGTGAATAGTTTTAGTGCATACATTACAGACGAGGTTGAAGAAGAATCAGAATGACAGCAGTGGTCATCAAAGAGTTTAGTGAAGGAATGTTTCAATGTGGTTGTGTGTTGTTTGTCTTTCTGTATTGGCTCTTCACAGATATCAAGCCTGAACTAAGCACAAGTATGGATGATAAACGACGATGTGGATTGTGACCTAATTTTTAATCAGGTCAAAAGAGGGAAACTGTTGCATAATTAAAATGTTGTATACTAATGATTTTGAAAATAGGCCCTCTGAAGAATGTGCACGGGGAAAAACCCCAAGGACAAGGATTGCAAACAGGAATAAAGAGGGTCAAATGGAGAAACTACAATCAGTCATAGAGATACCAACTTTCAAAACGGGACAAATTATTAACTCCAGGAATAAACATTCTTGTCTCTCTGGCGAGGCCAAAAGTCCAAAAACACCATCTGGCTAATCTCTCTCAGGCAGACTGGGAGATTCTCCAAAGGCATTCTGACGCCTCCCAGTGGACACGGGACGTCAGCACACCCGGAAACCTCCACCCTTGGACGCATAAGGATGACGTCATCGGAAGTCTCCCTCATGAGCCCGTGTGTGTGTGTTTTTTGAGGTCAGACAGGACAGGGCACGGACAGGAAAAGACCAGGCAGAGAATAGGAGCACTTCTGTTGAACATTCTGTATCTGATTGTAAAGATAATTAAATGCAGATGTTAAACTTGAATATCGTTTGCCTTACTTCTGCATCCATTTTGAAACACGTTAGTCAAAGGGAATTATTGACTACAAAGTCCAGACCATGTTGTAGATCAGGGAGGTCCGGCTGGTTCAGAAGGAGGTGTGGCTGAGGTCTCAGTCCAACAGAGCAGGACCAGACTCTTCATGGACCCGGGTCCAGGCTCAACCTGAAGACCTGAGGAAATGAGTGTAGTCTGGAGTGTTCCTGTTTGGTTGGAAGGAAAACCTCAGTGGGACCTCTGGAGAACCAGTCCGTCCTCCTGGTCTAGATCATTCAGGGTAAAGCGACAGCCTCAGTTTGCTCGTTTGACTTTGGATCTGTTCTGGCGTGTGAGCTGTAAGAAGGTTCAGATCCGTGTTGTAGATCTAAACTAGATCGAAATCGGCAATTAGGTTTAAAACAGCGACACAAACTTAGTAAGAGGTTATGAGGCTGTTTTTAGGTTTAGACAAATATTGACTGTACTAAAACACTTGTGTTGGACGGACATCTCTGGACTTAACCTCCAGTAATATCTAAGGAAAAATAAATGTTTTCCACTTAACTCTCGAGAATGTGTTTTAAATTGTCCACAAAGTCTTTCTCGGATCTCCCTCAGGTCTCTCTCTATCTGGTCTCCCTCTCTCTGGTCTCCCCCTCTCTGGTCACTCTCTCGGTTCTCTCTCTCGCTGGTCTCTCTCTCTCTCTCTCTCTCTCTCACTGGTCTCACCCTCTCTCTCTTTGGTCTCCCTCTCTCTCTCAGGTCCCCCTCTCTCTTGGGTCTCTCTCTCTGATATCGCCCTTGAAACTAATCAATAATAATCTGGGAAAACCACAGAACATTGTTTTTCCAATTCAATGTATTTTTGTAAAAACCTAAACCACAACAGCTGATGTTTCAGAGGACTTTACAATGTTTTGGATTTGCCAACAAAAGATTGGAGAATCTTTGTAAATTCATTTTTTTTTAATACATGCATGATACATATCCATTTTTATTTGGGAAATTTACTGCAGCCTGCCCACTTCGCAGCTTCATGCCTGCTACTCACTGATTTCTAATTGAATACTTCTCATTATAATAAGCAGCTTGATAACAACGTTTTGTCACATTTTTATTGGGAACCTTGCAAAAACACTTATTTTTAACCTGAGATTGTCCGTATATTGATGATGGACAATCACCTGGCACCAATCACAAAAAACACGCATTATTCTCTGACCAATCCCCAGCCGCGAGTCCACAAATGCACTTCCATTCACCGCGCGGCTGCTTCCGGTTTGAGGCGAAGGCAACAAAACGTGTCCCTGAGATGAGAGCTTTTACCCCCGAACATCCACGTCCCGGGCAGCGACAGACCGCTTGAAACACTGCGACCCTCCGTAAACGAGCGGGACATTGACGCCATGGGGGTAAGTGTCGTAAAAGTAATTATTTTTATTTATTTCGCGATACCAAAGAGAAATGACTGGCATATAGTGCAATGTAAGGGACTAGAGAAGGCAGCGCACATCCACTTCCGGGAGCCATGTTTGTGATGTCCAATCCTACAACAGACAGAAATAAACCAAACAAAGGGACACACACCTGATTTTTTTTCTCATACTTTAAATGTTATATATTTTATATTTATGCTTAGCGTTAATACTATAAATCTCAGAGCGGTGATTATGAAGAAGAAAAAAAACTAAATTGTTTCTTTTTCCACTTGATTTATCAAAAGTGACTAATTTACAAGGCTTTTTAACTTTACTTAGATTTATTAAAAGCTGACACTTGATATATCTTGAAATACATTAAAACTGTTTGTTGAAATGCTACCAAATGCTAACTGCTGGCAGTAACCAGTGTGTTACTATGGCAACTAGCATTCGCACTTTGGTAGAAACAAAGCTGACACGGCTCAGGACCAGAACTAGCTGTTAGTTATACCAGGTCCAAAACCAGTCCACAATCAGTTCAGGACCCGGACCTTAAAATAGGGGCTTTAACTATGGTAGAAAGATTTTTCGTTTAAGGTTTAAATGTTCTCATAGTTAAAAATGTAAAGGAAATATTATGAAAATAAGGACAAAGAAATAAGCGACATATAGAAACAGAGAAAGTCACAAAGTTGGGTGGAGCCAATACACATGCTTCCTAATTGACTGGTCTGGGAGTTCCAGTATGTATATATATATATATATTTTTTTTTTTCAATATTTACAGTCTATGGTTGAAACCATAGACTGTATATTGTTTCAACACGTAAGATGGCCGCAGAGATTGCTATGGCAACTGGTCCTACACTCTCTAGTCTTGACCATTACTTACCTTGCCTTTCCGGTGCCTTTCTGTGATTGGCGATTGGGTTTGATTGACATTACTTTGAACCAATACAATTTTGTTGTTGCCACTGTGTAGGCGGGACTTAAGACTATTTTTTAATGATTGACATGAGCCGCAGCCAACCAGCGTTGTTGTTAAGCTGCCGAGGCGGGGCTCGCGCTGTGTTTTGTGATGGGAGCGAAAATGGCGGCGGATCTGACGCTGTGCCGAATTTACTTTATTTTGTACTGTTTTTTAATAAAATTTTGCTAAAAATTTGCATTATAGCGGAACCTTTTGCGATTTTAAATGTTGTTTTATACATACCAACAGCAATGCTTAGCTATTAGTGCTGTTTTCGTTTACGGGACCCTTTTTTCTATTCGCGGGCACATCTTGTTCAAAGCAGTGAACAAAGCTGGAGTTATGGGGCATTGATTCAAAGAGCAATAACATAAGGATTTATTTGGTGACCGAAGCAATCATTGATACATGCATTACGCGGTTCTAATGGCAATAGACATTAAAGCAGCACCACAGTGTAATAAGCTAAAACTCCTTCTATGTATGCACTTGTTGTTATCGTGAGAAATGGATGACAAAACACGTTACAGCAAACGTCTGGTAAGAAGATGAATTAATTTAAGTAGCATAAATATGGTTTCAATTATTACTTTAATACATATATAGGGTATTTCATATTTATCCATAGATGTACACATACCAGTATACATTTCTTTCCACTTTCCTTGCACTATACAAGGTTATACCCGTTTTTATATGTGTACACGTTTTATACTTTGTTTTTTTATTGAGCTAAAGATAGAGTTTTGATCTTTTTGAAAGTTTGGAGTTGTGCTATACTTAAAATTCACTTATCTTGCGTTGTGTGCTTCTCATTTGTTCTATTCTTGTTGTGCAACACTGACATTTCCCCACTTTGGAACGAATGAAGAAACTCTTAATCTTAACTTATACTCATAAAATCGTTGTGGTTAAATTATTAGGTTTCTATCCGTTTTTTGTGTGTTTATGTGCTGCCAACTGCTTATAATATTTAAAAACATGGAATGAGCAGTGCAGCAAATATTGGGGAATAATATAGATAAGGTTTGCAGTATTAAGTACTATTTACTATTAGATGTCAACAATAACATGATTTAAAAGAACACGTCAGAACTAAATATTTTGTACTCACAAATCTTGATAATTTTTTTTACGTGAATTCAAAACATGTATTATGTATATTTTTAACGTAATGTTGGCACTCTCTCTGCAGCGCACTGGCACTCGGCGGCGATACCACGATGATGGGATCTCGGACGAAGAGATCGATGGACGCAGGATGTTTGATCTGGAAGAAAAAGTCCACAGTCAAAGGTTCAACTCCAGTCGTGTGGTTCGGATGAAAGGGAAAGGTGAGAAACAGAAAGGACCAATCGGAGAATACTAGCATCAGCACAGAAAAGTAGTATCCAGTGACAAGACATGACGGGGCTAAAATTATAACCTACATTTCTAACCTAGACCTTGTTTTCTTGCACTCTTTTAGATTTTACTTATGAGTACGTCCAGAGACACGGCCTGCGAGACCCCATCATCTTTGAGAGGCCTGATGGACTGGGAATCAAGTGAGCACCACTCTATTGTTACTGCTGTTTGTTAGTTATAATGTTATATTGTCAACAAGGCGCAATAATTCATGAATGTTTTTTCTTTTCACAGGATGCCAGAGCCTGATTTCAATGTCAACGATGTCAAGTTGTTTGTTGGTAAGAGGGAAATTGTTTTTCAAATTTGTTTTCAATATTTACAGTCTGCTTTTCATAGTGGAGAAAAAAAAAGATGACATTTCAGGCAAACCTTAAATCTACCGCTGTTATAGAATGTGTGGTGTGATGTAGAGTTCAGTTCTCTAAATATATATATTTTTAATGTATAGAAGGTAGGTTCATTGTATTTAAGGCTGTAAGGATCGGTTAGTTTGATAACCGGGATATCTAGCAATTATTCAGTTTGATTCGTTGTTTAGAATGTGGATTTATGTATTATAAAAAGTTTTTAATGACCAAGTTCTCAATTTCTGCCCCATTTAAATACAATACAAATTCAAAGCAAAATGCACCATTATCAATACATCCTGGAGTTACATTTACACTTTTTTTAGAGGGAACATTTTGAGAAAAGTGAAACACATTTTTGGTTTGTGTTTCAAAACAAATTAGTTTTCCATCCATCCATCCATTCTCTACCCTTTAATCCATTTCTGGGTCAGGGGGGTGGCAGTCAGAGATGCCACCCAAGTCTCATAGCACTGACCCTCTGCAGGTGGTGAGTCCACAGGAGGACGGCTGCTCTCTGAGTGTGAGCATAGCCTTGATCTTTCAGTGGGGGCTTTTGGGCAAAGTGGGGTTAAGTGTCTTGCCCAAGGACACAACGACAGCAGTCATCAGTGGGAGTCGGTGGAGAAGGTGTAGAGGTGGGAATTGAACCCACAACCTTCAGGCCTGAAGGCCAATGCTCTACCAACTGAGCTACTGTCGCCCCTAAAACAAATTAGTTTTAAATTTCAAAATTAATTAATCCAAAATTGTCCTATTTTGCTGTTATTAACTTGCATTATCCGTATAGTTTTTGAACCTATTGAAGTCTCTTGTTTCTCCTCTCCCGTGACTCTCAGGCAGCAGGCGCATGATCGACGTGATGGATGTGAGCACTCAGAAAGGCACAGAGATGTCCATGGCTCAGTGGACGCGTTACTACGAAACTCCTCCGTCTCAGAGAGAAAAGCTCTACAACGTCATCAGCCTGGAGTTCAGCCACACCAAACTGGAGAACCTCGTGAAGAGACCCACCACCGTATGTACACCACCGATTACTTCTCCTTCTTCTAATATTAATAAAATTCATAATTATTCCTTCATTTGTTGTTGTCAAATCTGTTCATAACATTGGACCAAAATGTAGCATGTACAGTATGAGTTATGCGAGCGATAATGAATATTACTTTTAACGTTTTGGGCTTGGAACTGGGAGCACGAGGGCTCTGGGAGATGTGAGACAAGTAATGAAATATGCGAATGCTTTCTGTTTACCGGTGCCATTTATGTGCCACTGTAAGTAAAAGTAAAAATATTTACTGTCTGCATATAATTCTTGGCCACTACAGCAACAACAATAGCAGCTGCATCGCTTTTAAAAGTCCACAATAGAGAATGATGATCTGCTGTTTTTTATTGTATACTGCTTGATCGTTTTTCTTTTTGTTTTGTAATTATAGAAGAAAGGTGCAAAGATTATATCCTCTTCATATTCTGTGTGTCATTTTCATTCATTGTACATCATATTTTGGAAAATTCAAAGATTCCCAACCCTGGGTCCTTGCTCTTGCGAAACCGCACACACAAAACCAGTAGTGGGGTGGTTTAAATGTCCCTTAGTAACTGAATGTCTTTGTGTTGATAATCCTTAGTTTTTTGTAAGAGTATGGGAATAGAATCCATTGTTCTTTTTCACTTCTGTTGTTGTGTTCCAGGTAGATCAGATTGACTGGGTCGACACCATGTGGCCGCGTCATTTGAAAGAAAGACAACGAGATTCAACAAACTCCATCAACGACATGCAGTATCCCAAAGTACAGAAGTAAGCTCCACGTGTGTTTTGAACAAGTGCAGTTTAAATTACAATATTCACGTCACATATGTATTTATTATGAGTCATTTATGTGTTTTAGATATTGTTTGATGAGCGTTGAAGGCTGCTACACAGATTTTCACATCGACTTTGGAGGAACCTCGGTCTGGTACCACATCCTCAGAGGAAGCAAGGTACTGGGTTCAGGTCATTCGCACCAAAACATGGAACTGAACCCATACAAACGCTCCTGTTCGAACTCAGGACATGCAATAATAACAAACACATAGGAGCCACTGGTCCATAGGGAGAGGGATGACCAGTGTCCATAAATGTTAATTAAATATATATATTATTTATTTATTTTGAGCCTGCACAATACATATTTTTACATATATCAATAAAACAGACAAATGACTCAAACCTTCATCACACATACAGTGTTTTAACAATATCATGCAGTAGAAATCTCAAAAATACTAGTGCACAGTACAAACAGTATATAATACTACCAACGATGGTATAAGACCGACAACACAAAACAAACACACACACACACACTCTGACAACACTGGTCCAAACACTCCCCGACCCTACACCTCTCTCCCACTACTTGCTCCGTGCTTATGGAAATGTAATCTAGGGGAATGATTGATAAATTACTCTATTTTAAAAACAATGAATAGCTGAAGTTTTACACATAAAGCCACTGGGGAAATATGCACTTTGTCTTAAAATATCAGAGAAAGGGAACAGTACAGGACATGTGTTTTTTTTTTTATATCAAACTGCTGACTTGTCTTCTTGTGCGTCAGGTGTTTTGGCTGATTCCGCCGACGCCGCCGAACCTGGAGCTGTACGAGAACTGGGTGCTCTCCGGGAAACAGGGCGACGTGTTTTTGGGCGACCGAGCCACCGACTGTCAGCGCATCGAGCTCAAGCAGGGCTTCACTTTCTTCATCCCATCAGGTGATTTAACCACTGCATCAGCTTTTATATAACTTCCATTAGTTATACGTCCTGTGGTTCTTCTGTCTGTTTCTACTCACAACGCCATTGCTGTTTACTGTTTTGGTTTAAAATGATTCACCTCAGAGAATCCAGACTTGAGTTGATTAATGCACCTCCCAAAACATGGTCTGTAAGGACCTTTTGCGCAGGTTTTTTGTCTTGAATGAGAAATGTATGGCAAAGTCAGTATAACTGCACTGCTGCAAATATTAGAATGAACAAAGTCTGCTTTTTGATATTTGAAGACGGTATCTGAGTGCTCTTATTTCCTTTCTCTGCTGTAATGTGCGCAACGATGACACTGAAATTTCTCCACTGTGAGACTAATAAAGGTTCATCTTATCTTATGTTATAAAACAGTGGGATTTTATTTGACTTTAATAAATAATCTCGTTGTTCTGTCTCCAGGCTGGATCCATGCAGTGTACACTCCCGTGGACTCGATGGTTTTTGGGGGAAACTTTCTCCACAGCTTTAACATCCCGACACAGCTCAACATCTGCAACATCGAGGACCGCACACGGGTCAATGCAAACGCAAGCAATATATTTAAAAACTGTATTTGAACCATTTCAAAAGGCAGTTGCATGTTAGTTATCTAGGGCTCTAAAAAATTGATGTTCCTTTTATTAAAATAGGCTCCACTATTGTTTTAACCCGAGTAATGTTGCTGAAATGTTTATTTTACTTGAACTTTCAAGAGCAAAGGCTCTAGTTTTGATGCTAGTGTCTGTATTCAATGTGAATCTATGTCAGGGGAGTCCAACTGGTCCTCAAAGGATCGAGTCTCTTGTCTTAATCTGGAGACTTGAGGAAATTGGTGGAGTCTAGTCTGCTCCCGTTTGCTTCGGAATGAAAATCTGCAACCAAACCGGCGCTTTCAGGACCAGCTGAACAACCCTGATCTAGTTTTAGGTTATAGCTTCAAACTTTGCAGTAATCTGGTATTAGTTTCTCCACATAATTCATCTGCTTTAGTTCCTGCGTTCATGAAATGATAATGGTTTTTTTGGTGTGTCTTTTCTCAGGTGCCGGTGAAGTTCCGATTCCCGTTTTACTACGAGATGTGTTGGTACGTCATGGAGAGATACGTCTTCAGCTTGACCAAGACTTCGTACCTCACGCCGGAGTTTCAGCGGCACTCGTTAGGCATCGGTAAGTCACCTGCTACAGTCTATGGTGCTCTCTACGTGCTCTCGCTTACGGGGACACGTAAGCGAGAGCACATCACCCCCGTGCTGGCCTCACTTCACTGGCTCCCTGTTACTTTCAGGGTTGATTTTAAGATTCTGATACTTGTTTTTAAATGTTTGAATGGTTTGGCCCCTGTATATCTGTCGGAGATGTTATCTCTGTATGCTCCTGTCAGATCAGTGAGGTCTGAAAACCAGCTTCTGTTGAACGTGCCCCGGTCTCGTCTCAAAACTCATGGAGACCGAGCCTTTTCTGTTGCTGCCCCCAAACTGTGGAATAGTCTACCTCTGTCCATTGGAGCAGCTCCTTCATTGGAAGTTTTTAAGTCTAGTTTAAAGACACATTTTTACACCTTGGCTTTTAACAGCAATTGAGTTTTTTACCATTTTATTTTTACATGTATGTGTGTGTATTTCATGCTGTTTTCTTTTGTTTTTATCTTTCGTGCCCTGTGAAGCACTTTGAGCAGCTGGTGTTGTTGTATATGTGCTATACAAATAAAATTGACATTGTCACACTGGTCGAACTGAAACAAACTCTGGTGCTTTCACATCTCCACAAATGAAGCAAAACTAGACCAAACAAGTGTCGCCTGGACCGAACGCCACCTCTGCCGACTCCGATCTGGAGTGTTGTAACCCCAGGATTCCACTTGTCCTCTCCATTCCATCCTTTGGAGCTATTGCGACTGCTTTGTTGTGAATGACAGTGGTTCCCAGGCCTTGTCCGTTCTGCTACGTCCCAGATCTACCACTATGGCGTCCTCCAAAAATCTCTAATCTGGAGATACAATCTAAAATCTACAGTTCAAATTGCTTCAAACAGAAAGGCGACATGAAGAATATCCTAGTTTACAAAGTACCTGCAGTCTTGAGAGGTTTATAATGATAAGATTTCTGATGTTTGGGGATTTTATGCTGTGGTTTTGATATTCAGGCTCAGTGCATCTCTGTTCTCTGCCTTTCTGTCACTCAAACATGGAGACAAGGAAACTCATTCAGAGAGATTGTCTGCACACTCACAAATCATTGTTTTGGGATTCAATGGGGACTTTTATTTGCGCTAATACAACGGACATGGCCTGCTCTTCCTCCTCTGTGGATCTTAACAATCTTAAGAGACAAGCGGCGGTAAAAGATGTCTGTCATTTGATTTGCATTTGTAGGTCCAGTGCAGAGTTCTCTTGATCAGTGTGAACGTGCCAAAATCTACAGGGGCATTTAACTTCCTTTATGAATTAAGCATTAAAGGGGCCATGACATTGTCACATTTATGTCCAGAATTCCAAAGCTTCGAAGCTTTAGAAAATGTCTTATTTCACAGACAGCCTAGCCCTGGCAATTTCTCTACGCATTTGTAACCATTTCACAATAGCCTTGCACATAAAAATCCAAAATCATATATCCAAATGCAAGGGAAGCCAAGTGCAATATTGATATTACATGCATACAATAAAAGTATGTAAAAGTAAAAGTATCTGATTTTTGATACTTGAGACATCCCTAGACGCTGTTTTCTTTGCCACTGTAATGTTTTTTTTTTTTTATCATTTCATTGCATGCGCTTGACCCTTGTAGCTGGTAAAAAGAAAAAAGGTAATTCCAAAATGTAGTTCTGAAATGTAGTATGTGAAATAGTTGTATTGTTCGGCTTCTTTGTATTCAATATGACCCTAAACGTTTCTTCCACTTCTGTAGGTCTGAAAAAACCTGCTGATGCCGTAGACATCCCTGAAGCGTCGGAGTCGAGTGAGGAGGAGGTGAGCTCAGACAAGCTTTACCTGACGCCGCTGGAGATGGAGGGACTGTGGAACCTGCTCGGGAAACTGGAGTCTCTGCCCACGAACAAGAAGTGTGTGCCCTCAGGGATCCACAACGCCCCGGCCCTCATCACGCACCTCAAGGTAAAGGGGGCGTCAATGCTAGGATACAGTCTCTGCTCTCACAAACACGACGTCCTGGTGTTTATGTGCATGTCAAGTCATGTCAAGTCAAAAGGAGCCCAGCCTATTTGTTTTTGGTTGGTTTTTTAGACCAAGATTTGAACACAAAGAGCTTAACTTATCAGTAGCTGTTTGGGCTGATTGCTTATTTACCTCAATTATAATGGTAAATTGTAGAGACGTCCCATCATAGGTTTCCATTGTAAGCTATCATCAAAATGTCAACAAAAAAAGCTTGAAATCCAATTTAACTTGAACCTTCCTGTGTGTGAACTTTCAAGCACAACTGTTTTTCACTGTTTTTTTTAAATAAATCACAACAACATTTGTTTATCTCACACAGCCAATCAGCTCTCATTACAAAGTGTTCTGTTCTTTTACACTTGATATTAAAATGGTTACTTTTTGTAGTACTTTTTTCAGTTAAATGGACTGCGAAAAATGAGGGACATACTTTTTGTTCTTGTCTTTACTACATAGTATTGTCTTGGTGGTGGTAAATTGACTACAGACATTTTCTTGTATTCTTGCACCTTGGTTTCTTGGTTCTTGTAGTTAATCGCTCTTCAAGTGACCAGGAAGTCAGGGGTAAAATACACTGAAAAGGATGTCTGTCGATTTTTTGTTTTCTTACCGAATTAAAGCTTTTCCTCCATATCTTTCAAATCCAGGCTCTACTCAAAGAACACGCCAACGACGCTCCCAAACTCTCCTACAATGGGAAACCTATTGTCAAGTGGTCGAAGAGGGTAAGACGCTGCCGTTCTTTAAAGAAACACTTGTGCCCATTCACTTCATGTATTATTCATGTGTGATGTTTCTCTCTTCAGCCCTCGTGGTACCAGCCTCCCCCTCCTCCCCCACCTCCCCCTCGACCCAAACTGGCCACGACCCCCATCATCCCTCGGCCCCCGAAACCGGCTTCGTCCATGTCCGTGCTCAGACGCCGCAGAGTCCGGTAAGGATGACAAAGATACTTGACTGACAGATAGACGGGACATATACGCACATTGAGAACATATCAGGAAAAAGTACCAATACACACAATATAATGATAACAAAGATATAAGTTTAAAGCTGGGGTATGCAACTTTTATACCACAAAACGTCTAACAACTAAAATCCATCTAACTAGTTCCTGAATCTCAGAACAGTTTGATTCAATTGCTAGTTTTCACATGCATGTATTTTTAGCGTCTGTCACTTTACATCCGCTTTTTCAGACGGATAAGATCACAAAATGTTACTAGGACCATTTCTGCAGACACAAACAGTATTATTAATGAAAAATAAAAGTTGGGTGCCACAGCTTTAATATGAGGGAGTCGCTAACCTAATATAATTTCAAAGTTTCATAAGTAAGTAAGTAATCTTTATTAATATACCGCCTTTTCACTGCACATCGGAGTCTCAAAGCGGTTTACAATTGTTATTTTTGGGAGTGGGGGTGCCAGTACAGGAGGCACATGCCAGACCTATTGTACATATTTTTAGTGGTAGGGGAAACCGGAGCACCCGGAGGAAACCTACGCAGACACGGGGAGAACATGCAAACTCCACTCAGAAAGGCCCTGGTCCAACCGGGATTTGAACCCAGGACCTCTTGCTGAGAGGCGAGAGTGCTATCCACTCAGCCACCGTGCCGCCCATAAATATATTCAAGAATTGTACATTTACAGCAGTGTAGTATGAAATCCAATTATTGAGTTTTTTATATGACTTGAGCTTTATTTTTACATTTTTCAGAAACAAACGTATACAATTCTGTAATATATGTATATATCAATACAACTAACGTGTTTGTATGACGTGAAAGAGCCAGAATCCACAGTTATTGGTGATCAGCTTGTGCAGTTGGGTCAATATCTGTTTGCCTAAAAATGGCCCGAGTGCCTTACCTTAAGGAGGATTAGTTTTTGTGAACTAAAATAAGAATCCTTTTTATTGCCATGTGAGTAACAGGAAGTCACAAACTAGGAAATTGCTTTGGCTCTCAGGGGAAACAGCAGAGCGCACGATGCACTGTAGTCTCTGTTTGTCCCTGACTGTGGATGGACTCGATGATGGCCGTGTAGAACTGCACCAACATCTGTGCAGGCAGCTTGGCTTTCCTGAGCTGCCGCAGGAAGTACATCCTCTGCTGGGCCTTCTTGATGAGGGAGCTGATGGTCGGCTCCCACTTGAGGATAGGACTCCAGAGGTGATAGGGGAGTCCATCAGGAAGGAAAGTGGCAAGGCAAGGCAAGTTTATTTGTATAGCACAATTCATACACAAGGCAACTCAAAGGGCTGAACAAAACAAGATAGCATTAAAATCATAAATAATCACAGAACATTAAAAAGAAAGATAAAAATATAAAATCCCTCGGTTCCCAAGTGTCAATTTGTTGCTGTGTTTCAGGTGTAAGCGCTGTGAGGCCTGTGTGAGGACGGAGTGTGGAGAATGTAACTTCTGCAGAGACATGAAGAAGTTCGGAGGTCCAGGGAAACTAAAGCAGACCTGCGTGCTGCGCCAGTGCCTCTCCGTGAGTACCTACCTAACGTAATGATGAAGCTGGAGTACCTTCTGTCTGAAACCACACACAAATAACTATGTAATCAAATCCATGTAACGACTCTAGAGAGCTACTGTATGAACGCATCACTAGTTTTCACATGAGCGTATATTTGGCCCCTGTCATATCTTTAGATCGCCCTCACTCAGCCAATCAGCTCCAACCACTCACGAAAAACACACATCTCTCACTCTGTCTCATGTTCACACTCGCATATACTCACACATACACTCGCTCTCTCAAATATACACTCTCTCTATGCACATACACACACCGATGCACATAAACACACACACACATAAATACACATCCACCCACACACATAAACAACACACCCACACACACATAAACAACACACCCACACACATAAACACAAACACACACACACAATAATAACACTGTATCTCTGTGGTCCTCAGCCCGGTCTTCCTCTGTCTGCCGTGTGTGACGTGTGCAAAGACTCCAACCAGGAAGATGAAGGACTCTCGCTGATGGAGTGCTCCAACTGTGGCCAAATCGTGCACCCGTCCTGTCTCCGGGTAAGACCACCTCATCAGTCACAGACCTGGAGTCGTTTTAAGATCTGTCCATGCTACTATCAGGAACTTCTGGCATAAATGATTTGCGCCGCCCCTTGTGTCTCAAAGCTCCTGTCCCAGTGCTGTAACAGTATGGTGTTATTGTGCCACTATAACACACGAGTATTGCCCCTGAATAAGTTTACAGTTAAAATGGCAATCTTTTCAATCTCATGTGTGTGTTTGCAGTCGGTGATTTTCCAATAAAAAAAAAAAAACATACACCCCCCTCTTGTGGCAGCATTGGGAGCTACAGCCAGAACGCTTTTTTTTTTTTGCCTTCATCAATTTTCAACTTAAGATATTATTTGGCATTCTAAAACATGGACTTACTGAACAGACAAAAAATTCATAATATTTATTCTTTAGCCATTGATTCCATTCTTGTTTTAAAATCCACATTTGTCGTTCTGTGTAGGTATCTGGGGAGGGAGTGATCAACAACGACTTGCCGAGCTGCTGGGAGTGTCCCAAATGTGTCCAAGGCCTCACTGACGACGTAAGAGTATAAAAAATGTTTAATGAGTTACTATTGTAAAGCCGTTTTTTTATCTGGGAGGTTATCCCATTCGCTCTCGTTCATTCAGTGTGATTTTTTTAAAGTGGTAGTAGTAATGTAGTAATGATTTCTCTATTGTCAAACATTAATTGTTTTTTATGGAATGTGCTGATTTTCTGGTGTTGATTTTTGTCGCTGATACAAGAACATTTGTTAGACCAGGTTCAGGTTCTGTTATAGAGCCCTGCACTTGAGCCCTTGGCCCGAGGGCCCCGACGGCCCGACAGCCCGAGGGCCGGGCTTCGGGCCGATGACCGCATAATGACCTCGGACACGGGCCGGGCTCGGGCTCTTCATTTTCAGAGCGGCAGAATACATTTACGAACGCACCCACTGAATATAGCGTTCTATCACGCTGTAGTGTTTCTTGTTCTGTGTAGTGTTGTCATTGACGGCACATAGCGTTACTTACAGGTGTGTTGCAGCATCTGGGCATCATACAGCTGTGTATCATACAGATGTTCACTCTGCACCACTCCGCACACACAGAACTCATTGCAACACATCACTACCATGTATAACTCCGCCCTCTAGCTAAGTCTGCGTTCATATCAGTGCGCGGCACTATATACTACGCTAAAACATTGTTATGGGAGGTTACAAAACTTGATGCGGGTTTCGGGCCTGAAAATTGAGAAACCTTATCGGGCCGGGCCGGGCTGGGGCGCCACCCCCTCGGGCCAGGGCCGGGCTCGGGCCCAGATAATAGGCCCGTGCAGGGCTCTATTCTGTTATAACCTGTATTTACCTCATAGTTGTTCTGTAGTTTACTCACTTTATGAAAAACTTGAATAATAACACTGTTTATGAGAAGAACCTAAACTTATTTGTTAATCAACTATTTTCAGTTTCTACACTAAAATTTGTGCGTAATGGCAGATTTTGAGATATTTTTTGTGGGGATGTTACAAGCTGCGAGCCCTAATTCTCAACTTTATTACAAACAAAGGCTTGATATACCTCACTAATCCCTGTGTGCAGTAAGTAAGTTGAAGTCCGGCATATTTTCTCTTATTTTCAATCATCTCTTCTCTTAAAATCTGGAAGACGGCTCCTGTTGTTTTGAAAGGAAAGTGCTTATTGGTAAATGGAATCTGAAATGTTTTTTTTTCCTCTCCATTCTATTGGTTCTGTCCACTGCGGTGCAACAGTGGGCCTGAGCTTGTATTTGAGTAGATGTTAAGGACTTTGATGAGAGAATTCTTCGGCGCGCAGCCGCTGCTTCAAACTTTGTCTAATGCAGATTATAAGATGTTTATCATTGTGGAATATTTGCCCCTTACTCGACTCGAGTAATCTCTGCCCTGTGCTCCCGAGTGCCTTACACTGTATTTCCTGTCTTGACATTTCCACGTTTCTTTTGCCCTTTTCCTCTTCACTCATTGTGTCGCGTCAGTCATCAGGCAGCGATGACTCTCCCCAGCGGCGCCCCCTGGTGCTGAGGCTGGGTGCTGCGGCGCGCTCCTCCTCCTCCTCTCTTCTGCTGGTGGCCCCTCCGCTCGCTCGGCCACTCAGCTCGAGACTGGTGAGAGAGGCCGCCTGCTCAGTCCATCATCATCGCTGCTTCATGATCTGTTTGACTTCAGTCTGTCTGCTTTCTCAACTCGAAGAGACACTACCTTTCTTAAATCATCAATTAGGGATAAAATATGCGTCACGAGCAACATCAGGCTGTGTCAAAAAAACTAAAGCTGCAATAAAATCTCGTGTGATGGAATGGAGAGAGACTGATGATGGGGATGAAGTGAAGGACCTGTTCTTTCTCCTAAACTCACTGATTTTGGAGAAAAAACAGCCAGGGAGAGACGGCATGTATCTTTACCTCTGCATTCACCTTTCTATACCTGCAAACATTACCTTTTTAATATTAACTCTTGTGCTATCCTAGGGTCAAATTGATTCGTCTTAGTGATTTGAAAAATACCCTAAATAATGTATTTTTAGCTGAATTTTGATGACTTTTGCTTGCTTGACCTGCCCTGGTTAATTTTTAACCACTGTGGCAAGTAAATTTGACCCAAGTAGTTAAAGCTCATGTAGAGTTGCAAATATATTATTAAGGGGCTAATGTTTACTTTGAACTTGGCTAAACACTTCTTTCTTTCTGTCCAAGTAAAACGGTTGCTACTAAACTTAACTGAGGAGTTTGTATCAGAATGAGCCTAAAGCTTTGTTGCACCTGTTTGTTATAATTAGTCACAAAGAAGTCCAAATTAGTATTGAGTACAGTATATAAATATGCTACTTGTTAAACTGTTCCTTACATTTACATACAGGGGACTTGACCTGACCTTTTCTTTTCTTTTACAGTGCATTGTATCTGTCTGATTTTTGATGGGCTGTGTTTTTTATTCCCTGAGAGACGGCTTTGTCTAAAATCAGTTGGTCGTCTTTGTCTGTTGCTTTTCACTGTGTGTGCTGCTTATTTTGATACAATTCCACTATTTGCACTCAGTATTTTTTATGCATCATTTCTGTTTGTTCAGGATCAAAGGATTATGCTGTTTTAGTTGTATTTTTGTTCCACTATTGCCTAAAAATGTGTAGTAATTGTATTTTGGTTCACAGCTTATGCTCCTGGTCCACAGCTGTAAATGTCCTGTTACAGTGGGATGCAAATGTTCAACCTGTAGAAATTCACTCATTTTAATAGTTTATATTTTTGTGAAACTTTTAGAGGATGCTCAGTCAATTGTGTTTGTTTTTCTCTCTGTTACAGTTGAAAGACAAAGGAGACTGCCTCCCTTCGGTGAGTATTGATTCTCAGACTCGATATTTCAGCTGCTTTTGGGGTTTGTGACTGACTTTGCTGTGACATCTACAGAAGCGTAAATCGTCCTCCCTCCTTGACGCTCGAATGGCAAAGATTTACCGGCAGCACAGACACAGCCGAGACGGAGAGGATTCCGGCAGCGACGATGATGATGACGAAGGTTTCTATCCTCAAAAGAACTTTATGTCTAGTGCTTTGTGGCTTTTGTCTGTAAAAAGCTCTGTATGTATAAAGCTTACTATCCATCCATCCATTTTCTTTCCCTTAATCCATTTCTGGGTCGGGGGGGTGGCCAGAGATGCCACCCAGTACACATAGCACCAGCCTCTCGCTGATCCTCCTGCAGGTGGTGAGTCCACAGGAGCTGAGATCTTTTCAGTTGGGGCTTTGGGCAAAGTAGGGTTAAGTGTCTTGCCCAAGGACACAACGACAGCAGTCATCAGTGGGAGTCGTGAAGTAGGTCTTACGGTGGGCTCGAACCCACGACCTTCAGGCCCAAAGGCCAATGCTCTACCAACTGAGCTACTGTCGCCCTAAAGCTTACTACTTACTTACTATAATATATTATAGCTTTTCTAGAAGAAATTCAGTGGCCCTTGGAGACCCCTGATTTAGACTGAAGGTGCGGAGCCATGTGACATAGAGTGGATGAAAATGTAATAGGGCTGAAACAACTAATCGATTAATCGACAACTAATCAATTATTGAAATAGTCGACAACTATTTTAGTAATCGATTAATCGTTTTCTGGTTCACACGGACTCAAACAGAGCAAAAATGACATGAAAATGTAGTATTTTAGATCAAAACCGACTTTGTTTTTATAATTTCATGAATATCTGTCTGTCTCATCCAATCAGATAGCAGAATTAGCACAAAGAGCCTGTTACAAACATTTACTTTAAGTTTACGCCATCAATACGTCCTCGAGTGTTGCCACTTTAGCTTTTTGTGATGAAAAAATATTTTTTTTCTACACAATTCACAGCCAAGCGATTACTCGATTAATCGTAAAAATAATCGATAGATTAATCGATTACAAAATAATCGTTAGTTGCAGCTCTAAAATGTAATCAATTATGCATATTACATCTCCTTTTAAATTTAAAATAAAGATATATAAAACATATTTTATTGAGCCAATGAAGTTTAAACAATCCAAAAGTTCAGCTATATTAATTTCTGTATTTATTGTACTTGTTTCTTCAGGTTCTCGTGGTCGGAGGCTGCTCCATGGCCGCAGCAGCGCGGCGCGCAGAGGCCCCGGCTCAGGCCGCAGGGGGCTGCAGCGCGGGGGCCACAGGGGGAGCCGTGGAGCTGTGCCGGCACGCAGAGGTCTGAGGGAGGGAGGGAAGAGAGGGCGAGGGGTGAGGCTGAGGGGCGGGAGCAGAGTGCAGCGCAGAGGAGACGACTCTGAGGAGAGCGAGGACGACGACGACGATGAGGACGACGAAGACGATGAAGACGACGAGGACGAAGAGGAGGAGGAGAGCGAAGACGGAGAGAAGCCACGAGCACGACACAAACGCAGGAGGCGCCGCACGGACGACGACGAGGTGAGAGCAGGACTGAGCCTCAGGGACCAGAGTCTCCTCGCTCTGTGGCTTGAACTAAGCCAAGATTAAACAGAACTTATTTGTTTGAGAAGTTTCCCCTAAATAAGAAAACTGAGATCAATGAAAATGAACAGAACATGTACAACACAAATCTACCAAACAAAATGACATAGCTTTGTAATTGCATGTTTTAAAAAGGGGTTGGATGAAGCAGACGCTAACACAATTCCTACACACTCACTCCACTGATGATTTAGGAAAAAAAAAAGTCCAATATATCAGTGAAATATCAGTGTCATTGTTGGACGCATGACTGGACATTAAGAAAAATGTTTTCAGACACAAAACCAGCAACCCGATTGGCTGTATTAATGCACTGTGTTAAAGCTGAGCGGGGCCTGACCTGTTTCCAGGACGACGACAGCGATGGGGCCGACCTGGACCCGGAGGACGAGGACTTGGACTCTCTGGAGGAGGAGGGGGAGGGCCAGTGGGACTTGGACCCGGAGCCTCCGGTTCTACTCATGTCCGACTTCAGCGACGAGATCCTGGGCGGAGCCTGTCTCAGCGTGACCGTCCAGACGCCGCACAGAGGGCCGAAGCAGAGCGGTGAGACACACACAAAAGAAACAAAACACACGACACACACGAGACACGACACAAACACGCATACGACACAAACACGCATGAGACACACAAACACGCATGAGACACACAAACACGCATGAGACACACACAAATGATGCATGAGACACACACAAATGAAACACAAAACACACAAATGAAACACAAAACACACAAATGAAACACAAAACACACAAATGAAACACAAAACACACAAATGAAACACAAAACACAAATGAAACACAAAACACACAAATGAAACACAAAACACACATATGAGACACGACACAACACACACACATGAGACACAACACGACACACACACATGAGACAAAACACACACACACACACACACACACGCATGAGACACATACACACATGAGACAAAACACACACACACACATGAGACAAAACACACACACACACACACACATGAGACACATACACACATGAGACACACACACACACGCATGAGACACACACACGCACGAGGTTGGTTTTGTTGGTTTCAACTTTTTCTCCACCAGGTTCAATGGTCCCGAAGTTGGAGGCTCGAGCAGGTGGACACAGAAAACCCCCCAAATCATTGAAAAAGTCCGACACCACAGACACCCCCAAAGGACCAGGAAGGTACTGCAGCCCAGCGCCACTTCGCAGGAGTCCTTTGTAAACCACAAACTTAGAGAATAATCAGAGTGAATCCAGGTCTTACATAAACAGACGTACAGAAAAATCCAAGTCCTTTTCATTATTTAGTGTAGAAGTGACGGTTACGCAAACTGCTAAAGAACTGTTTTTGACCTGGATTTGAACATTTTCAGATAAAGAAGCCTGCCTCACATTGTGGTTCATTGTGTTACCTTCTAAATAGTTGTGAGAAATGTGAACAATGTCGGAGTTGTTCAGGCATTTTGGCACAAATGAAAAACGTACATTAGCGCTCTTCATGATGAGATTAAAAACAAACACAATAGCAAACTTCCAATCATGAATGGCTACAAGCTTGTATAACATTGTGTATTTCTTTGTGTGTGTCTAGGCCTCGTGTCGGAGGAAAGCGTGACCCCAAAGGCCACTCCTCGTCCGATGATGACCCCGCCACCGCCGCCGCCGCTCTGTCCATGTCGCCGCCTTCTCTCCTCTCACTGCCTTCCTTTAAGGACGTCGGGAACGAGAAGGGAGGAGACAAGGAGCTGTGGGTCTCTGTGTTCAAGTATCTGAGCCGAGCCGAACTCCTGAGCTGCATGCTGGTCTGCAAGGCCTGGTACAAGTGGTGAGTGCAGAGACCAGGGCAAGTTTATTTGTATGGCACGGTTCATACACAAGGCCAAGTTATATTAAAGTGGGTCTAACGTGCTTTAAGTGTGAGACTTCAAGAATATGACTGATCAGTGACTAAAAACTATTAAAAACAGCTGCTAATATGAGAATGTCGGTTAATATTATTATTGTTGAGAAAGACATTTTTATTCCAAAGCTAGCGCCGGTTAGACCCGCCCACTCTCACCCCCACTACTTGCTGATTGGATGGAAGTGATTTAAACGCTTGATACGCAGATAAGGCTCCTGGCCATTTATTTATTTATTTGATCGGGACAACACACATTAATGAACAATCATATACAAGTTGTACACAAATTTACATCCGTAGTCCCGAGGCAGGTCTCACAATAATAATACAAGACACAATATACAACTATGCAAGTGACAGTTAGTTAAAATGAGTGCAGGACTTTACTTTAAAATGGCATCTCCTTGGTGGTGTTTATGCCAAGGAGATGCAATTCTATTCCATTTATTTTTGTTCAGCCCTAAATCACAACAGAGGTCGTCTGAGGTCTTCAGAGTTGCCAATTCTCCAGCAGATCAAAGAATCAAACCAGTTCGAACACTGGAAATGCAATTGGAACAAACGCATAGGAGCCATTAATCCGTAGAAAGCAGTTTGACCAATATCCATAAATGGATCATAATAATAGTACATTTTATTCATATTGCACCTTATATATTTTGCTACAGATTAAAATACAAAACAAACAGAATAAAGACAAAAACAAGGATCACCACTGTCCTGCATCAGCAAGGAAACCCACTGTAGCTATTAAAACTCATTGAGTGCCAGCCCATTTCAGAGCAGGTACTCCCATATTGCCAGCAGTTTCTGATGGTTTTTACTGATTTTTAAAGACCCACAGAATATTGTGTACTATGACTATCTGAAATCCGACACCAGATTCTAAAAGAATGGACTGTCTACTTTCCTCAGCAAAAAGAATTTTGTTTATAGCTTTTTTTTGTTCCCCTGTAATCCTCCGTCGAGTAGAGGGAAGTTTTACTGAAATCACCAGAAATCACCAGAAAGTTGAGAAAAAAGAGGCACATGTGCACCTACATGTTTTCAAACCATTCAGAGAGAAATGCTGCCACCTGCTGGCTCGATAAAATATGGTCTCAAGTCATCCCCATACATATTAGATACAATAGACATCTGGGAACGTGAAAATAGCGAAAAAGGCATTACTATTTGCTTTGACGTATTTGTGCGTCAATGGGATACAATGAGTTAAAAGGTTAATTGTGCCGTCTTTTTATACCATGATTGTGACTAAATAGTTTTTCTCCGTGGATTAAAGCCATTTCAGACTTGATCTACAAAGACAGATCCAGGGATTGACAAAATGAACTGTTTCCCCTGAGATCTCCGTCCTTTGTTTTCTACAGGAGTTGCGACAAGCGTCTCTGGACACACATGGACATCAGCCGCTGCTCCCCGCTCAGTAACCAGGCTTTAGCCGGGATTGTGAAGAGACAGCCCTGTGCCCTGGACCTGTCCTGGACTCCTGTGGCCAAGAGACAGCTCACCTGCCTCCTCACCAGACTCCCAGGTCAGAGCTACACCACAATCTGTAAATCAGTTCAGTTCAATGTATTCTTCTATAGCCCTAAATCACAACAGTAGTTATCTCAGACTTTACAAGGCCTCAAACAGTTCAACCACAAGAAATGCAGTGATAAAAAACACATAGCTCTGGGGTTATAATAAAAATAGGAAATAAATCACACATCTGTAGCACTAATACAATTTCTCTTACAAGCATTGCGATTACAATTTTATTTGCAATTTCTTGTTTTGGTTCTTCAATGTATAAGAAACCACTCCGGGAACACCATCATTTTGGTGAAACTGACCAAATCCTGATACATCATGCAAGAGATATTATTGTTTCTTAAAGTAATTTCCCTTCTGGGTCAATTTTAGATCCAATTTTTCATTAGTCAAAGTGTAAGATGAGTCTTTTAGATACTATACCATGTGACTGGGCGTTTTGATCTTTAGTAATGGCAGTCTTTGCTATATGATTATTTCACATTTTGTCATGTTCCCATCTTTATGCTAAATTTAGATTTTATACTTGCTTCTTTATTATGCTAACCTTATAGATTTTAGTATTTAGTCTATAGAGTTCTTGTTCACTTATCTTGTGCCATGTGCTCCTCATTCCTATTGTTCTGTAACCGTTGATGCAACATTGAAATTTCCCCGCTGTATCACAAATAAAGGATCTCTTAATCCTAATCTTCATAATTCAGTGTACACAGACACAATCAGCATTTCGTCTGTTCTTAACCCCATGACCCTCTCTGGCCTCAGGTCTGCGTGAGCTCCGTGTGGCCGGTCTGCCGTGGTCGTGCCTCTCCGCTCTCGTCTGCCCCACGCTGCCCTGTCTGCGGCTGCTGGACCTGCGCTGGTGCGAGGGCATCAAAGACGCTCAGCTCAAAGAGATCATCCTTCCTCCAGGTCAGAACCGGCATCTGTTGGATCAAAAACACAGGGATTTGACCAAAAACCCTGAAGAGACCTTTCCTAACACACTTAGCAACACGGGTTGGGGTGTCAAAACGACTCTGCATTAAACCCGCCTCGCGACCTAGTCTTCTGCCCTCTGCGTTTGAACAAATTTGATGACAATAAAAACCAGTCTGATGAATATCTTTCTTAAACAGGACCCATATGTAAGAAACGACCTATAAAACTACACAAGAGAGGGACAAGAAGTTTCATTGTGACAGCATAAGAAGCTCTGACCAATTCAATTCATTTGTCTATGGCCCTAAATCACAATGGCAGTCATCTCGGAGGACTTTACAAAGTTTTAGATTTCTCAACAACAGATCAGAGAATCAAATAGTAAGTAAGTAATCTTTATTTATATAGCGCCTTTCACAGACCAGAGTCACAAAGCGGTTTACAATTGTGGGCATTTGTCTCTCACTCCACACAGAGATGGGAGCGGGGCCAGTACAGGAGGCACATGCCAGACCTATTGTACATGTTTTTAGTGGTAGGGGAAACCGGAGCACCCGGAGGAAACCCGCAGTCACGGGGAGAACATGCAAACTCCACTCAGAAAGGCCCTTAATAATAATGATAACAAACACATAGAGCCATTGGTCCCTAGGAAGCGGGATGACCAATCTCATGTGAGAAACCTTGAGGAGGCCCCCACATTGAGAGAGGGAGAGGGTCAGGCTATAGACTCAGGAGTCAGGCTGTTCACAAGAAGCCGAATTCATCACGCTACAAAACAGACAATGGGACAGCGGGTGAATAGCAATGAACAGACTACTACAACATGCATTTCATTCTAATAGCTCCATCCATGATAATATTAGGAACGAAGACCAGGTTTTTTACAGGGATCCACTTGTAGTAACATGTGACCTGTGCCTTCAGACCTGGAGTCGTCACGCAGCAGACTGAGGAACATGGTGGAGCTCCGGGTCTCGGGTCTGGAGGTGTCGGACTCAGTGCTGAGGCAGATCCAGCGCCACATGCCGCAGCTGCAGACTCTGGACCTGGCTCACTGCAAAGACGTCAGCGACTCGTCCATCGCCATGCTGACGGCGTCCGGGACACACACGCGCCACAACCTCAGCGAGCTCACACTCTCAGGTATGGTCCGGGAACTACACCATGTTACTGCAGCTCAAGCTCTCGTATGTAGGCAAGACAAGTTTATACACAAGGTAACCAGTGATGAACAAAACCATATTATAATCACACAAGAGATTCAATCATAATTTCACATTAAAAAGAGTGAAAACACTGTTTATCTGTGCATACAACTGAAGGATTGTAAGGAATCTTTATTTATACAGTATAGCGCCCCTTCACAGATCAGAGTCAGAACTGCTTCAACCTGGATTTGTAGAGTAGAAGCCTGTCTCTCATTCTGAACAATTGTAAAGCGCTTTGGGTGACCTTAGTCTGTAAAATGTGCTATATAAATAAATCTTACTTTGAATCTGAAATCCCCATGTTTAGTCCTGACTCTGAGGACCAGCAGAGTCAGAGTCCCAGCAGGAGGCCAGTCCCTGTGCTCCTCAGAGTCCGTGTTGGTCCATATGACCCTAACATGTCACAGATTGACTTTGGTGTGAGGCCAGTAGTGTAACGTTGTGGTGGAAGGCAGCTGAAAAATCTTTCTCGTGCCAAAGTCAGATTCTAGTCTAACACAGCAACAAATGAAGCATGATTATATCGATGAAGCTAAAGTTGGCCGGATGACACTGTCAAAGTAGCTCATTCGCTCCTTTTGTGCTCCCTGTCTAAACTCTTCTCATAAACTTCCTCTTCAAACTCTCTGCAGGCTGTGATAAGTTGACGGACGGCTGCCTCTCGTACCTGAAGCGTCTGTCGTCTCTGTCGCTGCTGGACCTCAGAGGCTGCTCCCACATCAGCAGAAGAGCCTGCGACGTCTTCATCTCAGACCTGTCCCACACGGCTCTGTTCTGTATGATGGAGGAGAAGCTCATACAGCGGCTGGACTGAACTCACTTCAACACGGAGACCACATGTTGGGACTCTTTAACATTACCTGCTGGTGCCCTTTGCTGAAATGTTCAAAGTGTGTATGAAAACAGTGATGTTAAGCTATCTTTTGTACCATATTTTGTATAAAAAGTCTAAAGTGTGCCTGTTTTTACTTGTGTGTTTGGTCGCATCAACAAACAGGCCTTTGATAATTCTCGACTTGCACGTTACCCATAATGCAATATTCCTAGTGGAGATCACCCTTAGAAGCAGTTGTATAGACGTGTCAGAGAAACGAGAAATACACCAGAGAGAGAAAAGGGGAAACCGGAGCAAACACAGGGAGAACATGCAGACTCCCAGGACCTTACTGAGATGAGACAGCACTAACCACTCAGAAATCAATCATCAAGTTAAAACACTGCAACATTTCCATTTATCAAATTTATTTTCACAATTTCCGCATCAGCTGCATGTTAACCATCCATAAACATTAAAAACATGAATACAAAAGTTTCCAAAACTGTTGTAAATAAAACTTAGATTGACCGATACACAGGCTTTCTAATCTACCGGTGACTCATCCAAAACCTTTTAGAGCGAGAGAACATTTGTCCCGTTTGTAATTTGATAAATACAAAAACAGACAAATGAAATGTATTCAGAGCTGTATAAAATAGTGGTGGGAAAAAATCTATTCTGTTCAGTATCGGATATTTCGCACAAACAAATCAATACAACTGAGCATCGCAATATTTACTCACTTTGTCTAGTCCTGTAACAAGGTCCTAGAATAATAGTAAAAAGAACGGTATGCAAAATAAACAAGATAAAAAATAAGAAAAACAAATGGCATTTGAGTCATTTTCCTCAATTTCTGTGATGTCTGAATAATATGAGGTACATGAATCGCGAATATATCTCAGGATCGAATCACAATATGATAAAACTCACATTAATATTGAATTGTGGCCCAGATATTGTGATACTATCAAATTGTCGCATTTTTTGCTAATTCCTAGTATAAAAGTCACATTAGAATGAACTTTTGCTCCACATAAAACTATTGTCTAATATCCCTGTAAACGGTCCTGAAGCCAAAGCGTGACTAGCAAACCTCATGTGATCAAACCTTATATCGGTCTATCTCTAAACAAAACAATTATAAATCAAAAATAACTTTAAAATGCACCTTTTTAAACTGAATCATTCACATCGTAACAGAGAGACATTGTACAAACATTCGCTCGATGTTTTGGACGAGTTTACAGTCATGAAATTGTTGGATTAAATATTGGTTCAGTAGCTTTTGGTCGACTCGTACATCTCAGGGAAAGGCAGGCTGACGTGTCCGTAACCGGCCACTAGGGGCAGGATTCCAGCGTTCGGCACCACGTTCCAGGAGAGACTCAGAGTGATGTTTTTATTCGCCCTGTGGACACAAAAACTCTGAGATGCAAGGAGTGAAGCAGAAATCATATAGTACATGTCATTGTTTGACAAATGGGAGGTTTTGGTGTGTGCGTGTGAACGGTTGGTGGTGGTCAGAGGGGCCGGTGGCACATACTGGATGCTGTCTGTGTGTCCCAGGGCAGCTGCGGCTACAGTAGTCCACAGTGCATAAAGTGAAAGAATAATGACATGTGAAGGGTCCAAAAAAGCGCATATAAAACTGATGCATTATTATTATTATTAACCTTTGTGCTGTCAGTGAAAAAATACCCTGAATATTTATTTTTTCAAGCTACATTTTGACAATTTTTCCTAACTTGACCGCCCCTGGTCCAACCAGTAGCTCGCCATCCCCTTCCAGGTAGCTTGCCAAAGGATTTAGAAATGAACAAATCAAATTATACACTTGATATTTCAGATTGTATTATTCATTATCATTATTTGTTATTGTAAATGGACTTGCTTTGTCAGCAACAAAAATGCGATAAATATGTAAAATATGACAAATAATGACTATACCCAATATCAGGCTTGTACACACCATATCACAGGGACGCTTAAATGAGGAGCTCTCTGCTTTTATCATCCCCGGTAAGTAGCTCTCTGGATGAAAAAGTTTGGAGACACCTGATTTAGACCCTAAATTATTGTATTTGTATTCTACTTTTAATCACTGTGGCAGGTCATTTTGATCCGAGGATAGCTAACCCCAGTGATTAAAATTAGGCTCTTTTAGACTCTAAATTAATGAGCCAACCAGAGTCTAAATGACCCAGGGGTGGTAAAGTTAGGAAAAACCATCAAAATTCAGCTTGAAAAATGAAAAAAATTAGGGTAATTTTAAATCACTGGTGGGGAAAGTAACAACTTGGAAGGACTAATTTTTGGCGCTGATACGTTTACAAACAAAGTACCTGAGTCCGTTCCCATCGTCAAAAAAGAAGTATTTGGATTTCATGTCTCTGAGGTTGAGTTTGGTGTTTTCTCCTCGGAGGACGATCTTGTCCCACAACACGACCTGGTTCAACGCCTGAAGAGAATCCAAGCGTTACCAACGGTTACGGAGCCGTCTGTTTGGAGAAAGAGCCTACGCACTTACATTGTTTTTTGTTGCATATTCTGCCGAGAGATAGAGGAACAGCTGTTTGACGTTCCAGTCGAAAACAGGCTGCAAATGTGATCGAGGTCAAGGAAAAGTGTATTTTAAAACTGCACAATGTACAAAATATAAAAGGTTTTTCTGCGATTTTCACATTTGTATTTGTTTTGTTGGAGCGAGGCCATGTGAATTGGGCTGTGCATGTATCATTTGTTCAAAGTATTATACATTTACAGTTCTGTTGGTACAAAAGTTATGGATAATTCAGGAGTTACGTACCCCAGCTTAAAGGCCAATGTTAACATTTATGGATATTGGTCATCCCACTCCCTATGGACCAATGGCTCCTACGTGTTTGTCTTCTATTGGGCTTTACAAGAATAAATGTCAACTGGATAACAAGCTATTTTGAATTTCCTGTTATATGCGCATGCTTTGTTTGTCATGAGCGTTCACATAGTCTAAGTCCAAATTTCTCGACTAGTCTGTCCAATATTCCCTCCTCTTGTGTTTGGCCATTTCATTCAAAACTATTTTTCAAAAGGATATCAGCTGTGAGGTCGAACGTGATGAAGCCCAAGTCGCTGCGTTCTCTGGGTCCAGTGAAGTCGTCTACATTCTTCCTGTGGATTAAAGAATAAAAGTGGAGAAACTCAGTGGATACTCATATAATTGATTTTTTAAGCACCTATTGTGATTCGAAATGTTTTATAATAATGAGATAAGATAAGACTTTATTGATCTCACACTGGAGAAATGTACAAGTCACATTTGGATAGAATCACTCAGATTGTTCAAAAGACAGATGTGCAAACATGTTTAAGGTTAAAAATATAGTCTCTGCAGGATATAATCATGCACAATGAAAAAAGTGGCAATAAAGAAAAAAAAATCCAATTAGTACAATAGATTTTAAGCTTATTTTTTAGTGTTCAACATTTTTTATTTTGAATAATTGCAGCTTTTGATATTTGATAATTGCGACCGCATAAATAGCTATTTTGAACCGATTAATCTTGCAGCTATACTTAAAAGAGGGAGGAAGTGTCTGGGGAGCAGGAAGTCAATGCAGTTCAATGCACTGTGATTATTTATGATTGAATGTGTTGTATGATTTACTTCTATCTTGTTTTGATAAACTCCTTGAGTATTAACTGTGCTATACAAAAACTTGCCTTGCCTAAAACATTCATTAAATCACCACTCGATGACAGCCTAATTTAGCTAACCCATTCATTGCTTTCTTCGCTAGATGCTATGCTAAATTTCGACCTATCTCGTGCTAGCTTTACGTACATACTACCAATGCAAAGTTACCAATAAAATCCAATGTTAAATATAATAAATAAACATGCAACTATGACATATTATGCATAATATTAGACAGAATCTCTCGCAGCTGTCTGATCTTACAGCATGACTCTGGATACGTGTATGTCTACTGGAACTCTTCTGTCTTTAAACGCCGTTGTGACGAAGCAGCCGAAAGTCAGAGCCGCCATGACGCTCAGGGAGAAGGCAAACAGCGAGTTCGCCCTCGACAAAACCGTGTTCATCTTGAAATTAAACCCAAATTCGGACAAAATGAAGAAGAACGGGGAAAACGAAATTAAACAGTGCGGTTAAGCGTTACCGGATGTAGAGCGCAAACTCGGAATGCCATTGACTTCCGGTTGTATTTCAAAATAATGTAAAATAAACGTTGCTTTTTCAGTTAGTTTAAATATATATATTCATATTTATGACAGTTAAGTGTTGACTGCAACTAATGAGTATCGATAAACAATCAAATTATCGAACAAAACAGTTTCATTTTGTAATTTAAATGTATTTGTAAATTTACTTCCGGTTTAGCAGTTTTGGCTTGATAAAGTTTTAGGCGGAAACAACAAAGCGTGAATAAGCGGAAGCGTTTTGAGTTTTTGGTTAAAACTTTACTCTGCAAATTTTTTAAATTATGTTTTTTTTAACATTCTTCAGTTGCTAAATACGGTCCTGATTGTTTTGCATAATCAATTGTAAAATGTATTCTTATTAGCCATGAGCGAGTGAGGCAAGACAGCAGGCCTCTCAAATGCTGCCATCTACTGCTTATAAGTCATACAGCAAAGAGATTCTACTGAAACACTGCCGATTCAAAGTCACAGTCAACACTTTCATATAATAATAATTAAAAGCATGAAAATGTGCCAAATTTATTGTATGGTTTATTTGAGTCATTCATTGCACTATTTAATCTAAAAACATTGTTAAAACAAATGCAGAAATTGTACCAGAAAAAAAAAAAATCTAGAATACTAAAATAAATCTCGGTAGGTTCACACAAGTTGTTTTAAAGTACTTGGTCAAAATCATGGTAAACCAGTAATGGCAAAATCGCAAAGACTTGAATTTTCTCACAGACAGATTGAATGTAATTTTTAGTAAGATTATAGTTTTCTCGCAAACAAAACAAAAACTTATTTTAAAACAAGTTTAATATACATGTATTTTCTACAGCATATGATAACAATATACAGTCTATGATGATAACGCGCCATCTGTATATCTGACATCAGTATCAGATCCTATAACCTGGTTTCTTAGGTGGTTGTTAAAAATGTAAGTCCAATTCTCATATTCAGTTAAAGCTGCACTAACTGACTTTGGGATTTTGAAGCCGCGGACTCTCTGGCCTCTCTCTTTCTGCTCCCCTCCCCGCACCCACGAAGCTATCGCCCCCCACACACACCCACTGTTGGGACGGAGCTAGTGTCTCCCAGTATGGATAATACATGGATATGGATTTGCACGTGGATGGCGTGACCATAAAACGATAGAACCGGGAAGCGCGGAGGAACGAGACTTTCTTTTGGATGGCTGTTTCGCTGTGTAAGCAGTAACCGGTGATGAAGACACAAAGCTTCAGGTTAGCTCCGCCGCTTGTTGTGCTAACTCAGCCGTCTGTGCTAACGGACCTGTAGATTTCTCACGAAAGTGGGGGCCAGTGGTCCGTTGTGATTGGTCACAATCTGCGACCCGAAACACATTCTCTTCCTTGTTTCATCAAAACTCGATCTAAAATATAATGTCACGCCAGCACAAATCTGCGCTAATTATTCTTCAAAAGGACGTATATCCCAATGCACTACATGGACATGGATAGCATTTTCGTAATGAATACGAAAATAAAGTCAGTTAGTGCAGCTTTAATAATTAAAATAATACAGTTAGGTTACTGCTTATTTAATGATTTATTTTGATGTTTTATGGCATGCAAAATGTCATAAATCAAATCCTTATTACTAATACTGTTGTTATTGTATAAAAATCCAAACTGGTCTAGATTCACATTGAACCACATATATCTTAAGGCCAGGATACACTTTGAAATCAAAATCTGAAATCTCGGTGGGGCTTTTCTGGTTAAATAAAGGTGAATAAAATGACTAAAATTAAACTGTATTCAAGCAGCCTCTGTTCTTCTTTGCCTTAAGTCTCCTGTTTATGTAAAACTCATTCACACTGAGACCAATGGTCTTACATATATATATAATGTCTATATTGGTCTAGGCTGCAGGGGTCCACGCGCATTAAAAATAGCCTCAAGGCGTCAACACGTGGGTGTTCATGTGAGCTGGTCATGTGACTGTCCTGGAACAACAACAAACCTTCTCGACCAATCAGAGCGGCGCCTCTAACCCAGGTCTTACGTCTCAGCCAATAGGAGCGCTCCATTGGCCTCCGTCCCACCGTGTTCCTCTGCGCCTCTCGCGTGTCAGACAAACTACTGGGAAAATACTGTGGGATCGTCCACCAGCGTCATGCCTGTGGTACCGACCCTGGCCCCTGGAGTGTCCCGGAAACGAAGCGCCAATCCCGGGGAGAGCGCTGGACACGAGCGGGAGGCGAAGAAAGCGTGCTGGGGCATCCTGACCAGTCAAGGTAACCGAGAACCGCGACCCAAACCCGGGGACAGAGCAGAGGAGGGAGGGTCGAGGGTGGAGAACACTTATTTACATTTTGGGAGGAAAAAAGTCTAAATTTGAAATTTTGAATTCAGAGCTGGATAGATGTTGCTCACCCACTCCAGTAAAACAAACATGATACATATTGATATTAAAATAAGTAATTGGTATAATCTCATGTAAATAAATCCATCTTTCATTTATTTTGATTTCTTTATCCTTTGTCAAAGATATAATTTCCTTTTATAAAATACTTTTTAAAATCACATAATGGAAAAAATATATTGTTAGCAGTTTGATGATTTTGTTTTGAAATTATGATCATTTTTATTATTTTATTTTAAGTTACATACATGTTTTCCGTAATTGTTGTCAGAGCTGAAACCTTTTATTGTCCAGTACAATGTATAAATGTCTTTAGTTAGTATAGCTCTGTTGTATTCATTTACATTTGGTGGAAGTTAAAATGCTTTGCAGACGCCACAGTTTTCTCCATTGTATTTAAATAATTCATATAATCTTTTGATATGTGTGACAAATCTTTGCATATGACAATAATATGATATTTTTGTCTATATTTTCAATGCAACAAATTATCTGACTTGCACTTGGCTCAATCCTGTTGTTTGCTTACATAACTGAACTGTACAGTGCTGTGGACGTAGACAGCTGTTATGTGAGTTATAATAATAAAACGTCTACCTGTAGTAACAACATTACATTTACCTAAATCATAATTGATGAAATTTTTTAAGAAATATAAAAGATATGGAATGCATCCACTCAGGTGAATTTATGAGGTAATTGTCAATGACTAAGAATGAGTTGAGTTCATTTCAATACTGTAGCATTTGTTTTTGTATAGCCCTAAATCACAAAAGCAGTAATCCCGGAGAACCTTGCAAAGTTGTTGATTCACCAACAATATATCAGAGAATCAAACAGGAAATGCAGTCATAACAAACACATAGAGCCATTGGTCCATAGGGATGTCCATAAATATTAACAAAGGTCCTGGATCGTCATTGTCCTTAGACCCTCCTGCTACTGGAAGGAACGACTCAAAAAAAACCAGTGGGAATAAGTGACAAACCTCGGGGCCCACATTGAGAGAAGGATCCACTCCCATGAACGGACCGGCTCTAGATCCCGGACTCAGGCTGTGCGGTGCAAGACTGAATGACCTGAGTAAGAGCATATATACAACATTTTGCTGAATTTGCTTAAAGAGTCAAGAATCTAGCGCCGTTCACGGACCAGAGTCACAAAGCGCCTTACAATTTGTTGTTTTTTTTTGTTTTGGCATTTTGTCTCTTGCTCTGCACAGAGATGGGAGCGAGGTTGCCATACAGAAGTCGCATGTCAGACCTATTATACATGTTTTTAGTGCTAAGGGAAACCGGAGCACTCGGAAGCAAACTTACGCAGACACAGGGAGAACATGCAAACTACACACAGAAAGGCCTGGAGGTGGAATCCATGACCTTGCTGTGAAGAACAAACGCTAACCACTACGCAATCTTGTAAAAGTTGCCTTCATCATATTAGAAAACATTGTATTTGTTCAGTTCAGAGCGGTCCTTTCTTTTCTGTCTGAAGCTGACCTAAAAGGGCCTAAAAATACATATTTGTAGAATCTAGCATTAGGAATGTCTCTCTACAATACTAGATTCTGGTATTGAATATTTGACATGTATATCGAGTATCAGTAGTGGTAATAAGACCATTTACTTTGAATAGTTTGTTGCGACGTGCAGCAAAGTCTGTGACGTGACTATGATACTGCAGCTACATGTGGGGTTAAAGATAGTTACACATTTAAAAACTTCACAACTAAACAGCTAAAGAAGCATCAGTTCTGCTGGCGTGGTTGTGGCCCATTGGATGTGGACCGTTCACATATATTTTGGAAATGTTCAGCTGCTCCAACGAACCAGGACCTGCAGCATGCACTGGAGCGGTTTGCAGCCGAGTGCGAAGCGGCCGGGATGAGAATCAGCACCTCCAAATCCGAGGCCATGGTGCTCAACCGGAAAAAGGTGCCTTGCCCTCTCTAGGTGGGTGGAGAGGTCCTTCCTCAAGTGGAGGAGTTCAAGTATCTCGGGGTCTTGTTCACGAGTGAGGGAAGAATGGAGCGTGAGATTGACAGGCGGATCGGTGCAGCGTGCGCAGTGATGCGGTCGCTGTATCGGACCGTTGTGGTGAAGAGGGAGCTGAGCCGAAAGGCAAAGCTCTCAATTTACCGGTCAATCTTCGTTCCTTCCCTCACCTATGACCCTATGAACTTTGGGTAATGACCGAAAGAACAAGATCGCGGATACAAGCGGTCGAAATGAGCTTCCTCCGCAGAGTGGCTGCTCCCTTAGAGATAGGGTGAGGAGCTCGGTCACACGGGAGGAGCTCGGAGTAGAGCCGCTGCTTCTTCACGTCGAGAGGAACCAGTTGAGGTGGCTCGGGCATCTGTTCCGGATGCCTCCTGGACGCCTTCCTGGGGAGGTGTTCCGGGCACGACCCACCAGGAGGAGGCCCCGGGGAAGACCCAGGACACGCTGGAGGGACTATGTCTCTCAGCTGTGTGTGGATAGGGAAGTCTGGGCGTCTCTGCTTAGACTGCTGCCCCCGCGACCCGGCAACGGATGAAGAGGAAGAAGATGGAATGGAATGGATCATGTATATGGGAAAACAACATTATGATTGATTCTAGGCTTGGCACGTTTTGGTTCTGTTTTTATTTCATTTTATTTGTATTTTACTGTCTTGTGTTCTCTTTAAAGGAAAAATTATAAAAATGAAGTAAACAACAACAACAAAATTCACCAATCTACATACAGTAATTATAGTCAGAATGTAATGGTTGTCTAGTGTAAATATATATGTGAGCAAAAGTACAAGGATTGTGAACAAAAAAAAAAGCAAAACGGAGGCTTTTATATTGAACAAACTGGACTTTTAGTAGTATTCAGTTGTGTTTATAAACGTTCAGACCAGGTCACACATTACTATACTATTTTAATATATCTAGTAATGGGTATTATTCTGACAATCCCTGCTTTGTTCATCTTTCTTCTGTATTATGTGATCAGCAGCATTGTCAGGCATTTTGGCACATATGAGATTAGGATCAGGATATAAAACCAGGAGATTATAGGAGAGAGAACGGCTTCTACAGCTTATATATGATTTTATGTTTTTTATGGGTGGCTTTTGGTGGATGTGTACAACGAAATCAAAGTGTGAGACCCTAGAACTGCTTCCTGCTTTGAAAAAAAGAAAATTTAAAATATATGTTAAGTTTAATGCTATACTTCTGTTTTCATGTAGGCAACTCAGATGTTTCAGGCTTTTTAATTTTAACCAGCTTCGAGGAAGAGGGAGATCAGATTCTTGTGTCTGGCCTTGCACCTGGCTTTTTCAAAATGGCCGCTGTTTACAAATAGTGTGATAGCGTGTCGAGTAGTCTGTTATTCCACTCCGGGTTTTCTCCTATATTGTTCATAATATTGGTTAAATCTCTAGTCTTTTGAAGGTTGTTTTTGTGCGTGGATGGCGCCTGAAATGTTTTTTACACATTTGATTTATTTTTGCAGTATTCTCATGGACTCTGGGCCTTTTTAAGAAGAAGAATAGTTATTGAATAGACATGACATACATTTACAACTGGCTGGATGTTCCGTGGGGAGATGGAGACATGGGTATGTGTAAAATATGAGTGTAACAGGCATTTGTGCAGAAGCTAATGCTGCCACAGCTTTGGAGGACTAGCTTGTAGCGATAAATATAGCTGAAGGAGGAATGGTGTGGGTGTTCAAGTGTCGCGGGGTCTTGTTCAGGAGTGAGGGAAGGATGGAGGTTGACAATGATGTGGTCGCTGTATGTTGTGGTGAAAATGCGGCCGCTTTTCCCTTAAGAGCTGTTTGTGGTGAAGAGGGAGCTGAGCCAAAAGGCAAAAAACTCTCGATTTACCGGACAATCTACGTAGAGATAGGAGGAGAAGCTCAGTCACGCGGGAGAAGCTCAGAGTAGAGCCGCTGCTTCTCCAACGTCGAGAGAAGCCAGTTGAGGTGGCTCAAGCCTCTGTTTGGGATGCCTCCTGGACGATTCCCTGGGGAGGTCGTGTCTCACTGCGAGGAGACCAGGGGAAGACCTAGCTGGAGAAAGTGTGGGTGGTTAAGGAGGCTTGGGTGTCTGTGCTGCCCCTGCGACCTGGGAACGGATAAAGTGGAGGAAAATAGATGGCTGAATCATCCTGGACTATTCATTTTGTTTTAACATTACAGTCTATCCATAAAGATTTCCGTCAGAGGTGTTAACTAAAGAGAGACTTTTTAAGCTAAAATAACTTAATGTTTTAATGTTTCCTTCCAGGCTCGTGGGCAGACCGCTCCCCGCTCCATGAAGCTGCTTCTCAAGGTCGACTTCTCGCTCTGCGCACTCTTCTCAACCAGGTTACTATAGTTTAATCAGTGGAGATTCATCCATAACTATAATATCCACATCATATACTTTACATAATACCTACATTTCTCTAAAATCATGTATTTTTGGGTGTTTATCTCCAGGGGTATCCCGCGAACATTGTGACCATCGACCATGTGACGCCTCTTCATGAAGCCTGTCTGTCGGGACACGTGGCCTGTGTGAGGGCTCTGATCAACGCTGGAGCAAATGTACGAATATTTTTTTATAAATTTTTTATATACTCCCAGAGCGCCTGCTGCTGTTACACTAAATACTGTGTGGTATAAAATGCAGGAGTGGTAGAAGCTACAAAGGTGAAATACAGAATTGTGTTAAAGGTGCAGTAAGCGAAGTTGTTAGCTTAGCACCAACTGGAAACCCCTCCCCCCATTTTAGGTTTTAGAAAATCGGATAACTTTGCAATCGTGAGAAACAGGAAGAGGGTGAAGGGGGTAAACACATCCTATTGGTTTATTTTTATCGGCCCGCTCAAAAAAATATTTTTTATTCATTTTTGGAGACTACTGGCATCTGGTCAATTACATTACTATTTGAAAACACATGATAACTTGACTACTTTTAGGGTTTAGGGAAAAAAATGCCTCTGTAAAAAATCACTGACTGCATCTTTAATAAGTTGTATCTGTGATTTCAGGTGAACGCGACGACCATAGACGGAGTGACGCCTCTGTTTAACAGCTGTGCGTGTGGAAGCTCAGTTTGTGTCGAGCTGCTGCTGCAAAATGGAGCTGACCCCAAAACTGCTCTGGCTCATCACCCGTCCGCCCTGCACGAGGCCTGCAAGAGAGGTACCGCACACGTCTGATTCACCAACACTGAGTGGACCATAGAGCTTATTTAAATACAGTACATACATACATACATGTACATAAACCAATTTACACTGTATTACTTTGTCTTTTTAGCTTTTAACCACATTAACATATTGTTCCTTCATCAAAAACAGACCTGGACCTATTTCCTGCTCCATCTGTAGAACTCTTGGCAGAAACATCCAAACTCATAACACTCAAACAAATGTTCAGACAGTGATGTGAGGCTCAGAGCTGTTTTCTGCCATTTCAAGCTAAAGTATTTTCTCTACATTAGTTTTGGCAATTTCCCAAGTCAAATTAGATCCTGCTATTACTTGGGAGTGTTTTTCCCATTCTGGTTTTTACAAGTCTGTTCATAACATGTGCAGCAAATGAGTTAAAACATAATACGTAATATTTGCTCCATTGGTGACTCTTGAATACCATATAAGCCTGTTCTCCTGCAGGCAGCCGGGAGTGTGTTGAGTCCCTTCTGTCGCGGGGAGTGGATCCGGACTATGAAGTGCCACATTTAGGGTCCGCCCTCTACATCAGCTGTTTGCACAAGAACCCAGGCTGCTCCCAGGTTCTACTGCACCGAGGTGGGACTACATTTACAATACATTTATTCTCTTTTCAACTTTCCCATGCGTCCATACATAGACGTTCAGATACGTTTTGATTCACGTGACATCACAATATTACAAAGAGCTTATAGTTTTGAACATTATGATGGAGAGCAGCTTAAAAAATCTTTACTTTTAACTATGGTAATAACTGTGGGAGGTGGCAAAGTGTACCCTCCCCTCGCCACAAGGCAGCGCTGTGGGCTTTATGTGACCTGTGCCCATTCTCCTATAAAAGGGGCAGAATGGGCTCTATGCACACACCACTTCAGCGTTTTAGTTACAACCCCACTTCACTTCCTGTGCGCAGGGAAAGGCTTGAGTTTCACTGGAGTTCAGCAGATATTTACACGAGTTTCCTAAATAATGCTCAAACGGGAATTAAACTGTGAGGACACTGGGCATTTTTGGGACACAGCAGTGCTTTTTGATTGTGCTGTCATTGTGTTTTTATAAAGTTTACAAATCTCTCTGAGTGGCCACAGTCAAAGCTCTACCTCAGAGAGAAAGCACAGCGACACTTTTGGGCCATTCTCACAGCTGAATGTATCAATTAATTACTAAAAAACGTCACTACAACTCACCTAAAGGCCATAGCGATATAAACAGGAAGTGAACGGGCTGTGCTTTGTTAACAGGAAATGACGTCACGCCTCCCCGTGCATATAGCCCATTAGAGGGACAGGTGCTACAAGGTTTGAAGGTCTCTGATACAATATTTGCCCTCTGAAACTATGGTCAAAAGTAATATCTCTAGTCAAAATTGAGTTAAATTCTCAGTTTTCTTGGGCCAATCCACATGAAGCAAAAACAGTCACAAAGTTCCACATATTCTGTATCAGCTCCTATCAACTCTGGTCTAATTATTTTCCCATAAATGTTTCTAGAGGTGGTAGGGCTGGGCGATAAAACGATAACGATATATATCGCGATAGACATGTGTTCGATATCAATAGAGAATGGGGTCGATAGAATGTTCGATAGTTTAACTTAACTCCGTCAGGAAAAACAGGAAGAAAACACCGTAAGTAAAGCCGACTCATAAGCGCATGGCATTGTGGGGGATGTAGGCAGAGGCTTCTCGACCAATAACAGCCGAGCAGGAACCGCAAAACTTTGTGGGAAACAACAACAACCGCACCATGCGTAGCGTCCATGGATCTATAGCTCGTGTTTCAATGCCGTGTCAATGGTTATGCACGTACGTGCGCGGAATAACATGTGCGGCGGCAGAGGCAGTGGACAGACACGATGTATTAACTTTTTCCTCGGGAAGCATGTGCGGCACAGAGAGCCGCACGGAGCGGTCACGGGGACACAAGACCCTCAAACAGCTAAACCAGGAGCTAAACCAGGAATAAAAAACCAGGATTAAACCAGGACTAACAACGAGGGACACAGTGTGAACATATTCCTCCAGCCTCATCGCCCCGTGACTGTAAACAAGGCTGCTAAGGTTGGTTAGCCCACACGACAAATATATTTATTTAGGTTAAAAAAAAAAACTCAATATATATCGTTATCGACCGATATGAATGACTTATATCGTGATATAGTTTTCAGCCATATCGCCCGGCCCTAAGAGGTGGTGACAATATTCAAAAACATATGCCGGCTAATGGGAAGGACCCAGACATGAGAGTAATATGGTGGGTTTGTGTAGTCGGTATCAAAAAAAATTCTGTTTCTAAATATATTTTAAAGATGACTTCAGTGTCTGCTACAGTCTTGTATTGACATCTGCCCTATAACTGAAATGGAATTCTGCAAAATGATAATACAACCTATAGACTTGATAGACAACGCATATGTAGGACAAGTTTAAGCGAGTCAACAGTGGTAGAAATGGAGGAGTCCGAGTTATGACTACAGGTGACAGAAAAGTCCACAACAACGCCTTGACAAATAGGGCTGTAGGACTTTTTGTCTATAATAATTATTTTTTAATTAAATTCTTGAGTTATCAACGATGCTATTTCATTTTTTCCTCAGGAGCCGATGTAAACAGAGGGCGAGGAGAGGACACGCCGCTCCATGCAGCTGTGGCCAGTGACAATGAGGAGCAGGTTTCTTTGCTGCTGGATTTTGGAGCCGACGTGAACCGGAGAGACTGTAACAACCTGCGGCCGGTGGAGCTGGCGCCCCCTGGTGGTAGGGCACAGAGGCTGCTGCAGGCTCACAATGGTAAAGCACCTGAATCAGAATGGTTTTTGATGACTACACAGACTATGGCCTGTCTGCTTCTTCACATTAAAGCTGAAGGGCCTAAGCTTTTGTTTAATGTTTAATTCAATATATTTTTGTAGAGCCAAAAATTACAGCTTATATCAGACGACTATACAAAGTTGTTGATTTACCACCACACATCAGAAAATCAAACAGTTCAAAGACAGGAAATGCAACGATAAAAAACACAGATATTCCAATTCGATCCACTTTATTCATATAGCACATTTTATAAAACATGTTTCCAACGTGCTGCAAAGATAAAAGTAGCATATTAAAATATACATATATAAATAAAAACAATAAAAATAAAATAAAAACAATGAATACAAAATAAAAGCAATTACATTCAAATAAAAAACAATTCAAATAAAATAAAAACAATTCATTCTGGTGTTTTTAAAGTTCAGTGTTAAGAAATCTAGTGGTCATTTAGACAGCATTAAAACCAAGCGGTTTTAAGCCGACACAGGTCTAAACAACACACCAACCTCTCCCACTTTTGTCCTGAGTTGACACTTCATTTCAACACATGTCAAAAAACATGGGACTGCAATAACAAAACCCTGTAGATTATCACTATAACAGAAAAATAATTTTAAGTTAGAATCTCTTAACAATAACTCTCTTTAATAATTTTCTTTCAGTTTCTCCTCGGTCGCTGTGTGAACTGTGCCGTATCCACATCCGAAGTCTGATTGGTGGATCCAGGCTCAAGTTCGTCCAACAACTTCCTCTTCCGTCTTTGCTCACGCAGTATCTCGAGCACACGTAAAGCTCAAATTCTGTCATAGCACTAATATCTATCAACACCATTTTAACTACAGCCCTACTTGGCCCTACTCACCTACCGGTATACGTGGAAATTCCTTGCTCGCCTACATACAATTCCAGAGAGTATGTTGAACTGACCCGCTGAAATTTCAAGTTGGCGGGGCCAGGCTAGCTCCCAGCAGGACTTCAGCTAATCTCTGTCAGTTAGAACACTTCAGCACCAGCTCACCCTGAATGGAGCCCAGGGCCGGTGGAAACGCTCCCAATCAGGGCAGAAGAGAGTTGGGCCAAGTAGGGCTGGTGGGAACAGGGCTCATGTGCCAAAAGACCTAATTTATTCATTGTTATTATGTTGGAATGTAAATCAAATATTGTCTTAATCATTATGTATAAACGTACAGTCTTGTATTTTAAAACATTTTAGCATTTGTACAGCACTCACTATCAACTAAGCTTTTACTTTTGTTATGCAATGTTGTTTTGACATATAATTTTTATTTTTGATAGCACAATAGCACGTTACTAAAATAGAAAGTAAGTTGTTATTTTCAATGGACAATCACCTAGCAAACACAAGAAAATGAGCGCTACTATTAAAGGCTAATAAACATATCCAGAGCGGCTGTCTGAGGCCAACAGAGAACAATATTAAGAAAAGCTAAGGGGAGCAGCTGAGGGGGTGCCAAAAGAACCACTAGAACATGTTTTTATTTTATTTTACAGAAAGAAAAGTTGAGTTGACTTTTGGTTTCGCTAAGGGGGTACATTTAGGGGTTCGTTATAAAACTGGATTCGTTTTTGCAATTCTTTTTACACACCTCCTCCATATGCTGCTGTTTGTCTGAGTGATGATGTCAGCTGTAGACTGTGCTATAGATAGAAAAAAAATAATTAGGATTTTAATGTAGAAAATCTTTAAAATAGTAATAATTTCTACTAGAGTGTACAAAAAAGCCCATTAAATAGTGTGAATGTAGATGAAACATAGAAAATCACAATATTGTTCAAAAGTCTATTCATATCTGTGTTTCAACTTACAATGTGAAACTAGTATATGACTCATTACATGCAAAGAGACACATATCAAGCCTATATTTGTTATAATTCTGTCTCACAGCTTGAAAAAAATACTGTATAACATTTCAGAAAATTACAAAATATATTTATGCCTGACTAGCTAAATTCAGGCAACAAAATAAAAACCTGTTTGTTTTGGGGCACTGCTAAAAGTAAAAAACTGGATAATACATGTTTAGAAATGTCCTAATTTTACACAGTTTGACATATAACCTCTTAATTAATTTCCATGTCATTTTTATGTCTGTTTGGAATCATGCAACTACCTCCATTTCATTATTTTACTTGAATAATTAAATTTTTTTCTCATTTTAACATTTGAAATGGCATTGTGGACTGGTTAAACTTGACCAATGACAAACACTAATACTAATGGCTAACGTGATACTAATCTAAAACATGTTAATTTAACTGTGGCATGACATTGGAAACGTATTTATCTTGCATTTGTTCAACTGATGTGTTTTTATCGGCGACAAAACCTTGGGAAAGATTCGGCTGTTGTCTTGAAGCAAAGCCGTCGTCATGGAGACAGGGAAGCTTATCTAAACCTTGCTGCTGTGTTGTCAGGCCGTTTCTGTCCATGAAGCGTTACTAAACTCAGCATTTATGTTTTAACGGTAGCATCAACCAAAAACAGAACTCTCCCTTTAATAACATGTATAGTTTTGTGTTTTGTCTTGTGGATCTGTGAAACTCAAAATAAATGATAAGACATGAGCTTTCTCAGATGATTTTTTTTACCTCTATATTACCTATTTTTTAAATATTATTTTATTTAAATTTAATTAACCTTAATTCTCTGTCATTCTCTTGTTTTGCTTCACCCTTTAATGAAAAATTAAATGTAAAAACGGGGGCAAATAGGGGCTCAGTTGATAGAAGTATGTTTTTAATGGCCGTTATATGTATTCTATGTTTATTCCAATTTACAATAAGATATGGCAGAAATATTCAGTAAGAAAAAAGAAAAGGAAAAATATTTGACTTCACTGTATTTTAGTATAGAGTTATTATTGATTTGTCGTGTGCTCTGTGCTCCTCATTCTTGCTGTTTGTAACTTGTGATGCAACACTGACATTTCCCCACTGGAACATTAAAAGCACTCTTAATCTTAAAAAAAAGTACTATTTCCAAAAATTATGTAATGTAATTTAAAAATATTACATTGATGAATTCTTAATTTACGTTATACTTTTTGACATTTTTGACCCAACCTTTAATACCAACCTGTCAAGCGCCAACGAAGTATAACCAGTTCAATAGATAATGCAGTTAGAAATACATTATTCAAAATTAGAAATGAAAAATAAATGATTGAACCATAAATATCATAAAGCCGCTATATTAAAACTTCAAACGTCAAAAGTACTATTTCTAGTTTTCATTTGGAGGTAATTTCTCTTGTCACCAAGGGCCACATCAGTAAGTATCAACTATCTAATTGTTTTCTCAAGTTGTCTATAAGTGGTGAAATTACACAAAAAAACATGCATGATGTTGGCTTGGAGAATGGACTTTCAGATATAAGAAAAATATAATGCCTTTGTGAATCTAATCAATATCAAAAATTGAATTCTATAACATGAATGCAACCTATAGCCCTCTACCCTAGAATGAATCTCTAACCATTCCAACATTCCTTTGTATTGTTCAAGGTCTGGTTTGGCTCGTTCAATACATACAGTGACTCACGTCCATTCACTTCTATGGTCATAAAGGTTTTTTTTTTTAAGGGTTTGTTTTACAATGACGAGGATATTGCACACCTTCAGTTACTACGGGTGTGGTGCAAACCTGTTCTAATCTTTTCTCATATATGTAAATATTTTAAGAAGTTTCTTTGAGAGCAAATAGCAACATTCCTGAAACACATTGTTAGTGTACTTAGTTTTACCTGCCACGTTTGGCTTCTGCTGCTGAGATTAATATTGTACTGAGGGTTCAGTTGTAATGGCAATTACAGCAGCCATCTTATGATTGTAAGATAGACATAATTAAAACAGATGTAATATCACATTGATCATACTAGACCTGAGTTTAATTATGAAAAACACAATGCAATACTATGAACAGACAAATGGGATTCTGGGATTGAGTCTGGGTTTAGCTGGATGATCTTGGAGCTTGGATGATCAAGAGAAACGGAATGAGTTTAAAGTGTGTTTGACCGGTATGAGAAGACATTTCACTAAATCAGTTACCAACGATAACTATTGTGAGGATTAGATAGCTGTTTGGCCTACGTGCATGACAACTGCAAGACTATACAAGGACCCTGATTGTGCATCCATGTTTTGACTATGATTTGCTCTGTCTCTGTGTGACAAGTATGTCTTTCGATGTGTGACGTAACAATGACTATATAACTGTACTGACTCCATTTTGGTCTGAGAGAAAGAAACATCAGAAACCACTGGAACTTGAGAGAAACCAAAATAAACTTCCAGAGTTTGGCGCACCACGATCCGTCTCTGTCTGGTAGGCTTAAAACAGTCCTCTTTAATTTAAAATGAGGTTAGGCAAGTAAGACTCAGGTAAGACATAGAAATAAAACCTTAAGTCTAAAAACACATATTTGTATTGTAATATTGTCTACAATTTGTGTCGTTTTTTTGTAAATCTTATTATCTGTGTTGAAATCAATTTGTATAACTGATTGTTTTTAGAGATGGGTCCCAGGAAGATTCTTTGTCTCTTCAGTGGTAATTAATGGGTATCCAAACTATCCATACAAAGTAGGCCCAGCAAAAATGGTCAGAAATAAGTATTACTTTCAAGACAAAATGCAATTGAAGTTGCAGATATCACCTTTAAAGGACACACACACGCACGTGCACACACACACACACATGACATACAACATACAACCTGCATACAACATACATCTCCATACACTAGCCAGTACCAAGATGGCCGCTGCGTTACCCGGAAGTCTCTCTAGAGTTTCCCTAGCACGGCGACCAGTTCTTCTCGTGAGATCTTGAACACAGGCGGTGGGCTCGCATGCTACAGCCGCAGCCACAGCAGCAGCTACCCAGGAAGAAGGGCTATCACCACAATGCGGATAAAAGTGGGCTTTATTTTACGGAGTTTGCTCGTGATTGGAACATTTTTGGGGCTCGTCGTGCTGTGGTCGTCGCTGTCACCCAAACCGAACGATGTCAACCCCTTTGCCAAGAGGGTGAGTGACTGGAGTTGTGCCTCACCTAACCTTCAAATCTTATTACACAATAATAATAATAAGACACACACATGCTAACTGTACACACTTGCATTCATAAGAAACCTATTCACTCATAATAACTTTGCTTTTAGCTCTTTAATGTGGCGCGTGTGACAGAATGCAGCTTCTAATCACCGAGCTGTCAATGCAAAACTGCTGAACCCACTTTAGGACATTTTCATAGAGATTAAATTAAAGTGACATTTGAATTATACTATATATTATTTGTTTGGTAACTTATCCACTATTGTTGATCAGTCGTATCTGAGCAATCGAAAAAATGTAGGCACAAAACTACTATCAAATGAATGTGTCTATTCTAGAAGCTGTCAATGAAGAACGATTACTTTGACACACTTTTCTCTATTTTAGTTTTGTCCCAAATCCTCATATATATGTCTATAGTAATGTATATAGTAATGTTAAACTTCCCTGTATTTATCAAAGGGAATCAATTATGTTCAAATTATATTATCTGAAATTGTCATACAGCATTGTACCATACTATACTCATTACAGCATAAGTCACTATTTAACTTATCTTCCACATTAAGCTATTGTTATTTCACCCATGTCTATGTTGTAATTTTTGCCATTCTTTTCCATAACAGTCTGTTTGTGTCGATACATAACCATATTATGACTATATAGTATTGCTCTAATGTCAACATACCTCCTTGGCCACGCAAGCAAACAGCTTAAATAGTATTATAATTTTCGCCTTGGCTTATCTGTTATTGCGCTTCAGTTAGATAGACGGTTGATTGTGTAACTTCCACACTGTTCATAAGTCAAGTATTAGACATTATAAATTGCATTGTTATTCACTACATGGGCCCATTGACGGTGTTGCACTCTGGTTGGAAAGCCACATAATCCTTACGACTCCAGGATGTGAATATCCGTGTGACGTGTGGCACTGTGCACACCTCCTGAGCTCTGAGGACACTGCTGTTTCAAGATTTACAAGTTTACAAGGCACTGTACTGGTTTCTGTAAGGTGTTCCACTTATTTATGTGAGTTACAGAAAAGAGGTTATGTCTAGCGGATCTTGACAAATGATTTATGAAAAGTTGAAATTGTATCATTATTTACAGACAAGGCTTAAAGCTGGAGTACCTATTTGCAAACCACAACCCATAACAATGTAGTAAAAACCATGTAACTAGTTCTCAATCTCAAAACTGTTTGGTTCAGTCACTTGTTTGCACTACTACTAGTTCAGTCACTAGACCAGATTTTTTTGTGTGTGTGAAAAAAGAGAGAACCAGCATCTAGCCAATCAGTAAAAGATCAAATGTTTTGTCATACGATAAAAAACAGCATGATGTCTTGCTCACAAAATGTCATTCAAACAACATTCTTTCTGTTGAGACAAACAACACTTATTTATGTGTGTTTGAAACAACAAAACAACAATAGAAAATTAATATTGAAAAAGGTTGTTACAATAATTGAGTCCCAGATTTTCAGCTTGGTCCGTGGAACCTCCTTAAGGTTTTTCACTGTTTCATTTTTTTTTTTTAATGAATTCTTTGTTAATGCAGGAGGGTCTAAGGACAGTGATGATTCCGGTACATTTATTTAGTTATCTTTTAAAATGTATGGATATTGGTCATCCTGCTCTCTATGGCTCCTATGTGTTAATTATTATTGCATAATCTCCGTTATTTGAACTGTTTGATTCTCTGATCTACTGTTGGTGAATCGATAGCTTTGTAAAGTCCTCAGAAACGACTGCAGTTTGGATTTAGGGCTATACAAAAATAAATGAAAATCATTAATTTGCATAGGGCTGGGTTAATATTAATATGTGTTTTAAAAATAGTTTAAGTAGACATGTATACTCTTGAATACTGCATTTGGAAACTACACTCTGCCACATTTACCAAACGTGTTAAATTCTGCTCCAACTATCCCTGGGTTTCAGAGAGATGAGAAATGCTGACCGTTGCTTCAGTGACAGGCCATTCAGAGAAAGTATTCTGTCAACATGTTGGTTCATCCTCTCTTTTCCATCTTCATATGAGCTGCAACAACACAAAGAAACAATTCAGAAACTCTTATCAGCCCAAAACAAATAAAACAAATAAAACAATAAAACATATTCACCTAACATTTACAATTTATGGATGTGTGCGCTTAAAATGTGCTGTTTTTGCTGAAAGGTCCTCTTACCCCTGGCATCCTCTCTTTCTACCCTTGCTTTTATATTATCCATTGTTTTAGAAGTTTAAAATACTGATTCCAATCTCTCTGTATGTTGCCTCTTTTGAATGAACAATAATTTTAACAAACCCGGAGTTTCTGGATTAACTGGATTGAAGTAGATTTGGAAATATGTCTAGGTTTGGTTTTAATTGTTGGCGTCTATGAGGAGCGTGGCATCTACATGTTATTGCTCTAAAAGTCTTAAAAATTTGGTTGAAATCTGTCATGACCTAATCGATGATGTACGCTTTTCCTTGGGCTATTTTCATTCTCTAATTGTTTCCTGTGAGAACTTAGTCATGTGTTATTCTTCTGTCCCCCACATGTTTTTGTGCCTTCAATGTGATTTTTTTTCTACCACAAGCGGTAATTAGAAAGTACTTCACGGCTCATTTCACAAATAAGACATTAAATCATAAACATTGAAAAAAAATAAAAACAAACATTAAGATCACACAGAATATTAAAAACCTGTAGGGATTAAAATCATGCATAATTATAGCCCCTTTAAATATAGTAAAGATACAATCCTTCCTTCTTTTCATGACTTTTTTTTCTGTGTGTTACTTAATTCTGTTGTTTATTTGCTTCAGCGTAGGACTGGAAATGTTAAAAACGTATTGAAATAGGTTCAAAGAGATTCTCTTGCTTTTTGTTATTGCTTCAGTGGGACAAGAGGTATTTCAATCTTATAGTTTATCACAAAACACTTATTTACATGATGAATATATTGTCCATCAAAGTTTGTCTGTGTCTGTCTGTATCAGTGTGTGTGTGTGTATCTGTGTGTCTTTGTATTTCTGTGTCTGTGTCTGCGTATATCTGTGTCTGTGTGTGTGTATATATGTGTGTGTGTGTGTGTGTGTGTGTATATCTGTGTCTGCGTATATGTGTGTGTCTCTGTATATCTGTTTGTGTGTGCGTGCGTGTGTATCTATATGTGTGTCTGTATCTATGTGTGTCTGTATGTCTTTGTGTCACTGTGTCCCTGTGTGTGTTTGTGTGCGTGCGCATGTGTTTATCTGTGTGTCTGTTTAGTTCTGTGTGTCTGTGTATATCTGTGTCTGCGTATACTTGTGTGTCTCTTTATATCTGTGTGTATTTGTCTCTGTGTCACTGTGTGTGTGTGTGTTTGTGTATCTATGTGTGTTTGTGTCTGTGCGTGCGCATGTGTTGCTACTCTCATGTGTCTTTAAAAAGCTACACCCTTCCGACATAATTAAAGGGGCAGTTGTAGTTTAAGTTTACATTCAGTTTGTAGAAGCTTCTGAAGTAACTCCTTTAAAATGCCTGGGAATGCTTAAACACAGCTGTGGCTTTGGGACTGTTGTCAAGTGAGGAAATGGAGTATTATCAGTCTAATGTAAAAGGCTTAGAATGATCGTTTTAATTAGACAAAGAGTGTAAAGAAGTGAGTACTGCTTATTTTGCCTTAGTCAGAGGTTGGCCAATCAGCTCTCAGTATGTAAAAGATATAATGTCTTCTACCAGGATAAAAACTGCTCACAATATGTTATTTCAATTATTTCATGGAGGCAGAAGTCTACCACCAAAACATAATTAAGCATTACTAACTTCTTTAACTTTCAAAGCCTTAAACATAAGACATTTACATAGACGTTTATATCAGTCACATGTAACAAGGAGGTTTGGTACTTATCAAACTCCAAAAATCTGCTATTTTGGAGAAAAGCATTTAGGTCTGTCTAATAGAGCTTTATTTTCAACACATTAGATTTCTCCATTTGTTCAAATACTATGAACATTGGTCTGTCTTTATTGACCAAAAATACATATTGGTTTTTATTGTATGTTTTTATAATCAAATCAACAATTCTGTGACTTCCATTCATGAAAACTGCGGTTGTGATTTTGGGCGATACAAACAATACACAGATTTGAGTTTGTCCCAGTCTTCCCATTGTTGTCTTTCATTTTATTGGTGACTGATTTAACAATTAAATGTAAACCGGGATATAGCATGAACTTTTTTATTTTACACTAACCTCTTCTTTATGTTATTCTCAAATTGAATGTTATTATCAATGTTTGTGTGCGTGTTAGTGTGTGTGGTAAAGTTCTTCGAGTTACTTGAAGGTAGAAACCCGTGTCCTTTTATAACTTTCAACAGTTGTAACCTTCATGAACACAAAGCCTTCGAAAATTAGCTAAATACAAAATATCTTCTGAAAACGTGTCCTTCTGAAACAAAACTATCAAGTCTTGTATCACTTTTATCATGTTGCAGCTGCACAGACGTGGCCGAGTCCTTTAAAAATAATGAAGAGATGAAAAAAACCTAGTCAACCCTAACCCTGGTCTCTTCACAGTCTCCAAAACTTATCTCTGTATATTTAGTTTGCTCCTAAAATCTCCCCACTGTTGGTTCTTTAAACATTACATACAGACATTGTGTTTGCATTTTGATTTGTATAATGTTAAATGTAGTTAAATGATGTATTAAGTGCAGTCATTTGAACCCGAAAGCTTCAATACGTGAGAGAAGACGTGTCGAATTTCATAATAATAATAATAATAATATTTATATGGCGCTTTTCAAGAACTCAAAGACGCTTCACAGTGAATTAGGACACACACATTCAGACACACACAAAACTAAAAATCTAAAAGCAGCAATGAAGAGTGAAATGCTGAAGCTAAGAGTTGAATGCATGGAGGAAGAGTTGAGTTTTTAACTGTTTTTAAATGTGGATTAAACCTGAGACCTGGATCAGTTTGCTTTGTTTGCTTTTTCTGATTTTGCCTCTAGGTTTAAACAAAAAGAAAATCTGATCCTGACTGAACACTTAATAATTTGGACTGCAAATACAACAGCTCAAAGCCAGGGCAAACAGAAGCAGATTCAGTAACTTCGGATCAAGTCTAAACCAGGACAAAAATAACTTTCATTTTGAAGTAATCTCACTCTTTGTGATCAGTCAGACGATGTGCGGCTCGCAGGCACAAAGCATCCCCCACCCATCCTGTTTCAGCGCGTCAGCATTCTTCTGCATATCTGTGGGCCCCGAGATCTGTCCCAAATCCAGCACAATAAAAGAGGGACGCCACCGGAGAAATTAGTGAAATCCTAAAGCTTTGCATCTTTCAATCATGTCCAATTTCTATTTTGACCAGTGACAAATGATACAGGAAGGACTCTGTGTGGGTTCTTTTCTCTCTCTAGTGTTAGAAGTCAGCAGGGGGATAATGATTATAAATATAGATTACGTACTACTTACTTACATACTGCCTTTCACAGACCAGAGTCACAAAGCGGTTTACAATTATTATTTTTGGGCATTTGTCTCTCACTCCACACAGAGATGGGAGCGGGGCCAGTATTCCAGACCTTTTGTGCATGTTAAACGGAGTACCTGGACGAAACCTACACAGACACAGGGAGAACACGCAAACTCCACTCAGAAAGGCCCTGTTCCGACCGCGGTTCGAACCCAGGACGTTCTTGCTGAGAGGCGAGAGTGCTATCCTCTCAGCCACTGTGCCGCCCATGATTGCTAAACGTTCTGTTATATATTAGTAGAAAATAGTGTGAATTGTATTGCAAACAAAATTAAACTATAAACAATGAACGATAAAGGAAATCAAAATAATAAAACAAGATACAGATTAAAGAGACAAAGTTATATAGTAAATGCTTATTTGGCTCCAACCCCTCTCACTCATTCAACACACACTCAGGCAGACACACAATTGTAGACACACAATGGCCACCCAGGCATTTCTATTATTAACACAGCCCTGGTTCTTACTGTGTAAATGTCTTTTGTCCCAGGATGATGACTTTGTGCCCAAAGGAGGTCCATTGGATAGGTTCAAGCCGGTGGTGCCCTGGCCTCACGTGGAGGGAGTGGAGGTCGACCTCAACGCCATCAGAATCAAACATGGTGAGACTTCAACACAAAACACTGATGTTTTGATGAATGAATGAATAATTGATGAAGATACTTGGAACAAAACACGTTCACAGGTAAAAATGCTGTTTTTTATGTGGCACTAAAATACATCTAACTTTTCACAAAACGTCTTGAAGGGAAAATTGTTTGTCTCAATCCTTTTTTGGCAAAACAAATGATGAAATAATTATTAAGTGTTTTTACTCAAGTCCAAAGTTGCTGTAACTGTCTCTGAACAGACGAGAGGCTTTGGACCACACCTGTACTTACAACATGTTACAAAACTGTACGAAATGTTACAAAACTTTTTAAAACTTCTGACAGAGGAGATCAAATCCACCAGAGCAGGGAGTACTGACCAAACAGCAGAAACGCCATAGACTCAATTCAGTCAAAATCTGGTTTATGTTTGGTATGGGGTCTTCTCGGTTTGATGACTTCCATCCCTTGTACAGACTGACATTGGTAATTAGTGTATTTTCTATTGTATCAAATCAGTGGAATGATCAAAGGAGAACACCATTATCATACAATGTATATCTATTAATGTGAAACCATAACAAAACTATAGATATAGAGCAGTGTCTCCCAAAGTGGGGTCCGCGGCCCCCTGGTGTGGGTACTGCAGGGGGGCCGCGAGAGGTAAATTATACCTAAGTAGGAAAATTATATATAATTATTGTATGTTAAATTAACAATATTTTGTTTGTATTATTACAACATTTGTGTTCAATATTTGACTTGAATCATCAAATTGTAATCATTTGTGTATGTCATTTACACGTTTGTAGCAGAGGCTATATCCCCCAAATAAAATAACGATAAGAGCCTTTTTTTAACGACGTCTTCTTGGTTATTATTTTGGGGGGCCGCGCAGACCCTTCTGATTTTTAAGGGGGCCCCGGTGTTACTGACTTTGGGAATGGCTGATATAGAGTATAGAAAACATAAAAAAGACCAAATCATTCACTATGAAAAGTTAGATATTGTCATGCATACGTCGCCACGGCCACGATTGCCCTGAAATGCTGAATGAGGTCTTCCACCACATAAACTGTACATAGCTGGACAATGCTAACCCTCTAGCTCAGGGGTGGCCAACCCGCGGCTCGTGAGCCGCATGCGGCTCTTTGGCTGGTTCCGTGCGGCTCTCGGGCTTTCACATGACAAGCGTCAAAAACGCCTCGGTGGTGGTGCTGCCATTCATTCCCTATGTAGTTCTGACCCATAGTAAAGGCCGACTTCACTCCACCTAGCCAGGCCACCAAAACAATCTGACGTCGGCGAACGTCAATTCTGATTGGCCAGATGCGCTGTCAATCACTCTGCAGCTACTGCCTCAGCTGTTGCAAATATCATAACAAACAACACGTTGCCTCGACCCATGACGTCCGTACGGAAAACAGCTCCTTGGTCGCTGGATGAGGGCAACACCTTCCTCAGTTTGAGGAGAGGACACCAGCCTGATCTCGCTGGTTCCACCAGAAACCAGAAGGTGTTTGTGGAGCTAGCGCTAAGGACGGAGCAGAATGATTCCCACAAACATGACAATGCAGAGAAAAGTTAAAAAGCTTAAAAGTGACAACCGTGAAATGAAAGATCGCAGCAGCAGAAGTAGAGGCAGACCCGAAAAGTCTGGAGGTGGTTTGACCAAATGGATTACATTTACGGACATCGGCTAACACCGGCTAACATGCTAAAACCAGCTAACACCAGCTACACCAGGAGATAAGCCTCTGCCTGGTGAGTGTCTGTCTTCAATCAAATGCAAAAGTATCTGGTCTTATACTGAACATGTGTCTGTGGTTCTAAATCAGCTAAAGTGGTGTTGGTGTTATGTGTCAAATCTATATCTTTTACTAAACGCAGTCAGAGTGAATCATGGTTCAATAAAGACAGTTGTGTTTCTGCTGAACACTGGGTTGAAACTTGATTTTTTTTCTTGGTTAGAGATTGAAAGCATTCATTTCGGAATCATAATTGATGTTCGCTGACGTGAAATTGTTCTGGTATCGACTCGCCCGGTTAGAACCAGGGCCAAACCATAATAAAAAGTACCGGGGAGCGGTTGAAGCGAGCGGTGGAAGCGCCCGCAAACCGGGGAGAGTCGAGTCCAGCCCTTTAGTGCTGTACGAGTCAATTTCTGTCATTATCATGTTGATGACATTTACAATAAATCTGTCTGAGCAGAGCACACCTCTCTCTGCTCAGAGTGTGTGTGTGTGTGTGTGTGTGTGTGTGTGTGTGTGTGTGTGTGTGTGTGTGTGTGTGTGTGTGTGTGTGTGTGTGTGTGTGTGTGTGTGTGTGTGTGTGTGTGTGTGTGTGTGTGTGTGTGTGTGTGTGTGTGTGTGTGTGTGTGTGTGTGTGTGTGCGCGTGTCTGCTCGTGTGCGTGAGCGTGTGTGTGTGTGTTTGTGTGAGAGAGCGTGTCTGTTCGTGTGCGTGTGTAAGGGTTGGGGTGATGTTTATGTAGTGCACATTTGTATGATGTGGCTCTTTGCTTAACACGGTAAAAAAAATTGGCTCTTTGTCTCTGACTGGTTGGCCACCCCTGCTCTAGCTCAACAAATCTCTGGCTCCTATTGACTTACTTTGAAAAGTAAACTCATTAACCGTTTGTGTCACACTCACCATTTTGGGCTTAAGAGATCCGTGCTTTATCTATGATCCTGGAGTTTGTATTTTGATGGTGTTTTTATAATTCCAGATATATGCCATAACAACTGGCAATCAGGAGCTGTCTGTCGCCAAATTCGACTTTAGCTCGCGAGTGGCACGCAAGGGGACAGAGTGGACCGCTCCTGGTTGATGCTTACTACCAACATATCTGCATCATTTCATTTCATTTCATTTTCAACCCCTTTATTAGTCCATTTCTGGGTCGGGGGGGTGGCAATGAGAGCTGCCACCCAATGCTCATGGCACCAGTCCCTCACTGATCCTCTGCAGGGGGTGAGTCCACAGGAAGATGGCTGCTCCATCAGTTGTGAAACAGCCTTGATCTTTCAGCGGGGGCTTCAGGCAACGTGGGGTTAAGTGTCTTGCCCAAGGACACAACGACAGGAGTCATCAGTGGGAGCAGTTGGAGTAGGTCCCATGGTGGGAATCGAACTCACGACGTCCAGGCCCAAAGGCCGATGCTCTACCAACTGAGCTACTGTCACCCCCTGCATCATAATAATTTTTAATATTTTATAGCATAGCATAGCATTATATTAAAACAAATATTTTTATGGCGCTGTAGAAAAAGAGTGAACCAGATGGGTTATTAATATAGAAACTTATAAAATATAATACTTTTTATTATGAGAGGCAAAGATCTGCATTCTGATTGGTCAGATCGCCTCGAGCTCACCACCCCTGATGTAGACAAATGAACAACCTCTTGTAATTAATGCACCCTTTTTTGACTTGCTAATCCTGACCTTTCAAGAAGACTTTACACATTGATTACAGCCCTGATTTAAGAAGCATAGATTACATTTGAATACTAATAAGTCTTGGAATATTTTTAAAGTTTATTATTTTATTTTTTGTTTTTTCAGGGGAGAACGACGCAGCGCCGGTCGCAGCTCAAAAACCTGATCAGAAGCAGGTGATGCAGCAGCAGTACGTCACCTTCAAGCCACACTCCCAGGCCTACACTGTCCCCGTCCTGAAGAAGGGCATTCTGGGTAACCTGGAGCCGGCCAAACCTGAGCCTCCGGGGGTGCCAGACGGGCCTGGGGAGGGGGCCAAGCCTTTCGTCCTGGGACCGGAGTACAAAGACGCCGTGCAGGCTTCCATCAAAGAGTTTGGTTTCAACATGGTGGCCAGCGACATGATCTCACTGGACAGAAGTATCAGCGACATCAGACATGAAGAGTGAGTTAAAGTTTAAAGACTGAGTTAAAATTTAAAGACTATATCACTAAAACAGTTTTAAAGTCATCAGCTCCATCATAATAATGCATACAGCGCTTTTCTGGACACTCGCAGACGCTTCACATGTCATTATTCATTCACTCCATACACAGTGATGATAAACTACTACTGTAGCCACAGCTGCCCTGGGACACACTGACAGAAGCGAGGCCACCAGTCTGTGAAATCGGCCCCTCCGACCACCACCAACCATTCACACACACACCAGACTCATTCTAGGCGATGGGGGTGAAGTGTCTTGCCTAAGGTCACAGCGATTTTCTGGCCCCACTGTGGCACCTGGTGTTCCCATGAGGTCTCCCATCACAGCACTAACCAGGTCCTGCCCTGCTTAGCTTCAGAGGTCATTTTTGCTTTCTATAGTAATTCAAGATTCTCCAAATAACATAAACTAAAAGCAAATCATTTTAATACAGACTGTAGTTAAACAAAATGGAGCTCTGTGTCGTGGCGTCGTAAACAAAGCAAACATTAGCTGCTTGTTGAATCTGGAAGGAAAGTGACGTTCCAAAAGTGACGTGTCAAAAGGCTGAGAACAAGGAGATGTTTGTAAAGATTATCAAAACTAGAGAACCAAAGAATGTTAGCCATGTTTTGTTTTATTTTTATTCAAACATGCACGAGATTTACGAACAATTAACACACACACACACACACACACACGCACACACTGTACAATACCTAATAGACCATATTGTATTGTGTCCTTAATAAAGATTAGTAAAAAATATATAAATAATAATAAATAATCAAAAAATATAATGATGATAATAATAATACATAAAAAATAATAAAAAATGCAAAACAATTATTAACAAATGTCACAATAAAATAAAAATCTAGTAAATCATAGTTAAATTACTTTATTTCCGTCATTGAAACTGTAAACCTTTAATTTGGACCATTTTTTCCCTTCTCTTTGTTAGAACAGTTTGTGGCTTGACAGGTTTGAATCAGCAGCGGTCGATCTGTTATTGTTCTGTTTATGCCTCAAAGCATTCTCCCAGAATGCTTTGAGGCGTGTCCTGGACTCACAAACTGCGTCATCATTACACCTTATTCATCTCGGTTTTAAATCCTTGTTCCTCTGTTGACAGAACCACCAATGTCATCGTACTAGAGAGTCAATATTGAGTTTGAGGAGAGGCAGAAGATCAAAGATTTTAACTGACAAAATATGATTGTATGTTTTTTAGTGGAAATGTTGTGGAAGCAAATGCAAAATCTCCAACTTTAGCATAATAAGATGTTAGTATAAATATAATAATACAGTGTATCTACAGCTGAAGTTGAAGCTGTATCTTATTCAGACAATATTCCAATGCATAATAAGTGATAAAATCCCCCAGTTTAATAATCAATTTAACCAGTTGCTCCTTTCTCCATTTTTCTGTTAACAAAATCCAGGAATTAGACATTTCTTAAAAGTATAAACGAGGATTTTCTACTTCCGGTTTTATCATACTAGGGCTGGGCGATATGGCAAAAAACTAAAATCTCGATTTTATTTCCTGCTTTGGACGATGTCGATTTTAAATCGATTTTCATTAAAGTCACTCAAGACAGACTTTGCCCTTAAAATATTTTTTATTTTGCCGCTCAATATTTAAGTTTTTAATTTGTTTCCCCCAATACATAATATTAAAGTCTAGTACAGACTGTGCTGATATCGCAAGTATAATTGATGTGCTGCTGGAACTCTCACAATATGCCTCATTCGATTTCACGATTTTCATATTTTTCATGAATTTGATTTTTTCAAAAGCCGATTAATTGCCAAAATTCGATTTATTGCCCAGCCCTATATCATACTGTAGAGACTATTGGTCCTCCCAGTTGTCAATCATTCTCCTGATATCAATCAATCAATCAATCAATCAATCAATCAAATTTTATTTATAAAGCGCTTTTCATACAAAAAGTGTAACACAAAGTGCTTTACAGTTTAGTTAAAAACAATCCAACATGCCCAGCCCTAAACCCTCCTCCCCACAGACCCCCCAAAACCACATTTATAATTATATATACAACCACATGCGTATACACACACACACATATACACACACACAGACACATATACACACACACACACACATACACAAGTATAAAGTCATATCAGGTAAAATAGGTAAAACAATAAAAAAGACATGGGGCTGGGAGCAGATGTAACCGGCTGAAGAAGCGTCATCCAAGGAGCCATCTGCACCAGGAGCAGAGAGCCGGCTGCAGCCACAGGCAACGACACAGGACCCAGAGGAGAGAGGGGCCCCAGACCCCACCAGGCCCAGGACTCAGACCCCATAGGACCCAGAGGAGAGAGGAGGCCCCAGACCCCCACCGGATCCAAGAGCCAGACCCCCGAAGCCACAGCAGACCCCAGCTCCCAGTGCAGAGGGCTCCTCCAGAGGAAACACTGGGGACACTAAAACAATACAATAATACAATAGAAAGTAGAACAATAAAATGTGACAATAAAAAGAAAAATGGCAGCTGCCTAATATTGATAATAACAATAGTAAATGGGTAGATACAATAAATAATTAAAAATAGTAAATAATAAAAATAAATAAAAATATAATGTGTCTAAAAACATAAATAGATGTACTAAAAAGCAATAATACATAATAAATACTAGCCTACTCTTAAAAATATGAACGTTCTCTGCGGCCCTGAGCTCCTCCGGCAGACTGTTCCAGAGACGGGGGCCGTAGTGCTGGAAAGATGCCTCGCCGTGAGTGTGTGTCCTGACTTTGGGGATGGTTAGGAGTCTGCTGCCGGAGGAGCGCAGGGGCCGGGAAGGCTCATAGGATAAAAGCAAATCTGAAAGATAAGAAGGCCCAAGACCATTAAGACATTTAAAAACCATTAAAAGAACCTTAAAATAAGATATGGGCTCTTCAAATAAAACCAGAGAGTTTTGTTCAAAAGTGGAGAGGGCGGTTCTTTCCTAAAATTTGGGAAAATCCTCCTATATACCTTTTAACTTAAATCCTTTTGAAATAGACAATGTTGAGTTAAAACGTGTCCTCTGTATTTGACCCATGCTTCCAATGCTGCCAAAGAGAAACCTGTTTAAAGCAACGGCACAGACCCATCTCCAGATTCTGATGCTCGGCTTGGTCAGAACCAGAGCTGGAGGACATTAGCTATTATTATATGACTTGGACCGTACGCGCGCTCTGATTGGCTGATTAGCGGTCTGATATTTTCCCATCTCGGACCGTTACCATGACAATTGGTCCGAACAGCGCGTATCACACAAAACCAAGTCGGACATGAACATACTTCACAAATATCTCAAAAGCATTGGTAAAGACACAGACGAGAGTCATGTAATAAAACATTTATTAACCTAGCTTGCTCGGTCTGTACAGAGAAATATCAGACCGTGGCCTTTTTGCATTTTTGTGTAAACTCCACTTGGAAACAGCCCTGTCCTGACCGGGATTCAAACCCAGGAGATGCAACAGTGCCACCATCACTTCACCTCACTGTGCTGCTGTCACCTTACATTGTGTGCACCATGTGCACTGTATTGTATATAGTAATTGTAACTCTATTTTTATTATAAATTTATTCCTTAGAAGTGTTTTTTATTCTTTATTTGTTATTATCTCTTTCTGACTGTTGCATCGAGCCAAAGCAATTTCCAAGTCTGTAACCTCCTGTTACTTACGTGGCAATAAAACTGATTCTGATTCTGATTAACTGCACTTTGCATACACACACTTTGGGACCCACTGTTCTAAGACTTGGAAGGGAAGATCGACATGAAATCGTGGCCGTGTCTGTGTTTATGCAATGTTTTTCTGGTGCAGGTGTAAATACTGGCATTACGACGAGCGGCTGCTGACCTCCAGTGTCATCATTGTGTTCCACAACGAGGGCTGGTCCACGCTGATGCGAACGGTCCACAGCGTCATCAAGAGGACGCCGTCGAGATACCTGGCGGAAATAGTCATGATCGACGACTTTAGCAACAAAGGTACAACTTCAACTAGATATACATATAATAATACATATAATAGTGTACTTCCTTCTTTATGATGCTAAAGCTAGAGATTTTTTACTTTTTTAAGTAAGTAAGTTTTTTTTCTTCAGTATATAGTTCTTGTTCATGTATCTTGTGCTGTGTGCTCCTCATTCTTACTCTTCTGTAACTTGTGATGCAACACTGACATTTCCCCACCCTGCAGACTAACTTCACAGCAGAAAAACACCAAAAATCAGAATAATTTCTATTGCCATGTAAGCAACAGGAAGTCACAGACGAGGAAATATTGCTTTGGCTCAACAACTATAAAAGACGGCAGACAACACAAAAAACAAAACAAGAATAAAAACATTAAAGTAGTGAGTTACTTAAGTTAAAATTGTAACAAACATGCGTGTATTTGACAAAGTATTTACAGAAGAGAAGGAGAGGGGAACCTAAAGATATTGTCTCATTTGCATAGTTACACAGAGTAGCACAGCGTATTTGTTCATATTTATAAATACATTTTGACTTGATTCTTTTATGATGACTATAGCTATGATTATTTGGGCGCTTTAGAAACATGAATCGATCCATATGTGGCCTGAGTTCTGATGTAAACATGAGTGATTTGGAATATTTTCTTGCAGAGCATTTGAAGGAACGCCTGGAGACTTACATTCAGCAGTGGAACGGTTTGGTTAAACTTCACAGAAACGAAAAACGAGAGGGTTTGATCCAGGCCAGGAGCATAGGAGCCAAGGTGGCCACAAAGGGACAGGTAACTCCAGTATTTCCTAAAAACGTCCAGCTACAAATACAGAAACAGGATCTATATTTAACGGTCTCATATTCCACTTTTTGACTTTTCTGCTTCAACATCCTTACAGTGCTTTTTGTCCTTCGTACACATGCCCAAAGAAGTTTTTTCATTGATTTCTACTCAAGCTTTAGTTAGAGAGGGATCCTTCTATTCAATTCACTCCTTATTCAATGCTAAATAACTAAATGAATGCATGTATTTGAATTATGTTCATGGGATGGGACTCTACACGTTTTTACTCCATTCCCACTCCATTTCAAGCTGACATATTCTAAATAGAAATACATAGTTTTCCATCACGTGCTTATTACCCATGATGCTTTGCGCGAACGCCATTTTGTCAGTCTGGTGTCTATAGCACGTATCATTTGTCATGGATAATTTGTCACGGATCATCTGTCCCCATGTCATCTAAAGCCACGGATTGGGCCGACACTGACCGCGTTAAGTATATAATACACTGGAGTAATCTGTGAGGCAAGATCCTTTGAGTAATTGAGAATGATCGGAGATCCATATGAAACGCGGCGAGACCCGTGGACTTTGCCTGAAATGGCTTACTTTCACTAAACAGTTTTACAATTAAAAAGGTCATGATGTATATGATGCAATATTTTGAACGAAGCAGTTGATATCACAGGCCGCAAATCACTTCTGTCTACCACCCTTTCCCCCCTCCTCCTCCTCCCCCCTCTCATTCATTTAGATGGGAGCCTCGAGGCGCCCATATAGACTTAGTATCACAGTCAAATCGCAGCTCTGAATATAAACCACATATGCACAGATTTAGCTCTTACCTGTTATGAAATGGTCAGAACAAACCTTATAGTGTCGTTTTTCAGAGGGTTGGGGTTGAATCCCTCTCGTTGATCCTCGCCAACTAAAGGGTCTTTTCTCCGTCTCGAGTCGCTCCCCTGGCTCGTAATAGCCTTTGGAATGTCCCCACAATCTGCGTGGTTACTGCACCCCCAAACGATGCAGGCAGTCGGCATGTTTTAGCGCAAAAGCGTGATATGCCCGCTTTGTTTACCTACAACTAGCGGCGGCTAGACTTATAAGATGGCGAACTGCGGAATTGGAAACTATGTATACATCTGTAAATACATATTGACATTTTGAACATGCAGCACATGGTGAAACTAGGGCAAAAACTGTTGATTGATTGTTTACTTATGTTTATGTATATATTTGCATGTGTAAGTACTGTATTTAGTGTAAGCACAAAACATTTCCAAAAGGTCACATAAACTAAGTAATGTACATTTTGTAAATACTTATGAATGTAAAATGTCTGCTGGAATTATAAAATCAATTCTTGAGAGGCGGGCTCACAGGAGGAGGAGCATAGATTAGCTTTTTTCAATTAACAAGTGACATGTGACATCACCTCTAGGCAAGAAATGGCTGTAATTTGACAAGTTTTGAGTTTTGTACGGTGTAAAAGCCAAATTATTATCACACATATGTTTAGGATCGACTGATAAATGAAGCAGAGCGACGTATGGGACCTTTAAAGTGGCTGTGCGGGCGGCTAACAGTGTGTGTGTTTTGCAGGTGCTGATTTACCTGGACGCTCACTGTGAGGTGGGAGTGAACTGGTACGCTCCGCTGGTGGCTCCGATTTCAAAGGACAGGTAACAACACATCCACGCATCAGGTTTTGTTCCCGGGTTATAAAAGTGTGATAAACTGGATCTCTCTCTGGGTGTTGTGCGGTTTATTGAGTGTGTTTTGATTTTGATAATTGACTTGTACAATGGAGCTGGGGACAAATCAGAATTCCACAGTAGAAGTTTTAAGGTCAGGTTTCAGATTTGGTTTATGGTCTGATTCCTGTCACTGTCACATTAACACTAGAATTCCCAGAGCAGTCATGTACATTACATTTTGCTTCTATATATAGTTTATTTCTATGTGACTATTTTACAAATTTGAATTGAAAGCCATTTTCAGTTGCTTGGTAACCAACATTTTATGGAGGTTAAACCCCCTTTTTAAAGATGCTGGTCCTGGACTGGTTCTGAACTGGTTCTCTACTGGTTCTGGACTGGTTCTCTACTGATCCTGGACTGGTTCTGGAATGGTTAGTTTGGTTATCCACCAGAAGAGTGACCATAGTTACACATAGCAACACATTGTTTACTGTATTAGAATTTTCTAGCCTTTCAACAAACTGTTTTTGCTGTAATATGCATCAGGGTTTTTTTTTTTTTTTTTTTTAGCAATTATCAAAAGTAACTAAGGTACACATTTTTTAATGGATTTACTTTTCATACAAAACTAAATTTTTGGGGTTCTAATGGGAGCAGGATCTGGGAGTTCTAATAGTCCTAGTGTTGAACTGCTGTGACTGTGGATTGATGATAATGCATTATTCAACCGCAAAAGCATGTTGTCATTGAAAGGACTTGGGTTTTGTTTAATACTTTTGCAATTTCAGTTGTGTTCATCAGAAGTTTTGTGTTCTTTCTGTTCCTGGAGCAGTGGAGGGACTTCCTCAAACATCTATTTGTTTCTATGGGAGTCTTTAGCGGTCATATAATATTCAATATCCCATGTGTGGAGTTGGAGACAAATGCCCACAACAATTGTAAAGCTTTTAGAGTCTGATCTGCAAAAGGCGCTTTATAGAGTCAAATAAACGAGGAACCAATCTATAAACTGCAGCACTTTGAATTAGACGACGTAGAAGGTGTTGAACATGTGTCGGAGCAGCATGAAGACCCCATGTTGTGCTTCTGTGTTCAGGACAGTTTGCACAGTGCCGCTCATAGATTACATAGACGGTAATGACTACACCACAGAGCCTCAGCAGGGGGGCGACGAGGACGGGCTGGCCAGAGGGGCCTGGGACTGGAGCCTGCTCTGGAAGAGGGTTCCACTCAGCCAGCGAGAGAAAGCCAAGCGCAAACACACAACCGAACCTTACCGGTAACACAAAAAAACACTGCATTTATCATTCACTAACTTCTCTCCCATTCTGTTTTCTATCCCCCCCATCTTCACCCCCCCACCGCACTGTCTGTCTGTAAACTCTACCCCACTGGATTGCCGTGCTTTTTGCCTGCTCCCCCCTGCACCACCACCACCACCATCACCACTGCTGCTGCCTCCAATTTGCTTGCATGGTTTGGCTCGTGCCTTCACCCATCTTCCATCCTAATCGATGTTGGGGAATCACGGTGAATCAGAACGGTCTGTACGGTGCCGTTGATTGACTCCATCCACGGGCAGCAGTTCACGGTGGAGCCCCAGGGTGGAGGAGACGAGGACGGGTTCGCCAGAGGAGCCTGGGACTGGAGCATGCTCTGGAAGAGGATCCCGCTCACCGACAGAGAAAAAACACACAGAAAGACTAAGACAGAGCCATATAGGTACTGACCCCGACCAGAGAAGTTAAAGGACTGATTTTTTTTACTGATCTGCGTATTTTTATCGGACGAACTCTATTCCTGTTTGTCACATGTTCCTCGCATCCTACGCCACTAGAAATGAGACAAAGTTAGTGAAAGTTCCTTAAAGAGGCTCAAGTAGTTTTAGAAACCAAGATATGCCGAATGTTTTAAACTTTTAGTGGACTAAGGCTAATTTCGGTGTATGTATAAGTATTAAAAATTAAAGTATCAAGATAAGTAGCAAATTATTTCTCAATTCAAGTGTTTAACAAAATTTTTATGTTATTATTTTAACACTAGGAAAATGACGTTCAGGCCCAAAGCACAAAATGCAACATCATAGTTCACTATAACAAGACCTGGAACGTTAGCAGAGCACATCTCCGAGATAGAAATCATAGTAACAATTTTATATAAGATCAAAAGCTGCTTTTACAACATTGAAAAAAATCAGGTACAGGTGAAAAAAAAGATAACAGGTTGCGTTCATGTGACATCACAACTGTTCAAAGACCCTCTATAGATAACATTGTGGTGGAGGGAAGCTGGTAACCAAATTAAATTCAAGTCTATTCTACTACTCAGACTACTAGACTTAGTTTAGTGATAATTTCTCTGTAGTTTTTGGGCAAATCTACAAAAAATATAATAATAATAATGATAATAATAACACATACAAACATTTATTTATATTGCATCTTACAATTCCAGGAAAACTCAAAGTGCTACAGATTTAAAATACAGTACAACAAACAAAAACATCAGAAGTAGTGGTGACAATACTAAACATGGACTTTGAATGGAGAATGGACTTTTAGGGCATAGAATGGACTTTAAGACATAGGAACAAGACAGTGGTTTTGTGAATCTAATCCCAATCAAATAATAATCTAGAAAAAAACATTTGACTTTCCCTTTAGGCTATTTTTAAATGCGGTTTCTTTCCCGCACAGTTGTATGGCTACTGAAATAGACAGTGCCAACTATGTGATTCACAAAAATATATCAGTCGCTAATATTGAAACCGACCGTGTACCAATCGTTTCTTATCCCGCTGAGAAGGAGAGGGATCAGGGCGCCGTGACCGGGATATGATTTAATAACAGAGATATTCTTATTGCCTTGTCTTGGCTTCAGGTTAAAATGCCTCTTGTAAGTCTTCCTTCCCCTCTGAGGCACCACACCCCTCCTGTTTGGCTTCATTCATTCTTCATCCCCTTTGCCTCTGTCACTAACAACTCTCCGTCTCGAGAATCTGTGCATGAGATTTATGTGAATGTCATGAATTTTAATAATGTGTGTCTTCAAAATGTTTGTTTTTGGCTTTTATGCTTGGCTTGTATTGTTTGCATGTGACTTTTGCATGTTTGAAATGATGCTTTTCTTGATTTGGATTTTCAATACTTTTAAAAGGCTGTGTATATGTGCTTTATTATAGGGTGGGAAAAAATTCATTAAATCTATATTGATATTATAAGCAGTTTCAGTAGCTCTTGAATATATGTGGCTAAATTATAGAAAAGTACTTAAAATGCCAAATTTGGTCTGTTTTATTAAGATTAAGTTTTGTTAAGATTGATATTTTCAGCTATACCCTGGAATGTTCCATAGTAAGACCTTTTTCAGCCTCAGAACCTGTTTTAACATTGATCCTCCATCAAAAACCAGACCTGGAGTTTTTCAGTAACACTCTGCATCTCTTCTCTCTGCCTGAACCTTAACAAACGCTCAATGTTGATCTATGACATCACAAGTAGAGCGCCACGTGTTAATAGAAAGTCTGGAGATGGATATTTAACATTTCTGTGTACCTGTGTTAGCCACCATCCAACAGAGCGGATCTATTTTGTCTTATCCCTGATAGCTTTTACCCTCTGGAAGTGCTTAGGCAAGTTTATTTGTATCAACACAAGATTACGTTAAAGTGATAAAAGTTATGATTTCACACACTGCCTGAAGTGGAAAACCAAAGTAAAGGCATTCTCCATCATGTCTAAGGACTGCAGGAATACAAATAATGCATGCAGACTATATTTTTTACCTTTAACATGTTCTGTCTTTTGCTCAGTGATTCTATCCATGCAACTTTCTCCAGTGTCGGGTCAATAAAATCTTATCTTATATTTGTCCATTCACCACCATTATTTTTATTGCTAGGACATTTTTTTAAGGATGCATTGCTCTCTTTTATTAGTAGTTTATAGTAGTTCACCAGTTTATTTCTCTGCTATGGAACATTTGAGGGAGAAAAGTTACAGCTATTTACAATTCATGATTGACATTGTTTTATACAAGGATTTATGGCTCAAAAAATATTTTGATTCTTCAGAGAAATGAAATATCAGCAATACTGTTAAACAAGAATTGTACTGCATCGAATGTGCATTCTTCGCCAGAAAATAAACAGTAAATAATAAAGCCAAAATTGAGGCCAAAATGGATTTTTTTTATATTAGAATGAATGTATTTTCATTAGTTCATCAAGTAATGTCACCAATAATTCATCTGTTCCTCTCTCAGGTCTCCAGCGATGGCCGGAGGTCTGTTCGCCATCGAGAGAGACTTCTTCTTTGAGCTCGGATTATACGACCCTGGATTACAGATCTGGGGAGGAGAGAACTTTGAGATCTCATACAAGGTAAACGGAAAAGCAGACAGTCTATACCAAGGCAAGGCAAGGCAAGGCAAGTTTATTTGTATAGCACAATTCATACACAAGGCAACTCAAAGTGCTGAACAAGAAAGCATTAAAATCATAAATAATCACAGAACATTAAAAAGAAAGATAAAAACATAAAATCCCTCAGTTGTACCAGGGGTCTCCCACCTTTTGCACACAGAGAGCTACTTTCCCGGGACGATAAAGGCAGAGAGCTACTTTCCCGGGACGATAAAGGCAGAGAGTTTCTTTCCTGGGACGATAAAGGCAGAGGAGAACTACTCCTTTAAGCAGCCCTGTGATAAATGTGGTGATATAATGGTGTGAACGAGCCTGATATTGTGTACAGTTATTATTTATCATCACATAGTTGTTACTAATGACAATGTAAGTGCATTTACAAAAATAAATAATGGAAATGAATAATACAATCTGAAATATGAAGTGTATTATTTGATTTGTTCATTTCTAAATCCTTTGGCGAGCTACCTGGAAGGGGGTGAAGAGCTACTGGTGGCTCCTGAGCTACAGGTTGGAGACCCCTGGTCAATCCGTTCAAGTTATCTCTGACACATGACCATAGACTGTATATATTCACGGACAGAGTCACGCCTATCTCCGCCGTTCTAACTAATGGGCCAAAAAATGTGCTCTACTGGAGCTATTCAAAATGGCCGCGAGTGGTCCCGCCCACAAGAAAATTGTGAAAAAACACATCTTTGCATGCGTCAGCCGGCGCAGCACCGTTCATTTGAACGAGAAACTTCAAAAATTCACAGCCACTAAACTAGAGTGGACCAAAAAAATTCACCCCCCTCAGCATTGACACACATGTGGAACGGAGCTTTGGGCCAAGAGCCAACTTTTGGTCCATCCTGTAAAGACGTTTTCGAGAGGTCTGCCAATGCTATATGTTAGCTTTGGCTAATTCTTCTTCTGGGTCCACCCCCATTGGCCCGGGGTGGTATTGCAAGCATGTCAGCGCACGTCATTTTGGCCACTTTTGAGCCGGGACCCGCCCCCACTGCACATGACTCATACTGTTATCTGGTGCTCTGGAACAGCTTTTGTCCACAATACTTCCACATTTCAACACAAAAGATGCTTGGCCGATAATTTGGCAGTAGTACAAGTGATAATGGTGAACTTTTATCTTCTATGCTCTTAAAAATTTTTACTATAAATGTATTTTATTCTGTATTTCTATTTTTTGTGTGATTTTTTGTTTAATTCTATTGTAAGGTGTCTTAATATGCGCCATATAAATACAATCAATTCTTTTTTAGTTAAAATTAAAAGTGGTTTCCGTGTAGTTCAGTCACAAATGGGAAATTTCTAGCTTGTTTTTTTGCAGTGTAGTCTTATACATATAATTAGTAGCTCCCCATATGCAAGCGACTTTGAAGAAACATCAAATACATAATCTATCTTCTGTATTTGAACTTTAAGAAAGGTCTGAGGAAGCAAAACCAAATTCAAAGCACTTGGGCCAGTAGCTGCAAAATTCTTCACAATACCCACTTTTTAATAAAACAACTGATACTAAAGCACAGCCTGTATTCACCCTTATCTTTTTAGATTTTGGACTCCCTGTAAGTGTGTATGGATTCCTGTGTGTTGTTAGATCTGGCAGTGCGGAGGCCAGCTGCTGTTCGTGCCCTGCTCCAGAGTGGGACACATCTACAGGTTGCAGGGCTGGCAGGGCAACCCCCCTCCAGCTCACGTGGGCTCTTCCCCAACGCTCAAGGTGAGACTTCGCAATCCTCCACCGGGGCCCTCCATAACCTCGCCCCTTCATACCTCACTGACCTCCTCCATCATCACTGTCCCACCCACCGCCTCAGATCCTCAACCTCCTCACTCTCATCAGAACAATGTGCCAATACTTGGGGGGCCCGAGCCTTCACTGCAACTGCCCCCACTCTCTGGATCTCACTCCCACCCCACATTAGGAATTCGGACCTTCAAATCACTGCTTAAAACCGACCTGTTCAAAACTGCCTACACTTAACTATATATTTTTAGCTTTTTATGTAATTTCTTATTTGTTCTTTGAGTGTCCAAAAAAGCTCTATATAAGTACAGTTTATTATCAGTATTAAAAGGAACTATAGTGGAATGATACAATAGGAAGAGCAGGGGTTTTTTTTCCACCACATTTTTTAATAGATTTCTAAGGTTCTCTGACCGTTTAGCAGATTTCAGTGTCTCTGCGCACATTACAGAACAGTAACAATTAAAACATCACTCAAATAATATAAAATCGAAAAGGAAAATTGCTGTGGTAGATGAGGATTAAGTTATTATTGCACTAAATAAATAATACATCATACACATAAAAAGTACCTCCAGAATTATGCGTTTGAGAACAATTGTTACTACTGTACAGTGTATGTTTAGCAGCATTAGAAAGAGTTGCGGACACATTTATATTCCAATTTGCATATTCTTACGTTTAGACTTAGACTTTATTGATCCACAAGGGAAAATGCGTTGTCACAGTAGCTTGCATAGTATTTCACAATAAAAATACAAACAACATTAAAGTAACAATCTGAAAGAAGGAATAATTAATTCATTATTACTGATTATTACTGCAGGAGAATCATAGCACAGTCCAGTAGAAAACCAGAAGTGTTGAAATGTAGAGGAATTATGTCGGATAGATAGATACAGCGTTCAGTGGGTAAATGAGAAGGAAGAACAAAAGTCGTTTTAGATAAATGCGTCCTGTTTATAAGGACAAGATGGCGGATGCGCGCGGTGGAAATGACCAGGACTTACGGATTTGTTTTTGCAGAATTACGTGCGCGTGGTGGAGGTTTGGTGGGACGACTACAAAGACTATTTCTACGCCAGTCGCCCTGAAACTCTCACTCTGGCCTACGGAGACATCAGCGACCTCAAACGCTTCAGGTACCAACATCTCCACTGTTGCTTTGCGTTCTGCTTGTGGATTTGGATGTAGAAGTGTCTGAATTTAAAAACAGCAGAGAGAAAAGCAAGGCCAAGGCTGCACAAAAAACACACTCATCCTTGCCTTTATGCTTCTACTCTGTGTGTATTACTGCAGTGTTTCTGAAGCTAAAAAAGCTTTGGCTAGTTTCACCCCTCATCTCTGGTTAGACTTTTAAAGGTGTTAGTTAAAGCTCAGGCACCTAACTTTTCAAACACAAAGAACTCTAAAATACAACTATTAGAAAAATCCATCTAACCAGTTCTTTGCTCTCATAAATTTGGCTCCATCACTAGTTTTTAAATTAATGTATTTTTGGCCTCTGTCACATTTAACACAAATTAAAAATAGAGAGGACCACTCTCAGACGGCATGTTGTGGTTATTTTTTTTTTTTAATAAAATGGTACCTTTTATAAGAGGCAAAATGTCTATATTTTGTATAAACATTAAAAAATCTATACTTTGTTTGTTTCCATGTTGCTGGTGATTCACTGTAGTTTTGTATGTTATAAAATTCTTCTAAAATGATCAAACTTGTCTGATAACTAATGTGTTTGTATTTTCTTAAGGGAGGAGCACAGGTGCAAGAGCTTCAAATGGTTCATGGAGGAAATCGCGTACGACATTCCTCTGCATTATCCTCTGCCCCCGAAGAACGTGGAGTGGGGAGAGGTCTGTGCTCTACATCTCTGCTCCAGACTCATTCATTTACCCAATTATGTTATTATGTTTCCTATCACCACAAAATACTCAGTGACAGACATTATTCACACTCTGCTAATTATAGTTTAGACCTTGATGGTAATGAATGGCATACAGACTTTGCATCTGGTTTATGAACTCAATGTAATGGTAGCAAAGAAGTTGGGCTCAAAATTGGACAAAAAGTCAGATGTGTGTAAAATCAGTAACAAAGAAACTCTCGATAAAAACTAGACATATTTCATTTTGTTGCAGATTCGAGGCTTTGAGACGAGTTACTGCATCGACAGCATGGGCCACAACAACGGAGGGAATGTGGAGATCGGGCCGTGTCACAGAATGGGAGGGAATCAGGTAAGAATGTAAACAGTGCATACATGGCTTTGTACATGTGTTGTTGTCTGCTGTTTTAGTACTTGTTGACTCATGAAATTGTCATAAGTCAAAATTCCTCAGTGAGAGATCTACTCCCGGCTGTAGACTCGGGTTGGACTTTTTCAGAGGTTGATACGATACCGCTTTTTAAGTTCTTCTAATAAGACAATTAAAGCAAAAAAAGCTAGGACTGCTTAATTACCTGACATGTTTTGGCGGTACACTTCCGCCTTCATCAGAGGTGACACGTGATGGTGTGACGCGTCTCTTATCAGCTGTTGTTGCCAGAAGCAGTCAGTCTGACAGATCTCACAGATCCATCAGACTGACCACGTCCCCCGCCGCGCTGTGGTCTCTGGAGAAGCACCTCTGATGAAGGCGGAAGTGTACCGCCGAAACATGTCAGGTATTTAAGCAGTCCTAGCTTTTTTTGCTTTAATTGTCTTATTAGAAGAACTTAAAAAGCCGTAAAACATAAGAAGACAGAATGAATTTTCCACATGTTGATACGATACCAATAATGAATAGTCAAAGAGACCATTACAATTAGTACTTGTGACAAGTATTCAGTATTGTCACAATACTGAATACTCAAAACTTCAACACAAATGACATTACTTTATATGTGAGTGAAGTTTTTACCTTTTTTCTTTATATGAAATTATTATATGACTTGGACCGTACTCGCGCTCTGATTGGCTGATTTGCGGTCAGATATTTTCCCATCTCGGACCGTTACCTTGACAATTGGTCCGCAGCGCGTATCACATTTGATATCTTTCCTCGGACCGTTACCATGACAATCAGTCCACAAATATCTCAAAAGCGTTGGTAGAGACACAGACAAGAGTCATATAATAAAACATTTATTAACCTTGCTTGCTCGGTCTGTTGTTTAGTCTGTTTGGTCCAGTTGACAATTACAGTCGTAACTAATAGTAGTATTTGAATTCTCACAATTTGTCTGAAACAAAACCATTTTAATGACGCAAACTCTATTAGGCCTTTATGCGTCTGTCTGTGTGGATCAACGGCTTCTTTATTCTAACGTTTTGATTTCTCGCATCTGCAGCTGTTCCGCATTAACGAGGCGAATCAGCTGATGCAGTACGACCAGTGTTTGACCCGAGGCAGCGACAACCTGGCCGTCATCATCACTCACTGCGAACAGAACCAGAACAACGAGTGGAAATACTTCAAGGTCAGAGCCCACACCATGTCTCAGGAGAGGACTGACCCAGTGCTGACGTCTCTCGTCGTTACATGAATGCAGATTTGAATATAAGATAGCTGGAGCCATTTTGTACTTACCAACAGGGGGTTAGCTTTGTGCTGTAACAGGGGCTAACTAAAAAGATGCTAACAAGGTTGCTAAGACAAGCTGAAGTTTTCCACCTCAATGAATAGTCAGTTTATATAGATTCACAAAGACGATATCAAAATGTAAACACCAGGATCACAGAAATTGCTAAACCACAGATTGTTTGAAAAGTAAACTCCATTTTGGGCTTAAAGTGGTTCTCACCCCCGCTCCTCGGAGCTTACGTCACTCACATTTCCTGTTCAAATCTTCCTCTAAATGGGCGTAGCCTGGAGGACTAAAGGGGGCGTGAACGAGACTGGGCCGTTTATATAGCTCTGGGCGGGGGGCTGCTGACGTCAGGTCCAACTTGCAGACGTCAGGTCCAACTTCTGTGCCAGTGTTGGCGCCAGATTCAAAATTCAAATGTAGTAACACAGGTCGCCAGCAGATGGCGCCTCACAGACGGTTTTAGGCAGAAAGTCTAACTTTCAACTAATTTGCACCAAAGTGACAAGATTATGACCAGGATATGTAGACAACACTATTGGACACTCATTTATACCGTTTATCAGCAAAAGAAAGTGGATTTGATGGTGAGTTGTCATTTAATGTAAGTCAATGGGAGCCTGAGCAAGTTGTTCCCTATTGTATAGCACTTCATTGAGCTAGGGGGTTAGCACTGTCCATCTATATACAGTCTATAGATTTGGCCCATGGGCCGACAGTGGGTGAGTAAAAAAGCATTTGCCTTTGAGCCTGAAGGTTGTGGGTTCAAGCCCACCGTGAGACTTTCTACACAGACTCCCACTGAGGTCTGCTGTCATTGTGTCCTTAACAAGTAACCCCACTTTGCCTGAAGCCCTCACTGAAAGATCAGGCTATAAAGCAGCCATCCTCCTGTCAGTGAGGATCAGGGAGGGGCTGGTGTTCTTTGAATTGGGTGACAGCTGATTGCCGCCCCACCCCGACCCAGAAAGGGACAAAGGGGAAGAAAATTAGTGGTTAGATGGTTTTGTCCCATCACGTCACCATCAAACAGTATAGACCTTTTTGTGTAAAAATAGAAAGAAGCCTGAGAATTCCATGCCTTTCAGAACATGGTCAATAATGTCTTTAAAACATTTGTAATTGCAGCCTATTATTACAGATATTACCACAGTTCTGACATAGTTTTAGAAATATGTACTATTGACGATTTTGCTTGTTTTCTTAAAGGATCTCCACCGGTTCACTCACGTCCCGACAGGTAAACTTTTTTAAATCCATGTCTAATAGTTCATCTACGGCCCTATTTAAAAACACCATTATTTTCATCTTCTCGTCTTCAGGAAAATGCCTGGACCGCTCCGATATCCTTCACAAAGTCTTCATCGCGGACTGTGATAACGATAAAACCACACAGAGATGGGAAATGAACAACATCGTGGCCGTATGAGGGCAACAGCGGAGGAGAACTGTTATGAACTTGCACTAAAAATCCGAATCCGCTGAGGGGATTTCTCTGCCGACTCACGCAGAGACACAGTGGAAATATGAGGACAAAACTCCACTTCATGTTTACAATGGCTCATACTGTCCTGTAGGGGGCGACGTTTTGAAACAAGACAGCGGTGGAAGCTTGAATGGCAGCGTCAAAGGCCAAGAATCTGTTCCCACAACTAAACTATATGGCTTTGAAATCATGTTGAAATTAGCTTAAAGTGTGTATGACTGGTTGAGACACTCCTAAATTCAGTTTTTCTCATTCCCTTTCTGATTTTGCTTCAGATTTGACCCATTTTAAACCAGTTTTCCTATATTTTAGGTTAAAAAGATTCTTCCTGGTTGTAAAATCATGACATCCCACTCTGGACTCCTAATTGCGCACTTTGAAATGTCTATGATGGCTAAAAGTGTAATCAATCAAAAAAATTAATCAGTTTTTTCTATTGAATTTGGATTTTAAATATTATTCAAAAAATGTTAGATTATTTTATGGGTGTCATCCAAATTCATAATTCAAAAGCATATATTGAACATTAAAAACCAAACGTGGAGCTTTCTTGGCTCAGAAATGCATTTTTAAGACCAAGGAATGTTCAGGAAGGACAATTATTTTTGTCTGAATTCGGATGCAGCCAAAGTCTCCAGAGTATGATGTCATTATAGAGCTTCCTGGGTTCACTTCTTGTAAATGTCAATATATTTTTCTACTTTAAAACTTTGGTCTGATTGGTTCAAATCTATAATTGTATTAGGGGTATTATCCGACTAAATCATGTTGAAAAGAGCAAAAGATAGAAACCCTGTCACACATACTTTAAGTCCTCAATATCAATCAATGTTTGCAACAAAATCCCAGGGTTTCTATATCGATAAAACACATTTATCCTTTCTTTGTATCGAAATGGACACGGTTGCACTGAAATAATCATAATTTACACTCGACTAGAAAGTCCACTTAACGGATATTTGTAGAAAATGCAGTAGACCGACCGAAAGCCTTTTTAACCCACTTTTCAATACCAAAAAATGTCTTAATGATTTAGAATTACTCTAATATGAGATTTTGTTTTGTTGTTGTTTTTTACTAGGTACATTTACCAAATTAACCTTAGGCTTTTTACTAGTTTCAAGATCTTTCAGGCCATTTTCAACACCATTTATAGCAATATGGTGAGAAATTCAACCTAAAAATACTTGTGAGAAATGTCTTAAAATCAGTGAAATATTCTTGGTCGAACTATCAATTCTACTCCAGGCCACAGTAGGTACATCTAGAGTAATTTTAGTACTAGATGCTGATGTACCACTTACCCCCAGACTGTCCCAGGAAGGTTCCAGAAGCTACTAATGCCCAATCCTTCTTTATCGTGCGAACTCTGCTTATTTACAATCACTGATGTTTTGCTTTTCTCTCCACTATAGCGACTGCTGCTTTAACAAAGTGAATGGCACATAGACAGAACAGAAGCCACTTTGAAATACTGTGTGGCATAACTTTAAAATTTCAGTCATTTTTTGTTGTTTGTTGTTGTTGTCTGTTGAAGAAATGTACCACAAGACTGCAATGTGTGAGATTGCTGTATCTGTAATAATGCAATCTTTTTCTATATGTTAGCTGAGGTATTTGTTCTAGTGCAACAAAAATGAGGAGACAAAACTGTTTAAATTAATCAAGGCTTAGCGTGCGGTTTGGAGATTGGAGAGCTGATTGTTGCCAAAATTGCGATATTGCTAATGTCCTTTATATAGATTCCAAACCTCATTGCCGGCCTTAAGTCACAGGCGTCAACAATCGTACAAGAATTCCCTTTTTTGTTCATTTAAGGTGCCATGTTTTCCAAGTCTTCACATTATGGTAGCACAGTTGGGGATTCACGCTTTGATGTATACAAGTAACTTTCTTTTCTTAATCAATTGGAGACATCCTTTTTGACAGAGGAATGGCCTAAGTAAAGCCTAGGTTATGCATAGACGTTTCAACGCCTTGTCACTCTCTTGCCTATCTTTATGGTCTGAAAACGGGACATATGGTCTTTTGTATAGACTTTACTCCTCCCCCTGGGCAAACTAAAAACGAATTTTAAGACCATGCCTTGTGGAATGCCAGAGTATATTAAAACACTCCATTGTGGTGTCTAGACAGAGCACTTTACATGTTTTTAGACGCTCAAAAGTATTAAATTATACAAATACATCTTGTCAACTGTGAGTGGACCACTATTTGTTTATCATGATCAGTCATTTTCTTCTTCTACTGGGAATTATCGAATTACTACTAATTTCACCATGCTGACAAATCATTGACGACTTTCTGCCGTAGTTCAGTAGCTGACCAATCAACTGTGACTTCAAACTGCCTAAAAAAAAAGAACAGAAAAAGGCAGAATTATGAGTCTATGAATAACTTACTTGTGTCTTTTGGAGGGAGAGATATTTTGAATGGGTTTGGTGGGGAATGGATGATAATGTATGTAATGTTTTCTACAAATGTAAAGAAGTTTCTTTATAAAAATCATGATGCGTTTTGTGAAGGGGTTTGAATGATGTAAATATTAAGTTATAAGAGATTTAATTATATCTGTGGGAGACGAATAAAGAGAATGGTTTCTATTTCCTTGTCTATTACCTTGTAAAATATATTACACAATTATATTAAAAATGAAAGCCTGTATTGATACTCCATAGTCCAACTAAATTAAGTCATGATAATTCACAACCTATAGAGCAGGGGTGGCCAACCAGTCAGAGACAAAGAGCCAATTTTTTTTACCGTGTTAAGCAAAGAGCCACATCATACAAATGTGCACTACATAAACATCACCCCAACCCTTACACACGCACACGAACAGACACGCTCTCTCACACAAACACACACACACACGAGCAGACACGCGCACACACACGCGCACACACACACACACACACACACACACACACACACACACACACACACACACACACACACACACACACACACACACACACACACACACACACACACACACACACACACACACACACACACACACACACACACACACACACACTCTGAGCAGAGAGAGGTGTGCTCTGCTCAGACAGATTTATTGTAAATGTCATCAACATGATAATGACAGAAATTGACTCGTACAGCACTAAAGGGCTGGACTGAACTCTCCCTGGTTTGCGGGCGCTTCCACCGCTCGCTTCAACCGCTCCCCGGTACTTTTTATTAATGGTTTGGCCCTGGTTCTAACCGGGCGAGTCGATACCAGAACAATCTCACGTCAGCGAACATCAATTATGATTCCGAAATGAATGCTTTCAATCTCTAACCAAGAAAACAAATCAAGTTTCAACCCAGTGTTCAGCAGAAACACAACTGTCTTTATTGAACCATGATTCACTCTGACTGCGTTTAGTAAAAGATATAGATTTGACACATAACACCAACACCACTTTAGCTGATTTAGAACCAGACACATGTTCAGTATAAGACCAGATACTTTTGCATTTGATTGAAGACAGACACTCACCAGGCAGAGTTGGCTTATCTCCTGGTGTAATGCTAGTTGTTGTTAGCTGGTTTTAGCATGTTAGCCGGTGTTAGCCGATGTCCGTAAATGTAATCCATTTGGTCAAACCACCTCCAGACTTTTCGGGTCTGCCTCTACTTCTGCTGCTGTGATCTTTCATTTCACGGTTGTCACTTTTAAGCTTTTTAACTTTTCTCTGCATTGTCATGTTTGTGGGAATCATTCTGCTCCGTCCTTAGCGCTAGCTCCACAAACACCTTCTGGTTTCTGGTGGAACCAGCGAGATCACGCTGGTGTCCTCTCCTCAAACTGAGGAAGGTGTTGCCCTCATCCAGCGACCAAGGAACTGTTTTCCGTACGGACGTCATGGGTCGAGGCAACGTGTTGTTTGTTATGATATTTGCAACAGCTGAGGCAGTAGCTGCAGAGTGATTGACAGCGCATCTGGCCAATCAGAATTGACGTTCGCCGACGTCAGATTGTTTTGGTGGCCTGGCTAGGTGGAGTGAAGTCGGCCTTTACTATGGGTCAGAACTACATAGGGAATGAATGGCAGCACCACCACCGAGGCGTTTTTGACGCTTGTCATGTGAAAGCCCGAGAGCCGCACGGAACCAGCCAAAGAGCCGCATGCGGCTCACGAGCCGCGGGTTGGCCACCCCTGATCTAGAGGGATCCTACGGTCACGTGACTAGCAGCCACGGCAGCCATACTGGAGGACAACCTCGGCGAGTAACAGCCCTGCTAGCTATCTATAACTGGACGTTCAAAACTAGAACTCTCTCGAACTACATGAAAACTGAACAGAGAATTTGAAACTTCAGCAGTTAGTGACCCAAATATATACTCAACCTAAATTCATGAATCAGATCCTCTGAAAATGCATCCTAAAATGTATTATTAATGTTTATCGTTACATCCAGGTTTACCGCGGTCGCATATTGTCGCATTAAAACAGTGTTTTTTCATGAAAACGTGAACAGAAAATTCTGAAAACCTCTGTGCACGTGTATTAAGAATGTATATGTATAATGTATCCTCTGATTAACATTTAATGTGTTTATTGTTACACCATGGATCTATGTGTGGCTACACTGCAGTGGAAATAATGAGATTACATTCAAATCAATGGAGCTTTCTGCGTCTACTGTGAGGAGCCGTATATTTTATTAATAAATACTAGTACGGGGCACCCTCGAGCACGGCTCAGTCGTTCACATGTCTGCTGGCCTTCGGTAAGTCAGATACCCTGTGAACCGGGTCAGGTCCTGTGTGAGACCAAATATATAACAGCTATGCTACAAGCTAAGCTACAGTCTATGGAGCAACCCCACGTTGCAGTCAGACAGATATGTTTTATCCTTAAACTTCTGTTTGTTTCGGAATAACACTAAATCCGCCATCAAATTGATTTCACTTAGCAGAAATGAAATGA